CACAGACTGGACATTGGATTGTGTCTTGTCTGTCCTCATAGACACAGACTGGACATTGGGCTGTGTCTTGTCTGTCCTAATGGACATAGACTGCATGTTGTCCTGGAGTTGTAGGCTGCTATGTTTTGAAACAAGAACCTTATCCATGATGTCCTTTATTGAGAAATAATTGGCTATTTGACAGCACGCGTCTTGCATGCTAGCTTGTGCTAAAGTTGGATAACCCATGAGTAGTAGATCAACTCCTTGTTGTTCCTTGTTTTTTTCCTCTACACAAAGCTGCTGCAGAACCTTTGTGTGGTCTGCTTGTATGAAAGTATCGCCACAACGTGTCAATGCTCCACCATGCATGTGTCTATTGTTGTTGTTGTGCTGATCAAAGTCGGACAACAGCTCACGCTTTACATCTGTACTCACCAGTGATCTTCTCGCCAAACCAGTGTCGTTTGAGATGTCCGTCGTCTGCAAGCTGACATCATCTTCTTCAATTTCAATTTTAAATCCGTCGATAACACGACCTTCAAAACCTCCGTCCATATTTGAATTCTGGAAGTAAATAAAAGCTATGATAAGTTGAACTGGTCTTAGAGAATACCAATCTGGGGTCGACTACAAGTGACGTCATGCAGTTGTAGCGTATTTGTAACCCTTATATCACTCGTCGGCAAAAAAAAGCCAGACTTCCTCCTCCATAAAGTAGGCCTACTATTTTAAACATTATTTGAACCAGGTGAAAAAGTCTTAAAAAGCACTGGTTTTTCAGTTTAGTAATCCAAAATATAACAAATGCAAAGCCACATTACTGAAATGTAGCACATTGTCGCTGATGTGTGACCAGAGTTTCTTCTAGGCATCTCTTCGGGGGGGGGGGGGGGGGGAGGGGGGGGGGGGGGCTAAGGCCCCCGCCCCCGAAATTTTTTTACCGCCACCCCCCCCCCCCCCCCCCCCGAACGAAATGAAATTTATATAATTTATATAGAAAATATATACTTTTAACAGTGTCCGCCCCCCCCCCCCGAAAATTGCAAGTGCCCCCCCCCCCCCCGGAGAAAAAAGTCTGGAAGAAACACTGTGTGTGACGTCACATATGGACGACATTTAGCACTGCTGTTTGTCGCAGACATAAGGATTGAAATCTTATTGGATGTTAGCAAACCATCGTTCCAGCTTTTATTAACGCTACAAATTCTTAAAGAAATAAACGCAAGGTATTTAATGCCACTAGGTGAAGGGAAAATTGGCTCACCAAATAGTTTTCAGTGAAAGGATAATTGACTCACCAAATGAATTTCAGTGAAGGGATAATTGGCTCACCAAATAGTTTCCAATGAAGGGATAATTGACTCACCAAATAGTTTTAACTGAAAGGATAAGTGGCTCACCAAATAGTTTTCAGTGAAGGGATAATTGACTCACCAAATTAATTTCAGTGAATGGATAATTGACTCACCAAATTAATTTTAGTGAAGGGATAATTGACTCACCAAATGAATTTTAGTGAAGGGATAATTGCTTCACCAAATGAATTTCAGTGAAGGGATAATTGGCTCACCAAATGAATTTCAGTGAAGGGATAATTGACTCACCAAATGAATTTCAGTGAAGGGATAATTGGCTCACCAAATAGTTTTCAGTGAAGGGATAATTGGCTCAACAAATGAATTTCAGTGAAGGGATAAGGGGTCATCCATAAATGACGTCACACTCGTAGGGGGGAGGGGGGTCCGTAATTTTGTGACGATGTGTGATGAGGGGGAGGGGGGGGGGGGTCAGATGTTGCGACGTCACATTTTTGCATTATAAAAAAGCAATGTTAGAAAACGAATTTTAGACGTTATTTCGCGTTTTAGATAACTGTTTTAATAAATTGTAATAGTTTAGACAAGATTTTGGAAAAATATCGATGTTTTTTTAAAAATTCAACTGCAATTTTGAGGGGGGTTGTAGGTTGAAGTGTGACGTCATTTTAGGGGGGGGGTCTGGCTTTTTGTGACGACGTGTGACGGAGGAGAGGGGGGGAGGTAAAAATCGTCCAAAAAAGCGTGACGTCATTTATGGATGACCCCTAATTGACTCACCAAATGAATTTCAGTGAAGGGATAATTGACTCACCAAATAGTTTTCAGTGAAGGGATAATTGACTCACCAAATGAATTTCAGTGAAGGGATAATTGACTCACCAAATGAATTTCAGTGAAGGGATAATTGGCTCACCAAATGAATTTCAGTGAAGGGATAATTGGCTCACCAAATAGTTTTCAGTCAAGGGATAATTGGCTCACCAAATGAATTTCAGTGAAGGGATAATTGGCTCACCAAATAGTTTTCAGTGAAGGGATAATTGGCTCACCAAATAGTTTTCAGTGAAGGGATAATTGGCTCACCAAATGAATTTCAGTGAAGGGATAATTGGCTCACCAAATAGTTTTCAGTGAAGGGATAATTGGCTCACCAAATAGTTTTCAGTGAAGGGATAATTGGCTCACCAAATAGTTTTCAGTGAAGGGATAATTGGCTCACCAAATAGTTTTCACATAGGGACGTTGGCTGGTTCAATGTGTTTGCATTTTCTGTAGCAAGTTTAGTATTATGGGTTTCTGGATCTAGGCAAAGCCCCCCCCCCCCCCCGAACGAAATGAAATTTGTATAATTTATATAGAAAATATATACTTTTAACCATGTCCGCCACCCCCCCCCCCCCCTCCGAAGTAAGTCTACCGCCCCCCCCCCCCGAAAATTTCAAAGTGCCCCCCCCCCCCCCGGAGAAAAAAGTCTGGAAGAAACACTGCCCCCCCCCCCCCTCGGCGGTTACCCCCAGTCAATTACCCACGGATCAATTACCCCCACCCTTGTGGAATTAAGCGCTTTAGAATACATACATAACATATAGATAGCGCACGACTGCTAACCCAAAAGTCTCGAATTCGGATCCCCCGCCCCAGTCCGTAGGACGTCTCCGAGTCCACCCAACTCTGATGGGTTTCCGAATTAAACCCGACTGGGCATAGTGCTGAAACACAAAATTTCATAGGCCGATATCACAGAAAGATGTGAACTCTACTTCATCTGGCCCGTGGACGGCCAAGTTAGAAAGTGTACCTATATATATTCAGTTCCCTACACTGACGCTAATTATTATAGGTATATAATTTATTGTTTTAAAAAATCATAAGTGTTGGGGAGCTGGTAGTTATTATTTAGTCTTGCAATAGCCTAGTGGAAAAAGCAACGCTCTTTTTTTTTTCTTACAGGTTTTCGAGGAAATAAGCAATGAGCTTTTTTTTTCTATTATTTTGTTTTATGTATATTTTTCTATACATGCTATCGTGGAAATAAACAGTGCTCATTTCCTGATTAGATCTAGATATATCTAGATTCTAGATCTAGAAGAGGAAATAGTCGTTTTAAAAAAATTCATAAAAAACGTTTTAATAACAAGCTTTTATGTAATGATGCACTAAAAAGTAGAAAATAAATTATAGACTACTATTTAAATAACTATAAAGAAAAGCGTGGGTCACTTTAGTATCTATTGGATACCTTTACTAATGTTAAGGAAGACACCCACGCTTTTCTTTATAGTTATTTAAATAGTAGTCTATAATTTATTTTCTACTTTTTAGTGCATCATTACATAAAAGCTTGTTATTAAAACGTTTTTTATGAATTTTTTTTCAGTACTTTACATGTTTTATCTACAATAGAGTTACATGACTAAAAACCATTGCGCGCCTACTGAATATCACGTTCAGTAGGCGCGCAATGGTTTTTGAACGCAGCCATTACGTGGTCTTGATGGCGCAGCTATTGATGACGCGTGTGGTGTGGTTGGCTAGACATGCCTACTAATTCGGTCCAAATTTTAATTAATTCATAAAAAATCAATTAGGCATCCAATTAATTCAAATTTAGTTTCAGATTGCATTGTCTTCATGTCTTGACCCACGTGCCAACTGTGAATCGTGTCGGTCAAGTAGAACTGTCCGAATTTTCACTCCTGCGTTTCCGTCTAGACTGACGACTGACGACTGACGACTGACGAGGAAGTGAGTTAAATAAAAGCTTGTAAAAACACGTCAATTTTAAAACTATCATTATTATTGTTTTTTAATCAAGAGAGCTAAATAGAAAACTTCCGATAACTCACCATAATTATTACTCACGTGATTAAATGAAGAATTTCTTTGCTTAGAATATTAATTTGGACCCACTGTAGAAAACTCAAGACAAGTAATGATATGAAATTGTGTACACAAAAAGAGTGTTGTTTGTTTCAAGTAAAAGCCAAGATAGTTGACGTCACGACCATAAATTTACGTCGTCGTCATCTAGACAAGACAGCGTCATCCGTGTATAGTGACGTCATTATGTAGGGCATAACCCTTAGGCCTAGGCCTAAGGAAAAGGTTTAAAATTTATAAATAGGAATGTTGAAAGAAAGTTCAGATAAAATTTAGATCTAAATCTAGGCCTAGTGCTAATTTAGTGTGACTCTGACTGAGGTATGCACAATAGATCTAGATCTCTATATGAATTATATGACATTTTGATTTAGCTTAGGCCTTAGCCTTAGGCTGAGAAAAATATGTTTGCGTTTCTAAGACATAAGGTAATTTAATATTTATTGGGGTATTGCCTATGACAATAATAGCACACTCTTAATAATTCATATTGTATAATACTAATTCATAGCAGAGTGAAATCTCCTAGTCTAATAGTTACCAATACTAATAGTATAAAATCAAGTATTTTCATCATTTAATAAACTTAGACCATAATAGACGTTATTCAATAGAAAGTGTGAAAAAAAATCGCAAAAGTCTTCAAGGTATACGGTATGCCTGAGGTTGAAATTAAATGCCTTTATTTAAATGAAACATAATAATTATAATTTTCAAAATAATAGTTCATCTTAATTTGACAGAGTGCGCTGTTTTAAAACATAGTCTTGTAATCAACAATGTAGGATTATCTCCTTTTTAGTACTTGAGCGTTATCTCCCCTGTTGTCTTAGAAACCTTGCAGAATATACACAGACCTCCATCAGGTTGAAATAGTAACTTGTTAACGCAGTACAGTAGTGCAGAGGGTAAACATCTTATTTTTGTCAATACTTATGCATTTTTCAAAATAACTATTCAGAACATCTTTCCAAATGATTAAACCTAGATCTAGGCATACATTATTAAAATTAATTTAGTTAGGCCTAGGCCTAGGCTTAAAAATAAAATAAAAATAGTAATACTATTACTATAGTGTTGTAATAGTAATAGAATAGAAATAGTGAATATTCTGAATAGTAAGTTTACACTGAATTTAGTATGAATTTACAGTTAGTAGTTACAATATACTTATACTATATAGTAATAGTAGTTAGGCCAGTTAGGCCTATTAATTATTGATTTTTATTAAACGATTAGTAGTAGGGCTATGCCTAATACTAATTATTAAATATTAATTAATAAATTATTTGTTAGAATTTAGAATAGCCTACTACACTCTAGTACTACACTTACTAGATTGCTCACTAACTAATTGTAATAATATAATAGTACTAACTAAATTTAACTAAATTACTAACAGTAAACTTTTAAATAGTATATTTTTAATTTTATATATATACTACTGACTGAGTAAACTACTGAACTAATGTGTAATACTCTACATTACTAAACATTGACTTCATTACACCACTCTACTAAGTCTAACACAGAAGATTAAGAATTAAGACTCATTACGACATTTACAAGATTGTAGATCTTAGTCTTAAGATAGATCTAACTAGTTCTAGACTAATCTAGACTATATCTGTTGAAGTGCATCTATATTCAATATATATTAATAAACAAGAAAGAATTTTGATAATTGTGTGAGATGAATTGTATCAACTAGAATCCAGTACTTCTAATCTAGATTTTACTCGATTTACTCTACTTATGTTCTATTATCTAGTAATCTATAGGCGTAATTCTAAGAATTCTAATTAAATGGTAGGGTGATTTAACTGGGGAAAAAAAAGTAAGCCTTTCATATGATGATATGTGACATATAACTGATAACATTCCCTGAACTAAACCATATTCCAGCTAATTATAACTTTAGATCTAGTGCTAGATTTTTCTCTGTCCTTTAAATATCAATAAAGTCAATGAAGTAAGCACTACCAAATATGTTATTAGTCTAATAAGTTGAAAGATCAAGGTAAGCCTATTTTTTGTCTATTTGATAGAGTTTCAAATGATGTCTTGTGACTCTCTTTCTTATTCTTATAGTATTGTTATTGTCAGTGTTATGTTTGGTACCATCTGGACATGTCATTTAGCTTTTTTTATTTTTACACTTTCTGACTTTACTATTTAAGAACTAATCAGTTTCTAATCATAATGAATTAATACAATTTTTCTTATCTAGTTTAATTAATTTGTTTATTTCAGAATATAAATTTCTAGCAGAATAAAATGCCTCATCCACGCTCTGCTCGCTCAGATATGAGTGATGCTGACATGGAAGGATTGCAGGAACAGGAGCTTGTCAAGTTACAGAGGACATTTAGAAATATGGAAGGAGATCGTTCTGCCTACACTGAAGAGTCTCAAAATATGATACGCAAACAGAAGTAGGCCTACATTAATTCACTTGATTAAATTAAGGGGAAAAAATGTTTTCTAGTTTTTAAGTTTGTTGACTTAATGATAAGTATTTTAAATTGTAATGTGGGTCTATTGCATATCACCTTGGATTTTATTAGTTATTACTTTTGTTTAAAAAACATTATATATAAATATGCACACACACACCTAAAATAGTTTATTGTTTTTAATTTAGACAGGAGATGAATCAGTTGGAGTCAGAAAAACAAGAACTACTCAAAGAACTAAGACTAGCAGAGTCACGCTCCAATCAAATAAAAGATGAAGAGCATACAGATACTTTAGTTACTCTGCGTGAAGCAAAAGGTACAGCAGAGCCAATTATATCAATGTATTCATATTTTATGTAGCTGAAATAATGTGAAAATAAGAAAAATAAAAATGTATAGAAATCATATAACAAAATACAACACAGTTATAACTCAGTCATCTAATCTGTTCATGTAATAAAATATGTGCATGATCTAATCCATACAAAAACAGCTCTTCATATAATTCAAATTAAAAATTGTAAAGAGATATCCAAGTATGTAATTTGTGTTACAAAAAGCGGTACTTTTATGTTACAAATATATTTTCAAGTATGTTTGACTGTGAAGGATTAGCATCCACTTTTTGTTAAATTGTTATTGCACATTTTTACAGTAACTACACTGACTTCTTTATACATTCATTTGAAAAGAGTAAAAAGTAATGTTGATTTGTTTATTCTTGATAGAAAAAAATGAAGAAGAAATCAAAGCTGAGGAAGAAAAGCAAAAAGAGCTGGATGCTAAGATCAGAGAATGGGAGAAAAAGATCAAAGAGAAACAGAAGGACATGGGTGGATCTAACATGAGCACACAACATACAACACAAACAAGCAAAACACAACGTGTACTTGAAAATCGTCTTGACCAGGTTAAAATTTTAGAGCTATTTTTTATTATTTTTTCTTAATGTTCAATAACGACTACTAATCTTTGTAATAAAATATTATGTGAACATAAAACCACACACATTTATCTTTCTTAATTGAACTTTATAGGCTAAAAAAAGATTTAATGACTGTCTTAGTCAAAATGCTAAGCTGAGAGATGAAATAGAGAGTCACCGTAATGAGCATAAGAGATTTGAAAATGTGTACAAGAAGCTTGAAAAGGAGCTGAAAAATTTAAGGAAAGAAATGGCAGAGCTTATAGAATCATCAACTACTGCTTATGATCAGAGGTAGGCAGTAAAAGAATAAGTGTAATCAAAAACTTTAAAATGACAATTAAAGACACTGAAATACTAACCAGAAGTAAATTTTTAAAATAAAGTTTTTTAAACAATCTTATTTAATCGTATACAACGAAAACACATATCTCATTGCCTGTTTCAGCAAGTCTAGAGAAACTAGTACCCTATATCTTTTAAAACTTTTCATCAAATACAATTGTATTGTTCAGAGATGATGCCCAAGCAAAAATGATAATTCTAAAGGAAAAAGCAGACAAAGATGTTCAACAGCATAACACAGAAATGAAAGAGCTTGTGCGCATTATTGACCATGATCGCAAGTTGAAGGAGTTTATGGGGATCAAAGGACAGGAAAGACAAGAAGATCCACAACTGGTTGCTTGGAGACAACAAAAAGGTTAGAAAGATAACAGATGGAGTTCACCTTTTCTTTAGTGGAAAATTTCCTTGCCAGGAAAAAAAATTATATATTAAGTTAATGTTGAATCCTGTATTCACTTGCAGCTATTGAAAGTGAGAAAAAGAAAGAAAGTCAAGAAGATTCAGTGGAAACTTATGAAGAAGCTTTTGTGAGGATCAAAGAAATGACAGGAGAAGATGATATTGACAAGCTTGTTAGGAGGTTTATTGAAGTGGAAGATACAAACTTTGCCCTATTCAATTATGTGAATGAACAAAACAACGAGATTGAAAAATTAAATGATGATATCAACAATGTAAGTTATAATGCACAGTATTATAATCCTAGTTTTTACCTCTAGTATAATCCCTATTTAATATTAGCTTCAATTTGTGCTATCTGGAATAAGATTGCAAAATTAAAATATATCCTTTGTTATTTGTAACTGCAGACAGTATAAATTTACATTACATATTTAAAACATAATTACAACTTTGCTGCTTAGATTCAAAAAGAAATAGAGGACTTCAAAAATCAAGGAATTGAGTTAGAGAGTCAAAGAAAGATCATTCTGAAGAACCTAGAGCAACATCAAATCAAAGCAACCCGTGAAGCAGATGAATATGAACAGAAGCATAAAGAAGTTTCTAAAATACTGGATCAGCTCAAAGCTGGTAAATGTTTGTTTACTTTTTACTATTTTGGTTGCTGGTACAAAAATAATTAGTATTATTAAACCTTATAAAGTCTACAGATTTTAAGTTGCTGTGTTTATATTAATAAGATATATACTTTCTGTGTGTATTTATGTACATATACATACAATAGATTGATACGCCTAAGCAATATCTTGTTATTAGTATTTCACCCAAATGTACCATAAGATATGACACTTAAGATGTAAAAATGAATGCTATTTCACAAATATTAGTAGATACAAGCTGTCAGTCACAGTTATGCCAATTTAATTACTTTCATGCTACTAGTTCAAAAAATGTAATCCTAAAATAACAGTGCTGGACTAACAGTATATAAAAACTGACACTCTGCAGGAATTGAATCTCTTTTCAACAAAATAAACTGTGATAGATCAGCCATTGATGACATGCTTGGAGCAGCTACAGGTGTTACAGATAGCAATATGATTCAATACCTTGGCATTATTGAACAAAAAACAAATGACCTGCTAGCCATACAAACATATTGCCTTATGAAAGTAAGATCATTTGTATAGGTTTCAAGTTAACTACTCTACATCTGTTATTATGCGCGGGAAAATTTATAATCACATTCAACAAAAAATAACTAATGATACAAATTTTTAAATTGAGAGAAGAGTAACTAAAAATTATGTTGTCTTTTAAATAAAGGAACAAGACAAATATGATTCAAAACTGCCAGGTCTGTTAGGGGAAGGACCAGCCCCACCGCAACAATTTCATCCTATTATTCCTCCAGCAGTTGGGTTAGTAACATGGATATTTTAGTGATTATAATAAAAAGTTTCATTCATTTTGAAGCCATTTATTTTGAAATGTTCCAGTGGTGAAACAACTTTTATCTATCACCTTATATTGTTTATTCCTCTCTTCTAATAAAACATTTTTAAAATTGAAACCTTACAGAGATGAGTATGAAAGTGAGGCAAGTGAAGAAGAAGAAGATGAAGCCAGGCCTTTGACTCGCAGTGAACTACAAAATAAAGTTATTAAAACTGTTAAGAAAAGAGAGACAGCAGCCATGAAAGAAGGTTTTAAATATGATTTAACAGGAGCAAGGGAAAAGGCTCAAAAGAAAAAAGATGTGAAAAAATAAACATTAACAAGGAAAACTAACAGAAACTAAAAGTAATTTTGTATTTGATGCCTTATTAATACTTCTGCAAAGTAAATTCGTTCATTTGAGTGTAAGAAATTGATCACTTTTAGTAAATTTAAAGAGATTGATCAAATAAAAATGTGATGGAAGATATAAATTATTTTTCTTTAAACAAAAACAATAAACAATCACAAAGTAAAGTATACCACTATGTAAAATTGCTATAGAAATATTGCATTAAATGATAAATAGTACTAGTGTTTGTTAACAGATTAATAGCATTCAATAGCAAAGGAAAATATTTAGTTTTCTTCCATACAACAATTAATAAATAATTTTTATTTGCTTGTCTTCAACAGTTATATAAGTTGTTTTTTTTTTAATCACAGTTAGCTAGAGAATATGAAGATTTTCTTTCTTGTTTAAACTGGTTTGTTTCTGTCAATATGATTTATTAGTTTTTTGGACCATAGATGTTTGTGTCAATGTAAACTGCTGATGAAGTTTCTGTTTTTAGTAAAATTGCTGGTTTTCATTATATATTATTTATTCAAAAGACATCAGTTATAATTTTGTTTAATTCGGTGTAATAATGAATCCAATAAATATAAAATAAAATAAACAATATCTGTGCTTTATATTATATTTGGCTAATTAAGGTATTGAAAATATCATTCTCTAAAAATATGATTTATTACATTTGTTATTTTTTACTGATTGTCAATATATTTTAACATAAATAATGCACAGAAATTTGTTAACTCAGATGAAAAACTAACAACTAGAAAATTAACGCCTTATATGAAATATTTTTTTCTGAATGTTAAATGCCTGTTTTAACAATTTATAAATTATTTTAATTTTAAGAGGTATATCTAAATTTAAAAAAACAGAACATGCACCAAACTCTACAAAAGTATAAGCCTAACCCTCTGTTACAGTGGTATAAATAATTTATCACCATAATTTTTATGGCAAAAGTAAACATCAAGTAAATTAGTAAATTTCTGACGTGTTGAATTTTATTGTAGTGAAGTCCAGTTGAAATTTCAAGGTGATTTAGCAGTGGAAAAACTTGAAGATTGTTTATTGTGATGGGCCCTATATTTAATTGTTTGATTGTAACATTTTAAAAAAATACATCTTCAACAGATCAAGTTGTGTTTTAATATTCCTGAAGCAATTAGAATTCTTTTTTTTTATTTGGTGTAAAATACTGCAGAATGCTTTAAAATAATAAAGAAAAGTGTATGACCAATGATTCAGTGTGGTGTTTGCTAAGTTTTTCTTGCTTATAGTCAAATTATCACCTTTCTGAATGTCAAACTTAGCTAGTAATTTCTCTTTGGTTGTGTTTCTTTTTTTTTATTATTAAATAATTATTTCCTCATTTTCATATGAAAACAAAATGAAAATTTAATACCATTCTTAAGTTACCATTTAAAAAATTGTTTTTGAAAATGTAATGCTGTAGTTCATTAGGAATGCAAAAGTAGAACAAACCACCAACTGTGCACAGAAGAATTTCAACACAAGCAGAGATTATAATACATTAATCACCTGTGCTTAATTCAATACATAGTTAGGGTCGGGCGCCCTATTGGGTAGAAAAAAAAGTTTATTCTGAGATGGTTTGTTATACACTATTGAAGTTAAGAAAATATACTGCTACTTGGCATTCAAGGCTTATTTAAACACAACACAATCACAAAAGGCCCTATAATTATATATATATATATATATATATATATATATGCACACCTATTTTTCAACTTTCCCCATCCATAACAATTAATTCAATCATGATATGCATTATTAGTGGTATTACTTTATTAGTGTGTATCATTCTAACCAGCTTTTGCAAGATATTATAAACCACTTGGCCTATAAATAGGCTGGAGAGGGGTGGCGAGGTTGTCTGATTCATTGTATTGATTCACCATTCGTAAACATATAAGATACTCTCACTTTATTAAGATAAATGATTATAGAGATTACTAGCGTTACAAAAATTAACGTTCAAGTTTTTTACTCAGATGGTTTAAAAAAAAAAGTTAATAAACGAATCTTTAAAAAAACGCATCTTGGAAGGGAAACAACTCTAGTTTCTTATTCTGTTTGTACTGAAGTGTTTTTGTTCAAAATTTCTTGCGTCAAGTGAAGTTTTGATGTGACTTACCCTTGTATAGTTTTTTTTATTATATCTAGATTCTAGATCTAGATTAGAAACCGCTAGATCTAGATAATATTTTTCTAGACATGTCTTTGCCAGGACAGGATAATGCAGGAAGACTAAAGGTATTTTATTTAAATTTAACAGAATAATAATAGCACTCAAATATAAAATACCGGTAATCTATCAATCATTGTAATTTGTAAGTACATAAAATCGCCCGCGGCTATTAATGTACGAAAACGTTACCTCATTGTCAAGGTTTTATAATAGAAGTATATTGTGATATGTTTGTGTCAAATATTATAGATAAATGAATAATAAACCTAAATCAATGGCTAAATAAATATCGAAGTGACTACTCGGAAGATTTTTCTCCCCAACGTCTCCACTTAGTCAGCAAAAGATAGCTCTCCGCATGCGCAGTGACCTATGGCTAGGGTTAGAATGAGGGTTAGGGGTAGGATAGGGTTAGGGATAGGATTAGGCAGGGATACGATTAGAGTTGGTGTTAGGGTTCTGCGGCTGTAAACACACGCATGAGCAGTAACATCGAAAACATCGTCACAAAGGCAAGTCGTAGTTTCTCTCCATTGCGCATGCGTATCTTATTCCGGCCAGCATCGGCCAATAAATATATCAATATAATATACTATACTATATAGGCCACTGAAAAGTTTTAATTCAATTGTTTAAAAACAGGTAGGGCTTACATATTACTACATAGTCTACATAATAATTAAATGAAACAAGGAAACATTTTAGTATTTTAAAAAACATAAATCCTCCTCAAAATGTGAAATAATTATTAAAATTTAAGTAGTCACCTGTTTTTCACATTACAAGTCGCGGGCGATTTTACGTACCCAAAAAGGTAGATTACCAATACCAGGCCTCAGGAATATTAAAACACAACTTGATCTGTTGAAAATGTATTTTTATTATTTTAATTTAAAATTTCATTTTATCAGAATGTTTACACCGGTGTCAGATGGAATCTTCTTTTAAAAAGGGGTGTTAGGTTACTGGTAGTTAACTAAATACACACATGGCTGGCTAACCCTGTCCCTAACTAACCCCAACCATGCTCCTACCATGCCTAACCCTAATTTCTAACCATAAAATTAGTCAAGATTACAAAACTACTAACCCAACACTTGCCAACACCCCTTTTTTTAAAGAAGATTCCATTATCGGACACCGGTATCTATAATATTCTATTACTATAATCATCCTAATTTTTTATAGGCCCTACTAATTAAGTTAAATTTAGTAATTTAAAATTTAGGCTACTTAAATTTACTTTTAATTTAACTTTTAGGGCCTACAGCTTTTTGTTATCTATCGTTTTAGGTATGTAAGATGCTAAAATCGGCCGAGGCTAGTAATGTAAAAAAAAAGGGGGGGGGGGATTTCATTCAGGTTTTTTTTTTTGTAGGCCTACCTTTTTTTTTAAACAATCATATTAAAACTTTTCAATAGGCCCCTAGGCAAATATTAATTAAATAGAGATTAACGATGTTTTCATCATATGCAACCAAGCGCATTTCCTTTAGCAGCTATCTTGTTTAAGTTTTTTGGTAAATTTTTGCTAGAGATTCAGTGGAAACCACCCTACAGATGGCTGCAGTTTATATTGCTCACAAACATGGCAGTTTAAAGTTAATTTCTGGCCTATATTGATATATTTAGACATTGCTTTCGGTTTATTATTCAATTATCTATTATATTTGCGTTTATTATTCAATTATCTATTATATTTGACACTAATATATCACAATATTGAATATACTTGTATTAAAGCCATATTAATGAGTCACCTTTCTTGCTCATTGGATGATTTTACGTACCTAAAAGGATAGATTACCCAGTTTTTTTTACTAAAACTATCTTTTACTGTCTTTTACTAGATCTATTAGTCTATTACTATTATTAGGGATTAGCCTATTATTTATTATTAAATAAGTAGGCCTAATTATAGTTTTATAAAGTAGGCCTAATAATAAGCCCGAATAAGTTAGGCTTATAATTATAATCATAATAAAAACTAAATAGTAGACTAAATTAAATAGACCTACTATTTAAAACTAATTAGTAAATAAATAATAACAAATAGGCCTTAGCCTTAGGCCTAATTATTAATTAATAATCAGCCTATCTGAAACGTCACTAGATATATGATATATGTTTATAGTTTATACTAGTTTATCAAAAATTAAAAATGCTTCTGTTAGGTTTTTATCACAATTCTAAAGTGTTAAGATAAAAACATACAATGATCTAAAACTGAAATAAAAAGTGTAATGCTATCATTTGTCATAGGGTGTCACTGTTGTTAAACCTGTTATCTATGGCAACATTGCTCGATATTTTGGGAAGAAAAGAGAAGAGGATGGACACACGCATCAATGGACGGTCTATGTTAAGCCATATAAAAATGAGGTAAAAGATACAACTTAAGTCAAATATTTTAACTAACATATTTATCTGACCATGATATTGATTTCTTAAATTTTATTATTATGTGACATGAGCCAACAGCCTATCATAAACAATCAAGAAGAAGCAGAGAAAGGAAAATAGGAAATAGTGTGGAGGACATTTTATGTAAAAAATCAACATTGGCATTTTAACCAGATTTAACCTCGAGCTGCATGTAGTTACTAAATACACTGACACTGTATTTTCTATATAAATTGTATTTCGTTTGGGGGAAGGTGATAGATTTCTTTGTGTGTGTGGGTGGGGGGGGGGGCGGCTCAGCTCTGCCCCTCTACCCAAAGAGATGCCTGAAAAAAAATTCTACATGTACCACTTTTAAGATTAGACAAATAAATTAGGCGGTAATGTCAGTGTCTGTATTATCAAGTATCGATGGCGTCATTATTATTGTGCATTTTTTTCGCCATTGGCTTTTCAATCCTATGTTTACTCTTGAATCAATGACGTAATTTTATTGTGTGTACTTTTCCGGCTTTAGAATTGAACATATTATTTTGTTTTGAAAATTTCCTTTATCTTCCATGTGACGTCACGGTCGTGGGAAGTTTTATTTTCCATTGAAAAGTTTTTATTTTGCTTATGTTTTCTCTAGAGCTTCCATGAAGGACAGACAGAATAGTGAAACTATTATAGTTAATATAAGAAATCTATTAATGGTATATAAGTTATTTCTTGTTTTTCTAGGATATGTCTGCCTATGTAAAAAAAGTAAATTTCAAACTACATGACAGCTATCCAAATCCTAATAGAGGTGAGCATTTCAATGCTAGCAGTCTTTATAAGTCTGATTTAACTATTTAAAGTAGTGTGGCTACATTTAAATTTAAGTTTCCAGTCATACCTGGTTGTGTTGACGGCATATGGGTTTGCCAAAAGGAATTGATATGAACATAATTTTATGTAGAGGCAATATATTAACAAAGGGCTTGAAATTTCTTTGTGGTTAATAAACTTGTTTTGTCTAGCTGGTATATTAAAAGAATGATAAAAATATTTTTTAGTTGTCACAAAACCACCTTACGAAGTAACAGAAACTGGATGGGGAGAATTTGAAATTATTATCAAGATTTATTTTAACGATCCAATGGAAAGACCAGTAACTATAACATTTTTATTTGTTTAACTAATGCTAATTATTTTCTTTCTTTTAATAATAATTATATATAGTTAAAACAATATTCTACTGTTAATTGTTTTTTATGTTAACACATATAATGACGTTTATGTTAACTAGTTTGATTTCTTCCTAAAAGCATCCAGATGCAAGTGTTATGCCATGTTATATTTTCTTGTATATTTCTCAATGTTTCCCTACAGGTTACCATCTACCATTTGTTGAAATTATTTCAAAGTGAAACAGATGTCATGCTAGGGAAAAAGTCTCTTGTTGTAGAGTTCTATGATGAAATGGTGGGTATTTCAACTTTGCTTTTTATTATTTGAACTTAGTTTTGATAATTTTTTCTTTACTTTTGGATCATCAACCTCTAGGCATTACTTTATGGGCCCACAAGTCTGCTGTTAATTTAACTGAATAGCTGAGGTTGCTACCAAAAGTGGCAATACTAATAGTATTACTATCATTATTTTAAAATAGATTTCAGATCCATATTCTGGTATTTTTTTTAAACAGATTTTTCAAGATCCAACAACAGCAATGAACTCGATGCTTGCCAATACTACATCCTTGGGTATTGGACCATACAAACATGAGACGGATTGTAAGTCAAAACACTCTAAGAATACATCAGCCCTGCCATGGTTAAAATACATCATTCCTCCCATGGTTAAAATACATCATTCCTCCCACAATTAAAATGAATCAGCCGTCCCACAGTTGAAATACAACACTCCTCCCTCGGTTAAAATACATCAGTCCTCCTACAGTTGAAATGCATCTGCCCTCCCATGGTTAAAATTAAATAAAATACATCAGTCCTCCCAATGTTAAATACATCAGTCCTCCCAATGTTAAATACATCAGTCCTCCTAATGTTAAAATACATCAGTCCTCCCAATGTTAAATACATCAGTCCTCCCAACGTTAAATAATCAGCCCTCTAATTTGCTTTGTTTTTATATTTTGATGCATTTATTAACAAAAACCATCTTAGTTTAACTTAATGTTACAAATTATAATTAAATGTAGTGTTGAATTAATTCATTTAGGAAAATTAAATTGTTCAATTTCAATACTCCAAACTTCAAGTTGAAAGTCTTTTTTATTTCTAACTTAATTATTTTAGATTTGCTAAAGTTTTTGGGGTTGTCCTTAAATGATGTCACACTCCAATGGCAAGGATGGGTTCAGATAGTGCAATGTCACAATTTTACGTTTAGAAAAAATAATGTTAGAAACTGACTTTTTACCATTATTTTGCATTTTGAAAAGAATTTTGTAAACTGTAATAGAAATTGATTAAAGTACTATGTTGAACGATCTCAGTCAATATTTGACGTCATTTTGCGCGGGGGGGGGGGGGGCTTTGTGGCAATGTGTAACTATAGGTAGCGCCAGGTAAAATTGTCAAAAATAATGTGACATCATTTATGGATGACGCCTTTACATTTATTTTTATTTGCATACCAGAAAGTGTTTTTTTTTAAATGTTTTTTTTAAATGTTTTTAATGCACAGTTGAAGAAAAACGAGAGCAAACAAAAAACAAGATCAACAATGCTCACAGTAAGATTAGATTTGAAATTGACCAGATGAATGAAAAATTAAAGAAAGCTAAAGACTCCATAGCTAAAATGAAGAAAGAAATCTCCAAGTTAGAAGAAGGTGCAGCAATAGATGCAGATCATACGTTATGATAATAAACTCATCTGACTAATTTGTTTTGTTTCTTTTTGTTTGGGACTTAAGCTCCTCAACCTTTCCAATTTATAGTTTTTAAATTAATTACTGGTCCCATTTGAAACAACTCAGTTCAATTACAATGGTACTTACATGTTTAATTTATGTATTGAACAATATAAAACAATTTAAATTTGATGAAAACTGGGAGCTTTTAACCTATTATACACTTTTGAAGTGTTATTTCCATTACTAAGCAATACTAGTTTGAAAAAAATCATCAGAAGTTTTTCAATTGATATAATTTATAACTTTTGGATTGCAGGTAGTTCATGATTAGCTTTTTTCCTATAGGAAAACCAGAAATGAAATCACTTAAATTGTGCTGGTAAATAAAATTTAAAACAAAATAGGTCTTAAAAGTGATACATTGCATGGCAACTAGCAGACAACTGATAAAAGACTTGTTTTTTTCACCAATCAGCATCTTTCGAAAATAGTTTTTTGTGACGTAATAAATCATTGTGATAATTTTTATGTAAAATATCAGATACAACATTACTGGATGTAGATCAAGATATGTAAGAGCTGTACTGAAAGCATAATCTTTTTATTTTCAAACAACAAACAAGAAAAATCTTTTAAAAACAATCTACAAGTAATTTATGATAAATTTCAATGATAATTTCAGCAGTTGAAACAGTACTGTTACAGTGTTAGGTAGTGCAAGTCAGCTTTGTTTCGTGACATTTGCTGAGAATAAAGAAAATGTACAAATAAATAATACTTTTACACAATTTTTTTATACTATATGCTTTGGGTAAATTTTTTCCATATGATTCAAAAAATGTACGTGATTTTTTTTTTTTAATTTTTGTATGCATTGGGAAGAATATTCAAGCAAATTGTTTCAGAGAATTTTCAACTGTTTAAAGTTTAAAACTGTAAGTCTAAAAGACAATTATCAGAACATGTTTAAAATAATTTTTAAAAAGCTGCATACCAATTATGTCCATTTATGACCAACTGATGTCCAGAAATCAGTAACTGTCCATCACCTACATTGCAAGCATGATGTAGCACTGTATCTTCTAATGGACCTTGGTGATTTGTTTGCAGAATCTGACTTTGTTGGTCTGCTGTAAGTTGTACTGAAAATTACTTGACCAATTAACTGCTTTTACTGTCACATTTTTACCTTATTTTATTTTATCACTATTCTAAAACGTTTGATTAAATTATTTAAATAGTTAGAACTGAATTCAAGTGGAGATTTTTTTAAATCTAAGCACTACGGCAAGTGCTCATAGGCTATACTTTGAGCTTTTATTAAATAAACATTTCTGTGACCAAGTTTGTTATTATCCACAAGTGTAATGAAGCTTTAGAGCCCTAATGTCATTCACCAAGTGCTATCCAGTCAACCTGCCAGTTATCCACAACAAACCTGCCAGTTATCCACAACAAACCTGCCAGTTATCCACAACCTGCCAATTATCCACAACAAAACTGTCAGTTAACCACAACAAACCTGCCAGTTATCCACAACCAACCTGCCAGTTATCCACAACAAACCTGCCAGTTATCCACAACCAACCTGCCAGTTACCCAAAACCTGCCAGTTATCCACAACAAACCTGCCAGTTATCCACAACCAACCTGCCAATTATCCACAACCAACCTGCCAGTTATCCACAACCAACCTGCCAGTTATCCACAACAAACCTGCCAGTTATCCAAAACATGCCAGTTATCCACAACCAACCTGCCAGTTATCCACAACAAACCTGCCAGTGATCCACAACCAACCCACCTGATTGAGCTGAAGGATCCTCCACTAGAACACAATGCCCTTTGTTTGGTATTCCCTGTTCAGGGTTCCCTTCATCATCAATACTACACAGATGGCCATGTGGACAGACTAGTGGGTCGGAGTCATCCTCGGAGGGTGTGGTACTACACAGCTCAACTGCATCACCAGGCAGGATTCATGTGTTAATTTTTTATAGTTATGCTCTAGCCTACATATGTTTATAATGTTTTTATACTCATCAGAGGGGTAGTGAGCTATTTAGGCACCATAGGCAAACTAGAAATGCTGTGCCCCTCTCCCATTTATATATATATATATATATATATATATATATATATATATATATATATATATATATATATATATATATATATATATATACATAGTTATTCATACTTTGCCCCTCCCCTCCATTCCCTATCCTGTAACCATTTTTATTTTGGTGCCACATAAATGATGTAGAGAAAAGTTAAATCAGTGTAGCAGTTTATTTTCTTTGACTGTGTATATGTCAATACTTCAGCTTGAACTGAGCTTTTTAATTTTATTTCTACCCCTTAGACACCCCCCTAGGGTCGGCGCCGGGAGCGCCCGCCCTTCCGTCACTACGCCACTGACACTCATACATACACATGAACATGTTAGAAGTCCTACAAGTTAGGGAAGCAAATAACTTACTGTTTACTATATTGTTTGGACCTGGAACTAACCATGATTGACCTGGTAAAAAAATATTTCAAATTAAAACGTCATTAAATGGGATGTGGGCTATTTTATTTCTCTTTTTAACCCCTTATTCATACTACGAATCTTGATATTATACATTACTAGATCCTCTATACAATGATAAAAATGCCGCCCAACTCCATGTTCGGGGTTTTGTCGTTATGATTTTACCTTTAATAGATTTCAATGTGAACTTTCAGTAAGTGGAAAGTTCTTTTGTTCTGCCATGCTCAATATTATTACTCAACAAGTAACAACTTACCATTATCTAACCTTCTAATTGGCACTTTAATCCAATCAAAATCTGGAGAGGAAAAAACAGAAAAGTCTCCCGTTTATCTTTTGGTCAAACACAATCTTTCTGGCTTAGCTCTAGAATCTAGATCTAGATCTGATTCGTATCGCAGAGACAGAAAATTTTGTTTCATTTTATGGTCCACACAAATTTAAAATCACAGAAGAAAATCAAAATATCTTCAAAGTTAGGGCAATGGGGGTAACACAGTAAAGATTTGCGTTTCGCATGTTAACAAACAGCTTCGGTATTTTATAGGTCTATAATCTATATCTATAAATAACGCCCATTATAAACTGCTGATGTAGCATTTTATTGGAGTTTATTTGCTCCATCTGGTCTAGCATAGCCTGTGCAGTATCAACATGTTCGTTTTAATCCCCCACAAATAGACTCGCTCAGAGCATTACACACGATGCATAATGCATGCTATTTCTTTTAGTTTGCACATTCAACAAGAAACGCTGTGCGCACAAAGGCGGCCTAACTAAACAACATAGGCCTAATGTCTTTGTAATAACGGCCCTTGAATCCACACAGCCCATTAATAAACAGCGACAAACTCCGCCGACGGACGAGTTGCCGGTCCTTGATGTCATCTAGTGTGATCACACGATTTCCAGTGGGAATACAATTTTTTAACGCCATACATTTTTTTTTAAATTAATTTTAATTGAAGGTGTAGACTACATAGTTTTAAATTAACTTTATTGAGGAAAAAGAGATATGGTATAGACCCTAAAGATTTTTAAAATATTTACATGACAAATGGGCTTCTATGTTAATTTTGATTCTTGTAGGATAGTCTGACACGTAGTCAGAGGCTTTTTTTTGTAGAAAATCAACTTTTTGTTTTTCATATAGGCATATAACACCCAGTGGCGTAGGCAGGGGGGTTAGGGGGGGGTCATACCCCCCCATAACCCCCCATAGACCCCTCGGTATATAGAAAAAGTATGAGGGGGGGGTGCAAATGGAAAGTTTGAGGGGGGGGGGGGGTGCAAATGGAAAGTTTGAGGGGGGTGCAAATCGAAAGTTTGAGAGGGGGGGGGGGGTGCAAATCGAAAGTCTGAGGGGGGGGGGGGTGCAAATCGAAAGTTTGTCCCCGGGTAAAAATTGGAAACCCCCCCCCCCCCCCCCCCCTTGAGACGATCCTGGCTACGCCACTAACACCCCCCCCCCCCCTCCCATTATCGTAAATAACGTCATATAGTTAACTTCCTTAGAACTACATTTCTAGCTTGAAAAAAAACTATTTTTTCATACAACACGAAGCTTGTCACTGTTGTGTGCATCACATCCAGATCTGGTGAGTGTGTGCTCTCGTGTGTTGGGAAATGTGGGACAGGTCTGTCTACCAAAGTAAACCACACATTTACATTACACTATTTACAGTCCTCCAGCTTCATTTCAACAAGTGACTGTCCAGCGCTGACGAACAGCTGATTGTGTTTACGTCCGGTGTACACCACCGTGGCGGCGGACGTAGGTATCACGTGATTTAGGTCACGTGTTTGCAAGGACTCTATAACTATAGAAGGGCAGAGAAAACTGCCGCTTAAATGTGACATATTTGAAAAATTCAGTAGAAAGTCCATGGGTCCGCCCAGCTCTAATGGGTACCTAACTTAGGTTGTGGTAAATAAACGCCCTAGACCTAGCCCAAACTCTAACCCTAGCTCTAACCCTAGCTGAACCTTTAGCTATGACCTGGGGTAATGTCCTACTGGGCGGGGGGTAATTGACAGGGGGTAATGACGGGGGGGGGGGGAGAACGTCCGGGGGGTAATTGACGGGGGGGGGGCGATAATGCCCTGTTCCCTTCTATTTTACACGCCGAAGCAAATGTTTTCTGTCTTACACGCCGAAGCAAATGTTTTCTGTCTTACACGCCGAAGCAAATGTTTTCTGTCTTACACGCCGAAGCAAATGTTTTCTGTCTTCAGGCCGAAGCAAATCTTTTCTGTCTTACACGCCGAAGCAATTGTTTTCTTACACGCCTAAGCAAATGTTTTCTATCTTACACGCCGAAGCAAATGTTTTCTGTCTTACACGCCGAAGCAAATGTTTTCTGTCTTACATGCCGAAGCAAATGTTTTCTTACATGGCGCGGGCTTGTCGTCAGGCAAACACGTGTAGACACAACCGGTGTTGCAGCACGTCAGCATCTTGCTGTAGCAGTCAGACCGGCAAACCCTGGAGCAGTTTTTGTCAGACCGGCAAATTTTGGAGCAGTTCTTGTCAGACCGGCAAATTTTGGAGCAGTTCTTGTCAGACCGGCAAATCTTAGACTCACACGAACCCACTGGTAAACTTGTAGACACCGGCGGACAAACAGTATTTCCAACATGTCCGCCGTCGTCTGCCTGAGGCTGCTCACTTGTTAGTTCAAGGTCATAAAATATCTGACGAATATACGTGGCAAGTAGGGGAATGTTAAGAAAAATTTCAATGAGAGTTATTGAAAATGTATTCTTGAAGATACAAAGACACATTTACAGATACATAATAGACTATATTAATTGAACACAAGAGGAGAAAATTCAAACCGACATTAACCTTAATAGATCTGTCACAACAATAACATATGTCAGTCAAAACTACTTGTAGAATTACATAAATATTCTATAATGATGCAAATATTTTAATATTAACCATAATTCATGTGTTTTGATTTTGTAATTTTACTTATAATGCTAGATCTAGTTGGATTTCAGTAATTAATCCAACAGACCCAATGGGTTTTAAATTAAGGCATTAGAGAGAATAACATTTTATCTTTTTAATTTTTACCCTCAACAAGTAAAAAAAATTCAGGAACATTGCAATATTTTCATTGCACATTTTTCACCAGAGAAATAAAACATCAGGGTTAGCGTGATGACTCAAAATATATAAGGCAAGATTAGAAATAGGTCAGAGGTCAAGCAGACGAGTTGGATTGATGAGTACCGATGAGAAATAAGATGCTAGTGAAGTGTTAGAAAAAAAGTCGAATCTAGTCAAATATTGTTAGAATTAGAAGATAGCTAAGTTGGACATGGAGATAAATTAGGGTACAGTTGAGATAGTGGAAGTAATGTATGGAACAGAGGAATAACGCAGTTAAGATAGGGAATAGATGGATAGTGAGCAGTGGCGGAACTAGAAAAAAAGGGCCACCCCGCAAAAAAAATTTTTGGGCCCCCCCCCTTACCATATATATATATATATATATATATATATATATATATATATATATATATATATATATATATATATATATATATATATATATATATATATATATATGAACATAGGATACTCATTTCTGGCCTGATAGGGTTTTGAAAAAAAAAATTCTTTTTTTTTCATTTAATATAAATTACAACGTCTCAAGGGTGTGAGTGTATATAAGTGTGTTTTGAAAATCTGTTTTATTTTTAAAGTTGGACATAATATTATTTAACAAAAGAATATGAAATATCAAAGTTTTTTTAAAGTAATGGTTTCTCGTGTTATGTTTATTTTTATGTGTTTTTTGTATTTATCTTATTCATTTAAAAAAAAATTCCTTTTTTTGCTATGTCATTCTTTAGTATGTATAATTTTAAAATATTTAAGAGACGTAATTGCTCTTTTTAATCGTTTAGTACAAATCTAGGAAAAGGTGCTTATGAGCACCCCCTATTTGACTATTTAATAAAGGGAAATAAGTCATGAAGGTGGTTTAAACGTTTGCCTATCTTTCCCAATGGTTTAAAAACAAATGAAAAAAAAATATATTAGAGCGTGGGATGGTGTCTATAGAATAAAGATAGTTCAACCGCAGCTACAGTTTTCTTTTAACAAAACAACCATCAAGTCAAAAATGAAAGAAAATTTTTAAGTAAAATAAAATAGATTATGGTCGGCCTAGGGCCCCTAAACGGCGTGGGCCCCCCCGCATTGCGGGGTCTGGCGGCACTGTAGTTCCGCCCCTGATAGTGAGGCCTTTATGTTAGTAAACATTACAATTTGAACGGTGTCAATTGTGTTTATATAGGCCTATATATATATATATATATATATATATATATATATATATATATATATATATATATATATGTGTGTGTGTGTGTGTGTGTGTGTTTGTGTGTAAAATCAACTCTCCTTCGCCAGTTAGTTATTACAGAACATATCAACTTTTCATACAGACTGATAAAACATAAGGGTTAGCCTTTACAGAACATATCAACCTTTTCCTTCATCTTATGCGCGCATCGAGCGCCAGGTAAGAACCGACTTGAAAGGGGAGGAGAGGGGGAAAGGGTAAGTCGAAGAGCGTTCACGTTTAGAACAGATGTGGAACATTTCATGTGGGAGCAGAAACAAGTGGCTTTTACTTTAGCAAAAACTCGGACGCCGTGAAATATTTTAGACATACATACATACATACATACATATATATATATATATATATATATATATATATATATATATATATATATATATATATATATATATATATATATATATATATAGTTACTTGAAAAAAATGACTTAAGTTGGTGCTCTATTAAACCCTGACTATATATTATTTATTAAACTAATAGAAATAAAATCTATGATACTAATTACCTCATCTGATAACCAGGTATCCAATCGGTTTTTGCTGCTTAAGACTGGTGACGTCACACTTTTTAGGTTCATTCCAGGTGATGTGACACTTGTAACAGGCAATGACGTCACCGACACAACCCAGAAGAGCGCCAGACAAAGACACCTGCTAGACACGCTGCACCACCATGGCGAGCCTGCTACCCCGTCCATGGTTCCACCGTCCACCCAGACGTGTGTCTGGCTATCAGACGTGACTGGCAACACCAGGGCTGGTCCCGCCCAAACCACGCTCCGCCGGTTAGTGGCTCTCCTGACGTCCAACAGAAGTCTCCGCCAGAGCCGGATTGGGGAGCCAGTCTGTGGGGAGAGCTGTATCGCGCGGTGGATCAACTAGGGCGAAGCACCTGTTCTTAAAGATTCTCCTATACCACCCGCCCGTTAGATTCGTCAGAAGATAGGCAAGGATGGGTTTGGTTAAAAGTAGACAATCGAAGTTTCTACTAGCTCGCGCAATCCCTTATATTTAACGTTCACATAGAGTATAAACATTTACACACACACACATATATATATATATATAAAGCCTATGAATATACTTATAGATCGTTCTTTAACTACTTTAAGGCGTACAGATATGGGAAAAAAAACTGTGGAGCTACACTGATGCTTGAAAGTTCAAATGCTATTTATAGCAGTTTTATTACCACTTTTCTATCACCGACTGCATTGGTAGGTAAATATATAACAAATTGGTTGCAGGTATAGAGCACAAACTTACCTCCCCTCCCCTCATGAATCTTGTCGGGAACCGTGCATATCTTCTACGTCGGCTGCTGTGTTTGGGTTGTCGTTCTCGGGGCAATATTTAAAAAAAAAAATTGATTTAACTTCACAAAAAATAAATACTTTAAATAACTCTGCGTTTAATCATTTAACGAGGCCATGGTGTTAGTTTAACCTGTACTGTAAGTGAATAAGACTGACATAGTTTTCAGTCTCTAGTTTGAAGAAGTCTACAAACTTCTTTAGGTTATTACCTACCAAAAATCAGATCTTAAAGTGTATTTTCTCAATGTTCTTACCATAATCCTTTCAAACTATCAAAAAATGTCCACTAGTTTTTGTGTAAGATGCAAACAACCGTTAGTGAATAATTTAGTATTATGTGTGTACAGATGTATTTTCTCATGCGCAAGGTACCCACTAACTAATTGATCACTAGAACCCACACAATTAGGATAGCGCTCACAATGTGTCCACTGCTTCTATAACACTAGGATCACAGATAACTGATATCAAATCAACAACAAAAAACATTTAGGATGAAATAATTTATTCTCAAGACAGGTTATGTCCAAGACTTACATATGTATTCTGGTGTAGTACCAATCACCACAGCAAATCTGTGCTCATACATTATTCAAATTCTAGGCAAATGTGATGTCACAAATGTATTCATATAGAGCACATAGATAAATAAAATGGACAGGAACCAAAATTAAGATCTTACAAATCCTAACAATTCATGTATTTGCTCATGATTGTGAGTCTATCTTTATTTGAATTGGTTTTAATGAGACAATACAAATAGCAAATGTAAAAAATAAATTGGCAATATTCTAAACACCCAAAAGAAACAAAATTTGATGAAGAGTAAATAATATTTTCTTGTTTGTATGTTAAGCATACAGAATCCAAGGTTTATCAATCATTTATTTGTGTTTTTCTTGAATAGTTTGATGGCAATCAACGTGTAGAATAAAATCTACATTATTAATCTAATCAGCTGCGCATAGCTGTTGCCACTGATGGACAGAGCTGTTGTCATTGCTGTCAGGTTCAAACAGCTCATATGTTCTTGTACGTACTGACTAAACTACATCATAAACTGACCAGCCCTTCACCATCACTTCAACAATGTATACCCACATATATCTTTCTTTATACAGACAAAATAGTCCTCAAATATGTTCTGTTCCATAACAGATTTCTCTTACACTGTATGATACTAAAGAACAAAACTAGCTTCAAGTGCTTCCGTAACATGCTAATAAAATCTTTACCAAACCAAGTGTTTGCAGCTCACTCAAAACATTCTTCAATGATTTGTGGACACCCTTTTTTTGGATTAAATCCATTACAACTACAATTCTATGGAACATCAAGTCATATGAAAACCAAAACCAATTCAGTGTTTTACTATCCTGACAATCTGATGTCATTTGTAGGTTCTTTTTACTAATAATTACAAATGTTTGCTTAAAAAAATTTCTTTGGAAGGGCAATTAATGTGAAAAGTTAATTATAAAAAGTATACATAGGTACAAATAGTAAAATCAATTTTTAAAATAATTATGTACAGTTTGAAAAAAAAATCAAGATTCTATTGCAGCAACACTACTAATGCATCAATAACATGGATTAATGTGTACATTTAGAGTATGTACAGCTAAAATGCTTTTAACTTAATCCAATCCAGCTATGTAAATAAGTAAATAATGTAATCTACTAAATAATTTAAGTTTTAATTTGTACAATTGTTGTAAATAAGGATATGGGGTAATTAAAAAAATATGGCTTTTTAAGAACTCAGCTGCTATTTACAACTAGTGCAATAAGACAAGGTTGATGAATTAGCTCAGGTCATGTCAGGTCACAGGCCAGAATAACAAAGAAACTGCGTCACAAATCCTTTAAGCTCACTATCAAAGAAATCAGCTTTGTTCCTGAGGAGAGAACACAAGATATTTCAATTATCTAGTGCTCTTGATTGATATTTTATTATCAAGTGAAAACTTATAGGACAGAAAAATTGAAAAACAAACCTCAGGGATTTAGCCCTAGAAGAAATCTCTTTTAAAATAGATAATCCGCTGTCTACATCCTTAATTTCAGCTTCTAACTGAGTCTTTGTGATATCTGCTTGATGGCAAAGTCGAGCAAATGTAGATGTTAATTCTCTGAAAATATACCAAATACATCCCTCAAGTATAAGATTGCTAAAATTCAAAAACTTCTGCAGGTCAACCCTATACTTAATATTGTATAAGCTTTTAAAACATCATTTTCTATCATAATGATGACATCAAATATATATATTTTATAATATTGTATAAGCTTTTAAAACATCATTTTCTATCATAATGATGACATCAAATATATATATTTTATAATATTTTAATTAAGTTACGTATTAAAAAAAATAAAACAAACTATCTATTTTGACATCCACAAGGACTATAATCTCACCACACTCCCCTTACCACCAGCACTTAATGTTGTACTTCATGACCAAAAGAACCCCCTACTTGATCAAAAGACTTAAATCTGACACCCCACCCGCTCCCAACTTACTGTTGTACTTGATGACTGCAGTTAGAGCTGGTTAAATCTATGATGAGTCTCAGCTTGCTGCTTGCATAATCAACATATTGCTGCTTGAATGCCTTTTCTCTGGCTTTAGTGGTCCATGTCAGTCGTTCATAAAGGTAGACACCACCATACATAGCACCAGTCACTATGATCACCCTCCAGCCTGCTGCTTTAGCAACCTAGCAGAGAGGGACACTTGTTGCATCACTTGTACTTACAGAAACCAAGACCTTCTGTTTTAATAGCTCATAGAGATACACAAGACCTTCTGTTTTAATGGGTCATAGAGATACACAAGACCTTCTGTTTTAATAGGTCATAGAGATACACAAGACCTTCTGTTTTAATAGGTCATAGAGATACACAAGACCTTCTGTTTTAATAGGTCATAGAGATACACAAGACCTTCTGTTTTAATGGGTCATAGAGATACACAAGACCTTCTGTTTTAATAGGTTATAGAGATACACAAGACCTGTTTTAATGGGTCATAGAGATACACAAGACCTTCTGTTTTAATGGGTCATAGAGATACACAAGACCTGTTTTAATGGGTCATAGAGATACACAAGACCTTCTGTTTTAATAGGTCATAGAGATACACAAGACCTTCTGTTTTAATGGGTCATAGAGATACACAAGACCTTCTGTTTTAATGGGTCATAGAGATACACAAGACCTGTTTTAATGGGTCATAGAGATACACAAGACCTGTTTTAATGGGTCATAGAGATACACAAGACCTTCTGTTTTAATAGGTCATAGAGATACACAAGACCTGTTTTAATGGGTCATAGAGATACACAAGACCTTCTGTTTTAATGGGTCATAGAGATACACAAGACCTGTTTTAATGGGTCATAGAGATACACAAGACCTTCTGTTTTAATAGGTCATAGAGATACACAAGACCTTCTGTTTTAATGGGTCATAGAGATGCACAAGACCTTCTGTTTTAATAGGTCATAGAGATACACAAGACCTTCTGTTTTAATGGGTTATAGAGATACACAAGACCTTCTGTTTTAATAGGTCATATAGATACACAAGACCTTCTGTTTTACTGGGTCATAGAGATACACAAGACCTTCTGTTTTAATGGGTCATAGAGATACACAAGACCTGTTTTAATGGGTCATAGAGATACACAAGACCTTCTGTTTTAATGGGTCATAGAGATACACAAGACCTGTTTTAATAGGTCATAGAGATACACAAGACCTGTTTTAATAGGTCATAGAGATACACAAGACCTGTTTTAATAGGTCATAGAGATACACAAGACCAGTTTTAATAGGTCATAGAGATACACAAGACCTTGATAAACTATTCTTAACCATTTAAAGTTTTAAATAAATTTGTTATTTCAATCAGCACTGATTATTGATGGTGCTTATACTATTCTTACACATTTAAAAAAAATATCTGTATTGTGGCACCTTACAAATAAAAACAACTGCAGATAGGTTGTATTGTATATTTGTGTTATTGCAGTGGTGAAAAGTCAGGTTGTAGATTAGTTGTGTAATAGTAAAGACAGTTAGTGGAGGAGACAGGTTGTATTGTAGAGGAGACAGGTTGTATTGTAGAGGAGACTGGTTGTATTGTAGAGGAGACTGGTTGTATTGTAGAGGAGACTGGTTGTATTGTAGAGGAGACAGGTTGTATTGTAGAGGAGACTGGTTGTATTGTAGAGGAGACAGGTTGTAATGTAGAGGAGACAGGTTGTATTGTAGAGGAGACAGGTTGTATTGTAGAGGAGACTGGTTGTATTGTAGAGGAGACAGGTTGTATTGTAGAGGAGACTCACCAGCCCAACAACAACAGCTGCACCTAGTGTAGACCTAGATGTAAGGGAGGCAAATGTGGCAAGCAAGGACAACATTATTTCACCATCATTGCTACCAGTCATCGGATGGTGGCTATCTCCTGACAATGAACCTCTCCTGGTATTTGAAGTTGCTTCCTGTAATTATAAGATAAACTGTTGTATTTTATAACTAAAGACAGAAAAATCAAAATGTTTATTGTATATTATAAAAAACTAATTAACTTAATTTTCATTTTAGTTAACATTTCCTATGTTTTTAAAATATATGTATTAAAACTGTTTCTACCTTCTTCAAGTTGATTTGATCTTTGATGCCTAAGAAGCGCTGCATAAGGGCAGTTGGGCTTAAAGAAAATCTGAATTCAATGTCCTCACGAAACCCGGCACACAAATTTCGACAGTCCAGACGGTAGGCTATTTCAAAGTCCCGCTTAGGCATGAGATTCATTAGTTGCTGCTTAGAATCAGAAGGCAGGATTTCAGAAAGCCGATCTAAAAGTAAGTTTAAACAACAGTATAGATTAAACTAAGAATATTGAATCTGGTTTTATTTGTAGCAAGCTTTGATTGGTTATCTAAATACATAACAGAGCTAGTTTTACAATGGTTAACAATAATAGATTAGGATCTAATTATTATAATATTATACTATTTCAAGATATTTTTAATGTTCAAAATTTGAATTAAGAATATGTTTTTATTTGATTTATGAACACACGTTTAAAGATTTTAATTTTAGAATAAGAATCTATAAAAATACTAATCTTCTTTACAGAACTTTTTTAAAAAATTTAAAACTGATATAGATCTATATTTTTTTAGAAACCACTAGTCTTAAAATATAGATTATCAAAAATTAAATGATTATATTTCTATATATATTTCTAATTCATGACTAATAACATGCTGATTAAGGAAGAAAGCCACTATCAAATAAAAAAAGCGCAAAAAAGAAAAATAATACATTCTTATAAAGTAAAAAAAATAAAAAATCACACATTGGTATTCTGCTACAATAATAACATTTAGCAATTGAATTAAATTATATATGTCCCTGTGGTGATGCTTTTTAAAACAAATTTACACAGATTGTTGTACAAAAAATTACATTAAAATTCAAATGGTCATCTACGTTTTGGAGATAATAAAAGGTTACACTTAATATTTATATATTCAAATATAAGATAATTTTAAATTTTAACCAGCAAAGTTCAGAATAATTCCTGACTTGAATCAAGATTTATAATATTTTAAATCAGACCTGTCATATTTTTCTGTGTAGCGTCTACTGCTTGTATGACCAGTGAGGAACATCGAGCTTGAAGATTTCTGCCTAAAGTTTGTTCTATATGTGAATGAAGTTCCTAGAAAATGGCCATAATACAGGAACATGAAAGCACAATTATATAAGGCAACCAAACATTTCTACAAAATAAAGCAGCTTTACAGTCCAGCAACTACTAGACAAAAAAAAACATTTTTTAGAAAACAAAATAGGAAGAAATAGATTAAAAGCAACTGAAAATTATATATGTGTGAGTGGACAAACAACAAACAGTTTCCAACATAAAGAAAACTTCAATCTCTTTTAGTTGTATGCATTAATCATTGATTCTAATAAGTTCTAATCCTTAAAATTGTAGTATATCCTATCTCTAGAAAATAGCATTTACTAATATTTAAAAAGACAAATTTTTGCTTCTCTATTCTCATGAATTAATAATAAATTATTGAATATACATAGTGAAAATTAAAAAACAAACATGGGTTAGTGTGATTGTTCTGGGTACTACCATATGTACAATTAATTATAAGTTACTGTGTGCCAAATAAGAAACAACTGTAAACACATCAGCATGCAAAAAATCTATCACACTCAAAAAAGTGAATAAGCTACTTTTAGTGTTTAATTACAAAATGTAATCATAAATATATGGGATACAGCAGCTTTAAAAAAAAAATGTGATTACAAAAACATTAAATATCCCATCAGACTATAAACACCTGCAAAATATTTCAGCATGTTATCAAGTGAGCGAAGAATTGGACTACTGCAGCGACCAACCAGATTTAAGCACAGACGCTCCTCAATAAAATGATGAATTTCCTAAAAAATTATAAATAGGTTACAAGGAAAACATGACATATTTCTCTTAGACCAACCAAGGTATTCCAACCCTGACAACAAAAACATGGCAAACTATTTAACTAGTTGGTTTTTTCTTTACATTCTGAAAGCATTAAACACTAAAAAAACTATTTAAAAGGTTCTAAATGAACTAACATTAGAAAATATATTTTAGTGCTTGATTTTAAAGACTATTTTATACAAGTTCTATTTTCAACCTTTTTAGTCTATAGGAAATGAAAAAATGAAATGGGGATTAATATTTAGTTTCTAAGCTAATGTACCTAATTAAATCAACCCCCCTCCCACCCCCAAACAAAACAATGCTAATATTGCTTTCTAAAAGTCAATGTGCACAAGATTTTTTACATTTATGAACACAAATTAAACTGACAGTCATCTCCCTTTCTATTGCTGTAATAGTAATCAATGTAATTTTTAGCAAGTAATGTAATTTCTCATTAGACTTGTTTACTTATTTAATTGTCCTTTGAGATGCACATTTGGGTACAGCTTGAAAGTAGTCAATTAGATAGAAATGTACCAAAACCTATTTACAAATATGATCACAAATACACAAAAAACTTCTAAAAACATACATTCACTTAATTTGACATACTTCTGAGTGTAAAAAAGACAAAGATATTACTATTAGTCATTATTGTAAGTTCTAAAAGGTGTAAACATTACTTAAATTGAATATTAAAAATAAAAAGTACCCCTTTCAAACCTGACGGTCTATAGGGCCAGTGAAGAAAAAATGTAGTCAGACACTATAATTATGTAATAACTGTGACAGATTATATGTAAAAGCCTCACTTATCTCAACTTAATGTGGCCATAGTGTTAAAGCAATGTAAAATTAGTCCAATATGGCCTAAAAACTAGAGTTGAATGATTAATACCAATTGAGTTTTTGAGCTAAATTTAAAAGTGAAGAATTGTTTTGCTGCAGATGGTTAAACGTTCAACGTAATCAATAATGTCAGACTATGTATGTTTAAGTTTATGTAAATAAGTCAAGTACAATTTCTAACCTATTGGTCCATTAAATTACAAACTTTCATTAAGGGCATGGGCTGTTGATGAAAACCAAATTGCTCATTTCTAAACCTAATGCTATAATATTTAGCATCTAGTTATGATTCAAAGAGTTAAGTCAAAAAATAACTAAATGGTCAAAAATTTCCTGCCATGGAAGAGGCATGAAATTTTCAGCAGTTCTTTTAATTTTAGACTTAATTCTTTGAGTCATAACTATGTGCTAAATATTATACGTTTAGAAAAAAGCATTTTGGTTACTCTGGTTTTCATCACCCGCCCTTGCCCCTTAACTCAGAACAAACATTGTACTTTGAATTTTAAAAATGTTGGCATTTTGCTCAGATATGTAGTGTACTGGACCATGTTTTACTTTAATTCTTAGGGTTACAAAGAATATATTTTAGGTAATCAATTACCTTTTTATATACATTCAATAGCATGGGGTCAGGATGGAATGGTCTTTCAAACTCTTCAACTAGTAGTGACAGACGTCTGATTTCATCATTAAGAGCTGCAGAAACCTTTAAGGTGAAAATAATATAATGTAAAGAAAGATTATTCAAATTATTTAATGTAATTTATTGATAATTTTCTTATACTGGTTAGCAAATGATAGCATGTCTTATCGTTACATTTCGTAAACATGCAGTGTAAATTAAATTTAATGCCTTTAAAGAAGAAAGAGGAAAAATGTATTGATCAATAGTTTAAGTTATGTTTTTAAAAAGACCTTTCTTTCCACATCTTCAACCATATTTCTTATTTTTATTTTCACATCACTAGTCAAGGCATCTAACTGCTTATCCAACAGACCAAGTCTTGCTGACTTTTCTCTGCGGAGCTGAACTTGCTCATCTCTTGAAATGAAAGGTTAAACATCATTTTTAATTATGATGACAAAACAATCCAATCACAGATTCCATCATATTGTATTGCATAAGTTCAGTTTTCATTTCAATTGAATTAGTTATAATTTAAGTGGATGAATGGTATAGTACAATAGAAATCTTACTGTAAACTCAAACTTTTAGTATATGCTTCTTCCATTACAGAACGTATCTCTGAATTAATGTTATGTGCTCTTTTAGTGTGCTGCTCAAATTTAGTTTTTACAGCTGACTGAGAAATGCATGTCTGAAAAATATACATTCTAACTAATTAATTAAAAACAGAGCAATATGCTAAACATGTTTATAAAATGATGTAATATAAAACAATCAATAGTTAATCACTTAAAACCGGGGTCAAATTTACATTTTTTAAAGAGCCTTATACCTTGTAAAACTAAGAATTATTTTCTTTCAGTTTTAATTCCATTTTAATTTCAATATATTTTTAAAAATTAAAAATAATTTGAATATCTTATTTTCAATTTGAGTTTTGATGACAATTAAATAAAAAGGAACGGATCAATGTGACTAACCTCAAACTCTTTTTCAAAGTTGGCGAACTCAAACAACCTAGCCTGAAAGCCTGGTAGAAGTATACGTTCTAGGAAGAAAAGATTTAGAATCAATTAAACAAATTTAGTTTAATACTAAATATAGGTCATATAAATGGTAAAATAATTTAATTTAAAACTAAGTCAAGTTTAATTAGGGTAAAGATATAATGAGAACACAACATGTTCTGACCTGGTGTGGCTATTCCTTTGTCACAGCTCAACCTAGAGGCAAGTGCCTCACGAGCTGAAACAAAAAACACTCTATCCCTTGCAGCCTTTTTATCTGTCACCTTTAATTCTTCCACCAGAAATTCTGTGTTTCTATCAATATGCTGCTGTTTTACCTTCAAGTACAATCAATTCATAGTTCATTTTTGTTGCTCTGATAGGTAGACAGGGCTAATGTTCTAAGCAAAATGTTTATAAAATCATTAATATAAAAACTTCATTAACCTGATCAATGTCCTCCTCCATCTCAGAAACATCCCATCGGTTTTGTAAGATAAAAATATTGGGCTGAGACAACCGAGAGCTCACTTTGTGGAAGAAGTTTTTCTCCTAAAAAAATAACATTTATTGTGTCAAAATTTTAAAAAATCAGATATTTTTCCAAATTTAAAAATAGTTATGTATCTCATTTTAAATCCAGAATCCCCAAAAAATACAATCTAAAAATATCTGTTCTTTAGAAAATCCCTTTAAATTATACTGAAAGTAAGCAACATTTATTTATTGTTTCTGAAAATTAACTGATTACTGACTGTTTGCATTAAAGTTGACTCCGCATTCGCAACCAGCACAAAAACATCTGCATCTAGACAAAACTTGTCTATCCAAGTATCAAGGTCAGGTGTAACATCAATTCCAGGGCTGTCAACCAGGATTACATCATCTCTTAAAAGTCTGCATTTGTCTTTAGGCCAAAGGATGCGAATCAAGGAGTTTTGTGAAAGCTTAACATCACTTAAAGCACTAGCAAGTTGTTTAATGTCCTGAAACAAACACAAAGTTTTATAAATTATAATATATTTTATTTTCAGTTTAAAAAGATAATATTTTGAACATACTACTGACATTTAACAAAATAATATTAAAAAAAAAATCCATCATCATTATTTTCAAATACAATAAAAAAATTTTAAATAAATCTAGCCATCATACTTTAATACTTTTTGGTTTTTCAGATTCCTCAGTAAGTAAACAACCCTCTTTTCCATCAGATCCCTCAACTTGAATAAAGCAGTGGGTTGTATGCCCTATACCACTGGGTAGAATTTTGTCACGGAGCATAGCATTTATAACAGTACTTTTACCATTAGAAGTTCTGAAATAGGAACAATTTTATCAATAAGTTCTAACAATTATTTTATGAAAAGATCATAAAATTTAATTTTTATGGCTAAATAAACTTTCAAACTCTGCTACCTTTAAAAAGGAAAACAATATTGTTAGCACAAAAACAAACCTTCCAAAAAACACAACTTTCATATGGTCTCTAGCCAAAACTTCTGCTATTCCATCAATTTTCTCTCTAAATCCTTTCACAACATTTATATTTTCCTCTGATACCAAAGCTTTCAGATCAGATGAACCAGAAATGTCTGGAAGAAAAGCAAAATTTTTGTCAGTTCAATTAGAAGATGTATATTTTATTATTTTAATATAGCCTATTAATTTTAAAAATAAATATTTTCAACACTAAGTATAAATTTAAAGATGTGTTCTCTACATGTATTGTTTATAAAATGTGCAAATCTAGGGTTGATTTTTCCAAAAATATGTAGTGCAATTACAAACAAATAAAATAAATACAGTAATAGAGGTAGATAAACTTAAACAGCATTTACAAACAAAATAGCATTTGCAAACAAAGCAAAGTTACCTCTAACAAATTTATCTGCTTCACAAACATACTGCCCAATATTTTTGAATATATCATTTATCTTCTTTTTGGCATTTACGAATAGCTGAAGAGCAGACTCATGACTATGGCCGTTGCCAAGGTTGCGCTGGCCAGCGACTGCTTCATCTTCATCCATTCTAATGTGAGCAACCCCCGACATAATCAAAACCTCATCAACAATGTTGAACTCCTAATTAAATCACAGGTTAAATCACAGGTTAAGTTGTGAAACCTAGAACAAAAACAAAGTTTGAAAATTAACTATATGATAGTTCTTATCAAATCTCATCCAAAACAATCAAATTTCTTAGCATATTGGAAAAAATATTAGCTGATCTGAAAATTTCAAATGTATTGGATATCTCAGTCCACCCAGCATTGAATATTCATAGTAAGTACAAGTACTTTATCTACAATAGCTATATAACATAAACCTCAATGAAAACAGATGAACACTAATTCATCTGCGCTGATAATAATAAAGCATGAATTAAAAATGTATTATTGATCAATGTCAATTAATTTAATATTGATTTGACAGATGCTACTGACCCACTAGATCTAGATCTACACAACTGTCACTACAAACAACACAGTCACACTTTTACTAAACTTTAGTTTTAAACTAGACTAGAATCTAGCTAGATCTAGATTACCAGATTAGTAGTAGATTCTACTTTTACTCTAGATCTAGAGGTCTTCATTATTCCAGATATCTAGATCTCTTTCTAGATCCTAGAAACCGAGATTTCTAGATCTAGATCTACCACAGACATTCACATTAGGCCTAAATTCAAGTAAATTGGCCTAAATTAAAAATTTAAATTAAACATTTCTTTTTTTCTAGATCTAGAATAATCTAGATCTAATCTAGTCTAGGCCAATCTAGGCCCTAGTTACTTTTAATTTTTAATGGGCTCAACATTATTACATTTATACTATTTATTAAAATGATGGATCTGGATCTCTTCCTTGCCAATAGATTCTAGATCTAGATTAGATCTGTTTGTTTTTATTTCTTAATTGCGGTGTTAGTTTTGACTTTCAGCTGAAAAACATGGGGGTCACAACAGCAGTATGCTAGTAGATTTTTCAAATACCGCGAAATACCACAAAATGCGGAAAACGTTAGGCTTAACATTTTTCTATAACATTTACTCATTTGATTATAACGAAGGATTAAAGTCTTATCAACATTAAATAAATAATGCCAATATGCTCCAAAACTTCCTTTCTATTAAAAAAATTAAGCTTTGTCAAAATTAAATATGTTAAGGTCTATCCGTGTTTATTACCATTTTAAAAATGCCAACTAGATCTATATCTAACTACTAGAATCTAACTACTGTCATTCAGTTTAAATACGTCATGGCTTCTATCTAGCCCTTCCACCTCGATTGTTGTTGTTAAATATAAATAGGGCCTAGACTTATGTAACTAATAAATTGGCACCAAATAGGCCCTAAGCAATTACTTCTATTTAATTTGATTTAGGCCCCTACACCAAAAATGTCCTCCTACAACTATAATAAAACGATAGATTACCAACTATAATGTTAATAATAATAATATATAGATCTATGACTAATAATCATATATAATTATATACAGAAATTGATATTTCAATAATATAGCACTCTTTAACTTCATTTTTATGAAAGTGGTTTCTGATTTTTAAACTATGTTTTTGGTCTTTGGTACGCTCTGTTGCCAATTCATTTTAAACAAAATTACTAAATCTGTGCGTTATAGTTATACCCGTTATAATCTAGATCTAGTGATTATAGTTTATAATTTATAGGTCTATATTTATTACGAGCCGACCCGCGGCGTATCATACGCCGCTATTTAATTGTTTTATTTTCTACTTTACAGTAATTCATAATTTGTGAATTCGACAGTCACAGTACTTGAGTACTCAGTACCAATGGCTGCTGCCACTGAAAATATTTGCTTTAAAACACTTCCCCCCCCCCCCCCTTTCCCTAACCCCGACCCTACACCCCCCCCCCCCCCCCGTGAAAGCAGCCTCCTCTTAGTTACCTCCTGGGTAAAATCTTAGTTTAGCGTCGTAAATTCGGCCAAAACTAGTAATGTAGGAGAGAGTGAATTAATGAATATGTCATTAAATATTAATAAATAATAATATGAGTATATTTTCGTATAGTTTGATAAAGTATTATAGATAATTGAATAATAGATCACCATTGATGGTTAAATCAATTTAAATATCCTGAAATTAATGTTTATCAACCCTGTTCGAGATAGTAAATTTGCTATTAAAAACAGCAGCGATCTTAAGAAAATGTTAGAGTAGCTTTCCTTTCATTTCTATTCGTATGAAAATGTATTTAAATATGATTGTCTTGTTGTATAGTCCGTATTACAAAGCATTTTTTTTTTAAATTCTGCTCTTTAAAAACTGAATTTCCTAACAAAAAACTTTATTAATTCTAGAAGCATTGTGAGATGCAACTTGTATCAATGTATTAAATCACGTTTTTTTACTAATTTTTATTTGATCTTACTATTACTAGATCTAGATCTATATAGATCTAGTTTGAGGTTTTTTTTATTGTTTGAATGTTCACTATTTTCATTTCAGGTTGTTCTTTTCATCAATTAGTGATTCTTTCGTAACTTATGAAATTTTTTTACTTCTCTTTACCTTAATTAAACCCCATCCTCCATCATATTTTTGTTGTCAATGTCACAACAAGTCATAATGTAAAAAATTACGCTTCACTCTGCCTTATCTAAGATCTCTAACCATAATTCTGACAACATTAAATGTTTGTCATCATTTGTATATACAGAGAGACAAAATGTATTATCCACCAGCTTCCCTCGTAAAACATCATCTAAAACAATGAGTTAGTCCACCCCTTAAGTGCATGTTGTCATTTATGGTCGATCGCAAGTCTCCACCTGCTAGACACATTTTGGTTATCCTTTGTTGTCAAAATGTCAATATCAAGTATGCAAGTGAGTGATATGGGGTTGTCCATAAATGATGTCACGTATGATTTGCTACGGGAGTGAGTGAAGATTTGTGACGTCAACTCAGGCGGCTTTGCAATTTATGACGTGTCGGTCTCATGAATGAAGGGAGGTGAACGGGGAAAAATACCTAGGTGGTTGATGGAGAACCTCTATAATGCTTTGTTCAATCAAAATAACGATAAATAAGCATTAGTATACGTATACCTTGCTTAAAACGAATCATCACAAATGTTGCAAGCCTGCTAGTTTAAGACATTCGGCAAAACGGCCGCAACACATTATCCCCGTCAAAAAGGCTTGCCACCAAATGCCTGCCGACGAATAAGCGGCGTCTAATGCGGGGCGTTAGGAATACGGCAAATAGCATGGGCCGCGTTAGAGCACCAGTAGGCTATCGCGCTTTGTAAGATGACGTAAATACTTACATTCAATTTCGCTAAACTAAGCGAAAATTTAGTAATGTTCCATCGTTTGAGGAAATTTATTTTCTTGGACTTAAATTGAAATATCATGTTGACTGTCTGGCTCTTAATTTCCGAATATCACTTTTAATGTATCAAGATTCAGAACTATAATTTACTTTAATAAGTGTCATCTTATCGTTTATTGTGGTTTTTATAAAGCGCAGAGCAGCTTCAAAATCGCACGGCCATCCTGTTTTCACCAAGCTTCTTTTGGAGCTTAATAGTCTAGTTCTATACGGTGAGAGCTTAATACATTTTTAAAAGGCCAAAAGTTTCAAGACAGCAAGCTTGCAGAAATAACTACGTACATTTAAATGGACGAGTGATAGATGTGTTAGGGGCCGTTTAATGAACACCAACTTATGTAATCAAATTAAATGTCGCAAAAGCGTCAAAAAGGCAGTGCTTGTTGTTTTTTTTTCTATAAAATTAGCCTAACGGTCGGGGGTACCGCTACATGACGTCACGTGCGGGCGTTAACTCGGTGACGATTTGCTAAGTGGGGGAATGAAAGAGGTGGGGTTCAAGAAATGCGACTCGGCAAGCTTTTTACATTTCTTGACCCTTCTTAATAGTTCTTTCATCCCCACTGAGAAAATGGATCACCAATGAATGATGCATCATACTTCTACAGCTGGTCTTTCTCCCACAACCATCCCGTTTTCACGAAAAAAAAAAAACCTGACCCGTCTCCAAAATCACATCGCTGAGTTCTATTCAACCTCTCCCCACCACAAATCACAATTTCTATCTGAAACAATATGTTCATGTTTGCTCTGTAATAATGCACGCTGTCATTACTACCTTAAGAGCGACGTCATTTATGAGCGATCTAATATTGATTTGCTTACTGCAAATAAAGTGTTCAAAAGTTCGACCTCCCAACAATTGTTGTGGTCTTGGATGCACACTATTAAGTCTGATAAGGTCTATTAGTCATTCATGTCAACTATATTAAAAAAAAGAAAAATTACTATACAGGGGGTCATCCATAAATGATGTCACGCTTTTTTTGACGATTTTTACCTCCCCCCCCCCCTCCCCTCCGTCACACGTCGTCACAAAAAGCCAGACCCCCCCCCCAAAATGACGTCACACCTCAGCCTACAACCCCCCTCAAAATTGCAGTTGAATTGTTTTTAAACAGCTATATTTTTCCAAAATCTTGTCTGAACTCTGTCAAAATAGAGTATTTTAATCAATTGTTATTACAATGTATTAAAACAGTTTTTTAAAACGCAAAATAACGTCTAAACTTCGTTTTCTAACATTGCTTTTTTAAAATGCAAAAGTGTGACGTCACACCATCTGAACCCCCCCCCCCCCCCCTCATCACACAACGTCACAAAATTACGGACCCCCCCTCCCCCCTACGAGTGTGACGTCATTTATGGACGACCCCCGGCATATATTAAAGCAATACAAAACAATCATATTAAACCACAAAATCAACACAAAAGACATGCGAATAGACAATTTATTGTTTTTAAAACATGGCCGCTGCTTGTATTTACTCATTGTTGTCTCGAACGGAGTAGTTTAAAGTTTATTCCAGGATATTTATAACTGGTTTGGTCTTGGATTGTTATTTGTTATTCAATTATCTGTTATATTATGTAAAATATGACATAAATTTGGCCAAATGAAAGAAATATTCATTAGTTACCTTCATCGCACATTACTAGCTACGTTGGAATTTACGACGCTAAACTAAGATTTTACCACCTCCTGTAAGTTTAAAATCGTTTCAAACTAAATTATCTGCCCCTAATAGCCGTCACTAAACCCGGCTCTACGATTTGTAAACATTATCGTGACCACACATGTGGGGGTGGTAGTGATAATGATAGAGAGAAAGAGAGGGGACTGCAAAGAGGCGCTTGCAGCTTGTTTTCTAACGTCTCCCAGAAGAGAATTATATATATAGATTATATAGAGGATCTAATATTTAGGCCTAAAAGTTTATTTTATTAGGCTATTAATTAATCTTTAATCTTGATGTGGATTTAGATCAGTGGTTCTTATTATTACTTTTATTACTTAATCTTAAATATTTTTAAATAATATAAATTGCACAGCTTCCTTGAATTACACTTTTACTTTTACACTTTACACACAGTCAATATTATCAGTGATTGTGTGTGTGTGTGTTGTTGTGAACTTCAACTTGTAGGCCTATTTATTTATTATTTAATATTATTTATTCTATTTATAATTTAATTAGTATAATTACCATACCATGCAGCTTAAGGTAGTGTTCTTATAATAAAATAAATAATGTCTTACAGTCTGTCTTATAATAAGTCTTATAGTCTTTTATACTGACTTATACATACTTTGTGTCTTATAGTTATACTTTTTTTGCCATTGCAAGACTAGAATTGCTCATCATACAGAACAGTTACTCCCATCAAGTTCTGTTACCTGTTACCATACACATGTGAATCCATGTTCATGTACATTCCAACAACTTTATAAACTTTCTTTTTATGCTTGACATGAATGAAGGGATAAAAATATCAGGTAATCTATCATTTTAGGTACGTAAAATCGCCAGCAGCTAATAATGTACGAAAAAGTCACCTCATTGTCAAGGCTTGAATAGAAGTATATCTATGTATATAATTTTCTTCTGGGAACCGTTAGAAAACAAGCTGCAAGCGCGCGTTTTGCAGTCCCCTCTTTTCCTCTCTATCGCTACATCATACATATGAATCGGTGTGTGTCTTAACCTCCACCAAACCCTTGAGGCTGACTCATCAATCTCTTTAATTTCAATTGAACCCAGGTTAAGAACCACTGATCTAGATTCTAGATCTAATTTAGAACTAATTCTAAATCTAAGATCTCTAGATTCAGTTCTGTCTAGAAGATCCAGTTTAGGAATCTAGACATAGATGTATAGTATATACTATATAATCTAGATCTAGTATTTCTATTTTCATACCAAATGTCTTGTTACTAGTATTATAAGTATAGTATAGTTAAGTATAGTACTAGGGTGTTAGTTTATATTAGATGTTTTATTTTAACTAATTAATAGGCCAAGTAGTAATTTGAAATTTAATAGGCTTTGTAACCTAATACTACTAACTAATGGACCTATAAAAAATAGTTATCTGGATATTTTTTATTCCATGAGTATTATCTACTCCACTAGGTCTTGGATTAAAGATAAAATTGTTCTTAAACAAAATGGAAACAGACCCTGATGCACAAATAGGCAAAGAACAGGTAAGTACTAAGTAGGATATCCATCCCCCCTCCCCCATTAAAAAATGAGTCAAAACATTCTACTGTAATAATGGAGGGCCAACTACCTTACTTTACATTTAAATCTATTCCTGTTGATTTTATTTTAATAGACTAAATAAAGTATACTTTTGGTTGATACAAATGGTATTGATTGCTATAAATTAAGTTTTTAGATCTTTAACTTAAAGATAAAATATATGACCTATAGATAAAAAGGTCTACACAATATTTTTAAGCTTGGGAATTAAAAAAATACTTTTTAGATCCTTTTACAGCTTAAAACATTATTTTATGAACACAGCACACAGCCTAATTACTATGACACTTTGTAGGAATTACATCATGCCACAAGATGTGTATAGGCATAACCTTATATTTTATTTATGTAATTTTGCTTTGAAAATTTAACTAAAACTGAATTGGAAACTAATAGAGAGCAAGACTTAAAGAGCAAAAAGTAAAATGAGAACATGATTGCTAAACAAAACTAGAAACTTTTAACTTTAAAAGGTTATGTCTCTGTGTATTAGGAACAGCTTAAACCCCATAATTTGATCTTTTAAAAATTAGACTTACTTTACTTATTTTAAATCAAGTAGAGTGGTGAAAAAATCACAGGAAAAACTTTTTGCTCATAAATATTGTATACTTCCATTAAAAAAATTAGTCATTAATTTTGGAGAAAACGACATTGAAAAATAATTCTTGTGTACATCATATCTCCGACAATTTTCAATATACTTGTACTAAATTCTGCACACACTTAAATGAATGTTAGAAGAACAAATTTGCTAAACTAATAGCTGTATCCATTGTAGATTTTTTTTTAAACCTAATTTCTTGGACCCAACACTTTTTCATTTTCAGCCCTGTGACTAAAAATGTAAAAAAAAAAAAAAAGTTTGATATGCCAACTTCAATTTTAAAATGAAAGTATCCAATACTTGCTAGCAAAATTGGCTTTTCTTATGATTTTGTCATCAGCCTATATTATTTAAACTAGGAATAGCAATATAAACAGAAAGTGATATTTCAACGCCAAAGGTAGACAAAGGTACAGAATATAGTCCAAGTGGTATAGACTGAATTGTTAATAATAATATAGCCTCACAAAAAACCAGACCTTTTACAAACTCCGATTTTTTAAAAAGTAGTATTCTTTAAAATTTTATTTATTTCAGAAAATCAAGGCCAGCTTATATTTTAGTATAAAGCAGATAGCCAAAGAAGTGGAGGAGGAAATGGAAGTTTCTATTAGTGCTCCAGTTCTTGCCACTCTATGTGAGAGCTTAGTTCGACAAGCAGAATGTTATGCACTGGATCTGGAAAATTTTGCTAAGTAATATTTTTTGCTCTCTATACAATTGTTTATCATAACTTTTAAATCAAATCTTACCTTAAAAAGAAGCCAACAAACAAAAAATCTGCACTTATTTGATAAAAATGAAGCACACAGGTTCGCAGATATCGAGTGAAGGAAGTCATACGCTGAGCAAAAAAATAGTCGGTATCTCTGCAATGACTTACATTGCGGTCGTATGTTGCCTTGACATGAGATAATTTTAGTAACTTACAACATGGCATCGCCTGGTAACCAATAGGAATACAGCTTTTCTTATTTCCATCATGCATTCACCTTGCGATTTCTATTTTAGTATTTAAAACTATGTCAATGTATTTAGGTTATTTAAATGCGCAATTGCAAGCTGGTCATTCTGATATACAGCATGCTAGGCTAGGTCGCTTAGTTAAGAATCACCATCAGAAATAATGCAGTACAATAGAAATGTTATTAACTATATTTTGTATTTATGCTCTGAACCTGCACATTATGAATTGCGTTTTATCAACTCCCTAGACATGCTAAGAGAACAACCATAAATGTAGATGATGTCAAACTGTTGGCAAGAAGAAACAGTGCAATGGTAAGTTTGAGCTAATTCATTAGCAATCAAGTTTTGAATTGTTTCATGGTAAAAGTAAAGTTTGTATACCAGTGAATTAGGAAAAGTATGTGCCCTTCTTCTTAAAGTAGTATCTAATTCTATGCCACTGTGCATCATTTGAGATAAAAAAAAAATTTTGTCTTATTAGTTGGAACATTTAAACTCACTATCAGAAGAGCAGTTGGCACAGAAGAATGTCAGCAAGCCTTCAAAGAAGTCTACAAAAAGCAAACAGACTACTCATGATGATTTAGATAATGTGAGTTTTGGAAATTTAGCTGGTTGAAAAAAAGCACTGTTTTAAATACATTAATTTAAAAAACTTAACCTTTTAGAATTAACTAGACTACCTGTTATTCTTGAATAACCCTGGGTTTTGGGAGTAATCCATAAATGATGTCCTCTTGTTAGAAGATGTTTATCTTTCCCCTTCCCTTCCCACTGTCACACATCGTCACAAAAAGTCAGACCCCCACATTTAAAAAGACGTCACACCTCAGGCAACATGTTATTGTCTTTGAAAAACATATATTTTGGCTGAGCATGAGTCTGACCACACTATTCCTTCATATGCTGAGAACACAGAAACAGGTGAACTCTACTTCACCTACCCAGTGTCCCGCCAAGTTCCGATAGGAAACTTTATCATTCACATCTAAAAATAAACTGGGAGTGATCTCCCCTAAAATTTCTCGAATATTCTTATATAACACTACGGGGGTGGCAACTCGGGATATAGACATGATTTTAATCCATTTTTAATTACTTAAACTTTTTAAGATACAATAGAATCTGGTAGAAAAAAAAATTGCGCACCAAGTGAATGCCAAACAAAATGTGTATAATAGTGTGGAATATTATTAGTACTTTATAAATTCACATGCATTTTTGAGAAATCGGAAATAGCGTAAGTCACTACTTCCGGTCAACGGAAATTACCAAAAATTTGACAGAAGGCAGAGAATTAGATCTTTTACTTAACTTACATGTGAAATTTTATTTATCTATCTGAAATAGTAGTTATAGGCTTTTGAAAAATTGAGAGTAGAAAAAGTTCCACTTCCCGTTATCGGAAATCGCTGAAAAATTGATACAGATCTACAAATTTGATATAATACTTATATATGAAATTTCATCAACCTAGCTGAAATGGTGCTCAAGTTATCATGTTTACAGACACACACACAGACATACGGAAAGGACTACTAAACTATGTTTTTCCGACTCATTTTTTTTTTCACCATTACAATACTTTCTCTATAGGCCTACTTCGTATGAGAAAGTAAAAAATTGAAAAAAATAATTTAACATTGACATGATGTGTCTCAAACCCATTAACTCAGCTATCTCGGCACTTCCGATTAGGTGCAAAATTATTGGATAGTTTACTTAGAGAGTCCGCGTAAGAAACTTGAGTTATGCGAAGAAGCCCATTATTTCAAATTAAATTATATCCCAAATTAGCCAATTCCATAGCTAAACAAGCAAAGATTTATATAAAATAGTTTAGCATAGAAACTCATCATTGGCATAGATTCTAGATAGATAAATCTAGATCTAGAATCTACCGCTACCATAACTCTAGTTTCTCCGTAGATCTAGAATCTAGATAGATAACCCTTGTATTCTAAAATTAGATGATCCTTGAAGCTAAAAAGCAAAGATTTATTTCAAATATTTAAGGACTAACATAGTTTAATAAAAAAACTCAATTATTTATTGTGTTTTTTTTTTTTGTATCTAACTAATTAATTAAGGTTTGGCCTATCGGTAGATCTAGAGTTCTAAAATCTCTAGATCTAGCAAGAATCTCGGCTAGGTAAATTTATGTATAGATCTAGTCAAATTAGAAGAACTGCCCAGCATATCCGAATGAAAATTGATAATAGTGTTTGAACCTATTAAAAGCTATAACCAACAGAAAATTTAGCTTTATAATGCGTTAAACTTTTGAATGAGCAACATGATCTTCCATGGAAGCCACCATATTTGTTGTAAAAAATAAATGAATCATGCGATGTCACTATAAATAAAGTAATTGATCTCAACTTTTATAATTAAATTGGTGTTTTACCAATGAATATATCAATAAATTAATTAACGTCTTTAAACAAATTTGTGATTAACAGTTTGTTAAAAAAAGAACATTGTTTTCTACCTAAATACGTATTTTACAGCTCTACACATAGGGCAGATTCTTTCATGTAACCAAACAGACAAACAAAAAAACAAATATACAAACTTGTAAACAAACTTGAGTTTTAATATTATTTTTTATATAGATGGTTTGCAAAAGCTGTTGATCTAAAAAGGTCTGACATTTTAAAAAAAATAATGCTTCATCTGTATGGCAATCAGTGGCTTAGGCAGGAATTGGTTCTAAGAATGAAAGGATTGAAGTTGTTTTATTCATCAGATTTTGGAGTAAATATTTTTTTGGGATTAAATCACTACGTTCCTATCCCACTGATGAAGACCATAATATTGGTTAACAAGCTGCATTTGGTACCAAATATAAAATAATACCTGTTTTTTTAATCTATACTTTTTTCCCAACTAATTTCATACTATCTTTTTTATGCTAAATCTATTTTATTTTATTTTAGTGACTACAAGTATGGTATTCAGCTTTATAATCAAAGGAAACTCCCTGAACCACAGTGTTTGGCTTAAAGACAGTTAATGCTGTTGTTGAAAGAATCTGTCCCCAGTATTTGGACAGCACCACTGGATGTAAATTAATAATGTATCCCAGTGACAGCACTATGTGTTGCACTACAGGGTTGTCAGATGTCAGTGGAAGCATCTAGTGATGTATAAACAGGTACCAATGCTTAATTAAGGTTATTAAGAAACTTCATCATAAATTACAGAGCCATTTATTAAACTTTAAAATGGTATAGAAAATATTTTACTTTTTTTTTTGGTAAATAAAAATTTGTTTGTGAAAAGAGTTTTAAGTATTGTTCATTTGTGCAATAAAGGTATAAGAAATAACAGTCATAACATTTGTGATTCAGTTGAAAGTTTAATTAAAAGTTTTAAAAATCTTCAAAAGTAATGCAGTGTGCATCAAAGAAATGAATAGAAATGAGGAGTATCAGTTACAACCTAAATGTAGAAGACCTTTGCATCAAGATTGTTGTAAAGAGTTTTACCAAAATTTTATTTGTTTGTTGTTATATATGTGTAAGTAAAACTTCAAAATTTATTTTAAAAAATCTAAACTGTTACTAAAAGTTGCATACAGTATTCACAGTATCATGCATGTTTGTTGAAAGAGTAATTGTTCCTTAAAAATTTTATTTCCAAAATTGATTTAGAATCTGTAGAATATTAGACCAGTATTGACCAATGAAATGGCACCAGTAATATTATTTAAGTATTAATAGAAAAATATTTAATAGTTTAATTAAACACTTTACAATAAACTTTCATTAAGACACATAGCATTGTGTTGCAAATAATGTCATAGAGGTCACTATTGCATAAACTGATAAACAGGGGTAAAATACTTAACTCTCGTAATATTTACAAAACTATAGTTAATATTAATGCTGCATCAACTGCAAATACCAGTTCATACAAATATCATAATACTTGTTGTGTTTGTAAATCTATTTCTGTAACTATATGTTTGTGTATATAAGCATGTATATATATGAATAAACCAAGCTTTGTACACAAATATGCTTAGTAATGTTGGCTTGTATTCTCCAAATATCTGTGTTAAAAATAAATACTGTGAACAGTGTTGTGATGTTGATTTGAAGTTGATGATCATGACACTTGATAGGCTACAATGATGCATAAATGTTGGAGTTTGACATGGCAAAATATCATACTAAACATAAAATAATTCAAAACTGTACAGCATTTAGAAAGGTAACTTTCTCATGCTGCATTCTAAATTAATATCATCCTGTTTTCCCTGGTGTGTGATGCTTGCGTCATTTAAAAAAAACTGGAAACAACATTTTCATCTCTGTCATCGTCTCCTGTAATGTCTGTTGGAACAAGAGAGAGCTTGTTTTGCCTGTTGACTTGCGTGACGTAATGTGAAAAAAGATGCGTAGATCCCCAGGCACCATGTAGGACACACCGTAACCGTCAGCCGCCACTGGGCCAAACCCCCCGCCTGGGCTCAGCTGGTGGTTGTATTTAGGGTCCTCACATTTTGGGGACCATGGGATCTGAAATGTAAAACATCAGAGCTGTGATGTTTATCACCTGTACAGTACCTGTTTTACCTGTACAGTACCTATTTTACCTGTACAGTACCTATTTTACCTGTCAGTACCTATTTTACCTGTACTGTACCTATTTTACCTGTACAGTACCTGTTTTACCTGTACAGTACCTATTTTACCTGTACAGTACCTATTTTACCTGTACTGTACCTATTTTACCTGTACAGTACCTATTTTACCTGTACAGTACCTATTTTACCTGTACAGTACCTATTTTACCTGTACTGTACCTGTTTTACCTGTACAGTACCTATTTTACCTGTACAGTACCTATTTTACCTGTACAGTACCTGTTTTACCTGTACAGTACCTATTTTACCTGTACAGTACCTATTTTACCTGTACAGTACCTATTTTACCTGTACTGTACCTGTTTTACCTGACAACTGCCAGTGGCACTAACCTGCTGTTGTGGCTGTTGACTTGTAGACAAGGTCCACGGTATAGACAAGGCTTTTTTCAAAAACTCACTTTCCTGGAGAAATATTCACGACAGTCAAACCAGAATTGTTTAAAGTTTATTTGTAAGTTAAATGAAATATATCTACGTATACTTCATACTTCCTAGACAATGTTGACGACAGTGGTATCCGTTTTTTTTACTTTCTCGTATATACGAAGTATAGAGAAAGTCTTGTAATCGTGCAAAAAAAAAAAATCGAGATTTTTACAAATCTCGACGTTTTACACCTCACTGATACGGAAAAACATAATTTTGCAATCTTGTCCGTATGTCTGTGTGTGTGTCCGTGTGTAAACACGATAACTTGAGTACCGTTATAGCTAGGTTGATGAAATTTCATATATAAGTATTTTATCAAAATCGTAGATCCGTTTCAACTTTTGAGCGATTTCCGATAACCGGAAGTGGTACTTTTCCTACTTTGAATTTTTCAAAAGCCTATAACTTGAGTACTATTTCAGATAGATAAATGAAATTTCACATGTAAGTAAACGATCTAATTCTCTACCTTCTGTTAAATTTTGAGTAATTTCCGTTGACCAGAAGTAGTAATTTACGCTACTTCCGATTTCTCAAAAAACTAATGTACATTTTTAAAGTACTAATAATATTGCGCACTATTATGCACTATTTTATTTGGCGTCACTTGGTGTGCAATTAATTTGTCTACGAGATTGTATTCTATTTTTAAAACTTTAACTATTTAAAATGGATTAAAAATCATGTCTATAGCCCGAGTTCCCATCCCCTGTTATTTTATATAAGAATATTCGAGAAAGTTTAGGGGAGATCACTCCCGGTTTATTTTTTATAGAACTGTGTGTTGTGGTGAGTAATAGAAACTTGTTGGTCATGAGCTAGTTGCGTGTTCTTGTCGCTATATTCAAATTCTGCTTATTGTTTCGTGTTGAATCTACCGTTACAGATCATGATTTTGCAACTATCTATAATGACCCACTGTCTATCATACGCTCTGTGACATTTAAGTAGGCACCACCAAGGCCTACAGTTGTTGAAAATAAGCTTGAAAATACGCACCATTCCTAAACCTTTGCTGATGACGTAGAGCGCAAATAAATGTCTGTCGATGCCCTTTCCGTTCATGGCATCTTTGTACATGACCACGTGATTATTGCAGGCACGTGTCAGCAGTTCCCGCTTCTCGTCTACACTTCTGCTGGTGTCCAACAACGCGTCCACAAAGGTGTTCGCCTCTTTGGTCAGACTGCGCACTGTTTCTGTTCTACCGTTCCTGTAAAGTCGGGTCATTGCTGCCTGAAAGATGGATTTAAAACATGACACTTTTGAAGATACATTAAGGAATCATGTTGCCAATGTGTGTAGCTTGCCCAAAGTTCATACAATTTACACATGCAATTCACTTAAAACTAAACCTATAATATAAGCCCCTACAATGAAGGTATGAGAACTGTTTTTAACTTTGTTACTAGATTTAAAATTTCCTATCTATCTATATATATAAAGGCCCCAAAACAGCTTGCCCTGACCCTGGCAGACCACCGGGATTTCCCCTGGGGTCTCAGCGGCCCAGCCCCCCACCCCTGTGGTCATGTGTAGGTGACATCTCAGGGGTCGTCTATAAAAAATAATTTTGGATAGGGAGGGGGGGGGGGAGCAGGTCCGGTCCAGATTATTTCCCCTTTCATCTATACTGCGTGTACAACTGTTAAAATGTACGCTTCCATTTCTTTTACCTCGTATGTGAGAACATGTCTGCCAGTTAACTTTCTGTAAGTGGCATTCAGCGCCATCTGGATAAATGCATCGGGGCTGATCTTACATTTCTTGATGCTTCCCTTTCCAAAGTCGGTGTGGTCATACAGAACTAAATCAATGTCGTTGATTTCCTGGCCAAGGTAGAAACATTAGACATGAATTAGCCATGATCATACACTGAAGCTGCTGAGTGATCTCCCCCAAACTTGCTCGAATATACTTACATAACACTACGGAGGATGGCAACTCGGGATATAGACATGCTTTTTAATCAATTAAAAATTTTAAAATAGAATAGAATTTCGTATAGAAAAAGAATTGCTCACCAAGTGAACGTCAAACGATATGTGTATAATAGTGCGGAATACTAGAACTTTATAAATTCATATGCGGTTTTTTTAGAAATCGTAAAATACTACTTCCGATCAACGGAAATCATCTCAAAATTTGAAAGAAGTTAGAAAATTAGATCTTTTACTTATATGTAAAATTTCGTATATCTATCTGAAACAGTAATCCAGTTATAGGCTTTTGAAAAACGATAAGTAGAAAAGTTCCACTTCCGGTTACCGGAAATATCTGGAAAGTTGATACAGAACTAAAAATTTGACATAATACTTGAATATGAAATATCCAGATTTGCACCCCCTCAAACTTTCGATTTGCACCCCCCCCCCACTCAAGATTTCGATTTGCACTCCCCCCCCCCCCCCCCCCTCAAACTTTCGATTTTACCCCCTCAACCTTTCAATTTATTTTTCCAACCAATTTTGGCGCCCTCAAGGTCGGCGCCCGGGGACATATGTCATTTCCCCCCCCCCCCCCCCCCGCTACGCTACTGGAAATATCATCAACCTAGCTGTAACGGTACTCAAGTTATCGTGTTCACACACACACATATATACACATACGGACAGAATTGCAACGCCCAGTTTTTCCGACTCGATTACGCATAGAACGCTGAAATTTTGATCAATCTGAATTTAGTATTTTTGCCCGATTAAAATAAGTCCCCTATACTTCGTATTTGATGAAGTACTGAGGTGTAAAACGATGAAAACTGTCTAAATTTCATGCGATTTTTGTACACGATTACAACGATTCCTCTATACTCTGTATACGAGAAAGTAAAAATTATGTGCAGTATTAAAATTTTGCATATCTATAATAACGTAAGTGTGTGTTTTTTAAAATGTATTTTTGTTATTAGTATTATTGGTAGGTCTAGCTTCAAAACGAAACAAAATTAACTGAAGAGAGAGAGAGAGAGGGGGTGGGGTGGGGTGACTACAAAACACAAGGTGGCATTGATTAAAAGTTAATTAGTAGCCAATCTTCCAACAGATGTAACTATACATCAATGATTAGGTTCCTCTCGGCCTACTTCTGTGAGCCAGACGAGCCTGAAAGAGGCTGATGACGTAACAGCAGCCAGTAGTGAGGACTGACGTACCTGCCGGAACTGCGCGCACGCGTTTGTGATGAGGGTGGCCAGTCTGTCTGGGACCTCCCACTGTAGCAGCAGGGGCTTACTCAGTGGGGCTGGGGCAAATCTGGCAGGGTCGAATGGAATGCAGTGGCCGTCTGAGGCATACAGTTGGGCAGTCACACTGTGAAGCCATCAATACATGAAATTAAACCGAACATATATATATATATATATATATATATATATATATATATATATATATATATATATATATATATATATATATATATGGAACATTTTTGCCAACTCCAACCTCTATGACCAATTCCTGCCTACGCCACTGTGTAAATGGAATAAGACACACATGATGTTCATGTGTCCAAACAGCAGCAACTAGTTTGTAATACTAGCTGTGTAGTATCAAGACAAGCTCCATGAGCTTAGACCATCATTATCAATGTAGCATCAAGACAAGCTCCATGAGTTTAGACCATCATTATCAACTTAGCATCAAGACAAGCTCCATGAGCTTAGACCATCATTATCAATGTAGCATCAAGACAAGTTCCATGAGCTTAGACCATCATTATCAATGTAGCATCAAGACAAGCTCCATGAGCTTAGACCATCATTATCAATGTAGCATCAAGACAAGCTCCATGAGTTTAGACCATCATTATCAACTTAGCATCAAGACAAGCTCCATGAGCTTAGACCATCATTATCAATGTAGCATCAAGACAAGTTCCATGAGCTTAGACCATCATTATCAATGTAGCATCAAGACAAGCTCCATGAGCTTAGACCATCATTATCAATGTAGCATCAAGACAAGCTCCATGAGTTTAGACCATCATTATCAACTTAGCATCAAGACAAGCTCCATGAGCTTAGACCATCATTATCAATGTAGCATCAAGACAAGTTCCATGAGCTTAGACCATCATTATCAATGTAGCATCAAGACAAGCTCCATGAGCTTAGACCATCATTATCAATGTAGCATCAAGACAAGCTCCATGAGTTTAGACCATCATTATCAACTTAGCATCAAGACAAGCTCCATGAGCTTAGACCATCATTATCAATGTAGCATCAAGACAAGTTCCATGAGCTTAGACCATCATTATCAACGTAGCATCAAGACAAGCTCCATGAGCTTAGGGCTTAGAGCATCTCCTATGAAGCAACAAGACAAGGTTTATGACGCTTGGAATGTCCAAACTTTGCTGGGAACAGTGTACTGGACTAAAGGCGGTCACACAATTTATTTGTCGCTGCAACTCCCAGTCTTCCTACATACATCGTTTAACTACTGGTTGCTACAATAGGCTATAGATCTCCATATTATGCCATCAAATTAACTATATAAAAGAAACGTATATATGCATATACTGTATTAGATGAACATATGCAGTCAACCTACTCATATGTCATGTTGAACTCTACCACGTGACCCACAGCTGGGGCATCAGCATAGGAGTGTTCACAGTTCATGCCAAAATGGCCGTCATTCATTGCTATCACCTGGAACATAGGATAACGGATAGGTGAAGGCTGTATTATTTAAAAATTGATAGCAGCGACTTCATTGGTTGAAAATTTACAGCGTCGTTAATTGTGTAACTTAAGTTGTGTATACAGTTGTGTAACTTAAGTTGTGTATACAGTTGTGTAACCTGATCAGACATAGGTGTGTATCTACCTGTCACACAGTGGTGTGTATCTACCTGTCACACAGTGGTGTGTATCTACCTGTCACACAGTGGTGTGTATCTACCTGTCACACAGTGGTGTGTATCTACCTGTTACACAGTGGTGTGTATTTACATGTCAGTGGTGTGTATCTACATGTCAGTGGTGTGTATCTACCTGTCAGTGGTGTGTATCTACCTGTCAGTGGTGTGTATCTACCTGTCACACAGTGGTGTGTATCTACCTGTTACACAGTGGTCTGTATCTACCTGTCACAGAGTGGTGTGTATCTACCTGTCAGTGGTGTTTATCTACCTGTCACACAGTGGTGTGTATCTACCTGTCAGTGGTGTGTATCTACCTGTCACACAGTGGTGTGTATCTACCTGTCAGTGGTGTGTATCTATCTGTCAGTGGTGTGTATCTACCTGTCACACAGTGGTGTGTATCTACCTGTCAGTGGTGTGTATCTATCTGTCAGTGGTGTGTATCTACCTGTCACACAGTGGTGTGTATCTACCTGTCAGTGGTGTGTATCTACCTGTCACACAGTGGTGTGTATCTACCTGTCACACAGTGGTGTGTATCTACCTGTCACACAGTGGTGTGTATCTACCTGTCAGTGGTGTGTATCTACCTGTCACACAGTGGTGTGTATCTACCTGTCACACAGTGGTGTTTATCTACCTGTCAGTGGTGTGTATCTACCTGTCACACAGTGGTGTGTATCTACCTGTCAGTGGTGTGTATCTACCTGTCACACAGTGGTGTGTATCTACCTGTCAGTGGTGTGTATCTACCTGCCTGTGGTGTGTATCAGTGGTGTGTATTTACCTCTAACACAGTGGTGTGTATCTACCTGTCAGTGGTGTGTATCTACCTGTCAGTGGTGTGTATCTACCTGTCACACAGTGGTGTGTATCTACCTGTCAGTGGTGTGTATCTACCTGTCAGTGGTGTGTATCTACCTGTCAGTGGTGTGTATTTACCTGTCAGTGGTGTGTATCTACCTGCCTGTGGTGTATATCAGTGGTGTGTATTTACCTCTAACACAGTGGTGTGTATCTACCTCTCAGTGGTGTGTATCAGTGGTGTGTATCAGTGGTGTGTATTTACCTCTAACACAGTGGTGTGTATCTACCTCTCACAGAGTGGTGTGTATCTACCTGTCAGTGGTGTGTATCTACCTGTCAGTGGTGTGTATCTACCTGTCAGTGGTGTGTATTTACCTGTCAGTGGTGTGTATCTACCTGTCACACAGTGGTGTGTATCTACCTGTCAGTGGTGTGTATTTACCTGTCAGTGGTGTGTATCTACCTGTAAAGATTTATCGAACCAGAACAGGCCTGGGGTGCCGTGCAGTAGGTGGGCGGCCCTGGAGGACAGGTCAGGGAAAGAATTGGTGTCAAGCACAACCTGTATGCAGTATGTTCAACACATCGTCAATGTTATGTAAATTCATTTGAAAACTTGATACATTTACGAATATTATAAACTTGATAGACTTACACATTGTGGAGACACGTCTGTTACAAACTTACTAGACTTAAAATTTGTGGAGACTTGATAATCACATAGATAGATTAAATATAGTATATTACAAACTTGATAGACTCACGTATAAGATAGATGACTCCACCCAGTGAAGAGTTTCACGGTTAACTCCCCTGCAGAAAAATTCTTTCCGTGTTTTGGCCCAGGCTGTTCTGTCCATGGAGGTTAGGACAGGAACCATACGCTCAACTTCCGGTATGGAAGCTGCCATTTTGACAAGTTTTAACATCATGAAAACTTTGATTTCAAATTAATGTTAGATTTGTTTATAAAATCTGCAATTACTAAAAAAAATATTTGTGTCCATTCACCTGGAAATGTCAAGAAAAATTATTCGTACTGTTGACCTACAGAGACGGTTTACATTAAAAGTTGACCGTCTGACCGCTACTTACAGTATTTGGAGTCAGCATCAGCTACGATGTTCTCAAACTGCTGCTCCAGGTAGCAGGGACTGGCCAGCCGGCCTAGAGGGTCAGTGACCTCCAGCTTGTACAGCAGCCCGCGTCTGTTGACCACCACGTGCTGAAACAACACGATCACGTTAGCGCGGACATTGACCTCGGCGGAATCTTAACTCACGGGATGTCGCAGTATCATACAACGTGTTGTATTCTACTTCTTTTAAAACTCAAACCTATTTTTGTAACCGTTGCCAGAGATGTGAATGAGTGGCCATTACTTACCTGTGATTTACTGGGCGGGTAGTTGACCAGAGTATCGATTTCCTCACCTGGAACTCTAAACAAACATAACACATACATACATACATATATTCATTTATGCTTATGTATTATCTTTTGCTCTATACGCTTTACAAAATCCACCTACAAGACACCACCCCCTTATCCACCTACAATCACCCCCAACCCCCACTTTTCGAACAATACATTTTTATGTTCACAATTATTTGTTAAATTGACAACTCTACTAACTTATTATTCTCTCTGAACTTTCAGTAAGATAAACGAAATGTAATGCACAATTTCAAGTAGTTGTAACTAGTTAGCCTACCTTGTGGTGGAGAATATTCTTCTGTATTGTTCCATGCACACAGGGATGGTATTGTTGATGGCCAGTGGGTCAAGCTCTTCCGTTAATATCATGTCACGTGCTCTCAGCAGTTGGTACACAACTCCAGCGGCTCTATCGGAAGATCAAAGGAAGCCAGGATGACATCTAACTGACCCCTAACTGACCAGACACGCTGACCTCTAGTTGACCAGACACTCTGACCCCTAGCTGACCAGATACGCTCACCTCTAGCTGACCAGATACGCTGACCTCTAGCTGACCAGACACGCTGACCTCTAGCTGACCAGACACGCTAACCTCTAGCTGACCAGACACGCTGACCTCTAGCTGACCTCTAGCTGACCCGACACGCTAACCTCTAGTTGACCAGACACGCTAACCTCTAGCTGACCAGATACGCTGACCTCTAGCTGACCAGACACGCTGACCACTAGCTGAGCAGACACGCTGACCTCTAGCTGACCAAACACGCTGACCTCTAGCTGACCTCTAGCTGACCTCTAGCTGACCTCTAGCTGACCTCTAGTTGACTTCTAGCTGAGCAGACACGCTGACCTCTAGCTGACCAAACACGCTGACCTCTAGCTGACCTCTAGCTGACCTCTAGCTGACCTCTAGTTGACTTCTAGCTGACCAGACACGCTGACCTCTAGCTGACCAGACATGCTGACCTCTAGCTGACCAGATACGCTGACCTCTAGCTGACCAGACACGCTGACCTCTAGCTGACCAGACACGCTGACCTCTAGCTGACCTCTAGCTGACCTCTAGTTGACTTCTAGCTGACCCGACACGCTCACCTCTAGCTGACCAGACACGCTAACCTCTAGCTGACCAGATACGCTGACCTCTAGCTGACCAGACACGATGACCACTAGCTGACCAGACACGCTGACCTCTAGCTGAGCAGACATGCTGACCTCTAGCTGACCAGACACGCTGACCTCTAGCTGACCAGACACGATGACCACTAGCTGACCAAACACGCTGACCTCTAGCTGACCAGACACGCTGACCACTAGCTGAGCAGACACGCTGACCTCTAGCTGACCAGACATGCTGACCTCTAGCTGACCAGACACGCTGACCTCTAGCTGACCAGACACGCTGACCTCTAGCTGACCAGACACGCTGACCTCTAGCTGACCAGACACGCTGACCTCTAGCTGACCAAACACGCTGACCTCTAGCTGACCTCTAGCTGACCTCTAGTTGACTTCTAGCTGACCAGACACGCTGACCTCTAGCTGACCAGACACGCTGACCTCTAGCTGACCTCTAGTTGACTTCTAGCTGACCAGACACGCTGACCTCTAGCTGACCAGACATGCTGACCTCTAGCTGACCAGACACGCTGACCTCTAGCTGACCAGACACGCTGACCTCTAGCTGACCAGACATGCTGACCTCTAGCTGACCAGACACGCTAACCTCTAACTGACCAGACACGCTAACCTCTATCTGACCAGACACGCTGACCACTAGCTGACCAGACACGCTAACCTCTAGCTGACCAGACACGCTGACCCCTAGCTGACAAGACACGCTGACCACTAGCTGACCAGACATGCTGACTCCTAGCTGAGCAGACATGCTGACCTCTAGCTGACCAGAAACGCTGACCCCTAGCTGACCAGACACGCTGACCACTAGCTGAGCAGACACGCTGACCACTAGCTGAGCAGACATGCTGACCTCTAGCTGACCAGATACGCTGACCACTAGCTGAGCAGACACGCTGACCTCTAGCTGACCAGACATGCTGACCTCTAGCTGACCAGACACGCTGACCTCTAGCTGACCAGACACGCTGACCTCTAGCTGACCAGACACGCTGACCTCTAGCTGACCAGACAGGCTGACCTCTAGCTGACCAGACACGATGACCTCTAGCTGACCAGACACGCTGACCTCTAGCTGACCAGACACGCTGACCTCTAGCTGACCTCTAGCTGACCTCTAGCTGACCTCTAGTTGACTTCTAGCTGACCAGACACGCTGACCTCTAGCTGACCAGACACGCTGACCTCTAGCTGACCTCTAGTTGACTTCTAGCTGACCAGACACGCTGACCTCTAGCTGACCTCTAGTTGACTTCTAGCTGACCCGACACGCTCACCTCTAGCTGACCAGACATGCTGACCTCTAGCTGACCAGACACGCTAACCTCTAACTGACCAGACACGCTAACCACTAGCTGACCAGACACGCTGACCTCTAGCTGACCAGACACGCTGACCTCTAGCTGACCTCTAGTTGACTTCTAGCTGACCAGACACGCTGACCTCTAGCTGACCAGACACGCTGACCACTAGCTGACCAGACACGCTGACCTCTAGCTGACCAGACACGCTGACCTCTAGCTGACCAGACACGCTGACCACTAGCTGACCAGAGACGCTGACCTCTAGCTGACCAGACATGCTGACCTCTAGCTGATCAAAGACGCTGACCAGCAGCTGATTTTAGACTCCTACAAGGAGCAATCTGACCACAGACAATATGGCAACTAAATGACACAAAGAGCACAGATAATTTGATATTGACCACACACACTGACCACAGACAAAATGACCAAAGACAAACTGACCACAGACAAATTGATCAGACCACAAACCTCCCAAAGACAGACCCGCATGTTCACTAACCCCACATAATCTTTCACACGACAGACTGACGTCTGCCACACGTCGAGCCCTACCTGGCACAGAGTCTGTCAGTGGGTGTCCAGTAGCTCTGATCCATTATGTAATAATTACTGTTGATGGCGAGAGAAGACCGACCCATCAGGTAAATATATTTCTCCCTGAAGTAAATGTATAACCAATTTTAATACTAGTCTAGTTTGACGCGTTGTAGATGAAAAAGGGAAGATGATGTTGAATGTGCCAACAAATCGGTGGAGGAAAACGATGATGTTGAATGTGTACACAAAACATTTGAGGAAAACGATGATGTTGAATGTGTACACAAAACATTAGAGGAAAACGATGACGACGTAGATTGCGACTTACCACCAGTCACTGACGTAGTGTGGCGCCCACCAGGAACGTAACACAAGAGCACGTTGTAGTTTACGTCCTATCGTCAGCTGTCAGACAAAACATGCAAGACCCAAGTATTGGGACGTGTACACAGAGCATAAATGTTACATGTACACAGAGCCATATTATAGTCGTGTGTGCATACAGCGTTAAAGTCATATTTACATACAGACTTAAATTAACGTATACTTAATGTCTCGCGTACATACACATCAATACTCAGCTGCACGGCAAAAACTTGAACCTAAAGTGCTGCAACCGTAATGTAATCGCAACTTACTACATCAAATCTTTATGTAATTACCTGAAATTCCTTGGACTCTTTTCTCAGTTTTTCCAGCTCTTCTGGCTGCTCGGAGTATACAGGCTCTAGAGAGGTCATCAGCTTGTCGATAGTGTCCTCTAGCCTCGGCACAGGCTGTCTGGGCAGGCTGCTCTGTGAGCTGTACAGAGTAACTGACCAGCCTCTGAGGAGCCGTATGGCTGCTCCCCACACCTTTGTGCCAACTGACGGTTTGCCAGGTGGCTCGTCTAGCAAACAGACACATTTTATTTACAAAACAAGATCATTCAACTTTCATAATTTTGTACAACACAACTAATTTTTTAATTTCTCGTAAACAGAGAATGGAGGACGTATTGTAAATGTAATCGTGCAAAAAAATCACACGAAATTTTGACAGTTTTCACAGTTTTACACCTCAGTACTTCATCATATAACTATTTAATCGGGCAAAAATTCTTAATCCAGATTTATTAAAATCTCGTCATTTTACGCGTTATCGAGTAGGAAAAACTTGGGTTTGCAATTTTGTCCGTGTGTGTGTATATATATATACATGGTTGTCTGTGAACATGATAACTTGAGCACAGGTTGATGAAATTTCATATATAAGTGTAGTTCTGTATCAACTTTTCAGCGATTTCCTGTAACCGGAAGTGGAATTTATTCTACTTTCGGTTTTTCGAAAACCCTGTAACTTGAATACTGTTTCTGATAGATAAATGAAATTATTGAAATTTCATACATAAGTAAAATATCTAATCCTCTGTTGTTGTTTTTTTTTTAATTTTGAGTAATTTCCGGTGACCGGAAGTAGCACTTTAAGCTTTTTTGGTAATGTTCCGCACTATTGTTTGCTGTTCACTTGATATAAAACACTTATAAAACACTTGATATAAAACACAAACTTACACCTAAAACAACTTATAAAACACAAATTTACACACACAACGCCTTATAAAACACAAACTTACACCTAAAACAATTTATAAAACACAAACTTACACATCCATTCTCGGTGAGCCAACAAAAGTCTCAACATCAAACGCCGCCATAAAGTCAGTGCTATAAATAGCGCAAGTCCACTCACGGTGCACACACAAGCAGACGATAAAATACCTGGGTTTAAAAAAAAATTAGTTCTCATCCTGCGCCAGTATTACCCCAAGACAGACAGACAGACAGAGCGACAGACAAAGCGACAGACAGACAGACAGAGACAGACAGACAAATGAGACAAAGACAGACAGACAGAGACAGACAGAGACAGACAGAGACAGACAGAGACAGACAGAGACAGACAGAGACAGACAGAGACAGACAGAGACAGACAGACAGACAGACAGAAAAGCTGATTAAAGTAACGATACCTTCAGATAAAGGGAGGTAACTCTCGAGATTTTGTAATGGAATTTTGATGGGCTGTAGCAGGGAGACACTGGATACTCTGACAGCAGTCACACCGCCAACCAGACATCCAAGGTTCAAAACCGAGCCAGGCCATAACAATGTGTTGATTTTGTTCCTAAAACAGAAATGGGCTAGACTAACAAGTATATAAATATGTATGTGCATGTGCGTGCACACGCAAACAGACACACACACACACGTACAGACAAACATTAAAATACATATTATTCCTTATATTTTTCATATATATATATATATATATATATATATATATATATATATATATATATATATATATATATATATATAATTATATATAACCGTTTTACCTCAGGACCTTGAACTTCCTGCGAGTGGTCCAGTGTATATCCCGTACAAGTGATTTTTTTTCTGGTACATTTGCGCCGGAGATTCCATGCTGTACAGCGTCTATTTTGTCGGACGCCATACCTATCCTCAGTGTTATCCGCTATGTATCCTAGACCGTGGAGAGGATGTCCCACTGTCTATAACCCCATGTGAGAGACAACGAGACTGGCTACAGCGACATAACAATAAAAAGCTTTAAAAGTACGGTGTGGGTCTAAAGTCCAAAAGTGACAATCTGCTTCCCTAATAGAACAGTAAACACTGTCGAGATTTTATTTTTAGAAGTCACGTGATATTGTTGTCATGTGGGTGGCAAAACGTATAAAAAATGACGGTTTAAATGAGTGCACACAAATAACGTCGAGCAGTATTGGGGAGTGGAGGGGGTCATCTGACTTTTGTTTACGGTCTGTGGACGGTATAGTAACATCCATGCTTTAAATTCCTGTTTACATTTTAAAATATAAAGCTCAGTAGCTCAATCATTTGTTCACAATTGGTTTACCAGCAGAACCATTCTTCTACGGTTCTATTAACAAAATAATTGTTCCACTCACATTATCTGTGTTCAACATCATTCGCTGGTCATATTTCATGTGATATCATGTGACTGGTCAGACTTCATTTGACAAGTCAGTGGTCAGACGTCACGTGATATGACAGGTCAGTGGTCAGACGTCACTTGATATGACAGGTCAGTGGTCAGACTTCACATATTCCATTAACTACAGTTCTACATTTTTAAAGTAACTGTGACTTCAAGAATGTATTTTTTTTTAAATAGACTACATAAACATCAGGTTTTATATTAACTCAAACGTATTCCCAGTTAAAAATATGAATCTAATTCCGTACTTAAATTAAAATCATCTTTTCTATATTTGAAAGAATCGTTATTCTTTTGATGTTGTTGGTAACCCCCCCCCCCCCCCCTCCAGCCCAACACACGCATACATGAATTAGAACTGGTATTTACATGAGATAGTAAAGTGTAACACGTCCCATTTAGCGGGGAATCAAAAGTACTGCAGTGTTTGACTCTGCCGGCCATTCATCAGGTTGTATAATATGATGTTATCAGTCAGATAACACACACCCTACTGGCTCATGCACTCACTTCATTTTGTCATTTAATTCAAGATTTCAGCTTTACAAAATGCCACCCCATACATCTGTAGGTAGTTATCAAGTCTTAGGGAATTAGCTAATTCTCTCAAATCTTAGGGAATTAGCTAATTCTCTCAAATCTTAGGGAATTAGCTAATTCTCTCAAATCTTAGGGAATTAGCTAATTCTCTCAAATCTTAGGGAATTAGCTAATTCTCTCAAATCTTAGGGAATTAGCTAATTCTCTCAAATCTTAGGGAATTAACTAATTCTCTCAAATCTTAGGGAATTAACGAATTTTCTTGAGTAATTTTCAAATAACTGACAAATGTGCAGGTAACTAACAAATATTCAAGTAAACAAATCCACTGGGGGTGGGCAGGCATTTTCTATCTACGGGGGGAGGGTAAACATTTTCTAACCTTACTGAGTGACGTAATTCATCTAACCAAATGTTGCGTTACAGATTCCATCCAGTGCAAAAGATAACAACCGCGCGTTGATCAAGAGAGATAACTCGGGTAAATCGTTTAGTCGGCTCGAGTGGTCGGTATTGAGAGCAGAAAATGGATGGTGCTCCGAGTTTTTGGCACGTTTTGCTCGAGGTTTTATCAGAGCTCTGATACAATTATCTTCTGTCAGTGATACTGATTAGATATGTACAAAACAAACTATTAAATGGCTCAACACACTGACATTGACGTCCTTAAACTGCTCAAAATCCTGACAATGATGTCATTCTATGGCTCAATATTCAGACATTCATGTCAGTAAATGGCTCAATATCTTGATGTCACAAGATGGTTTACCATAATGTCATTTTTGAGAACACAAATTTGTTTCTGAAGTTTGATAGTTTCCTATTGATTCGATTGTAGCAGAAGTGACCTACATTCCACTTCAAAACATTAATTTCCTACCTTCAGGGACAATACAGAATTTATATCCACCCCCCCCCCTACATTTTACTTATAAAGTAAAAACGACAGTAACAATTATTGTCTACACATAATTTATTCAATTATATTTATGTGGCTATGATTTGGTCGGTGTTTCTTTCCGACCTTTTTCTCCGGGAGCGGGAAGCAGGCCCTTGAAACTTTCGGGAATAGCGGGGGGGGGGGGGGGGGGGAGGGGTATTGACGCTTGTGAAAGTATACAAATGATATTTGGTTCGGGTGTGGTGGGGTTGGGCGAGGGGGGGTGCAATGCCCACCAGAAGAGATGCCTGAAAGAAACACTGGACATTGTCTCTCATGGTTTAGTCCCAAAAATCAAGCCAAGGTTTGTAACTCAGCTTTCTCCATGACTTGCTCCGCGGGCTTCCACAGCCGTGATGGTCTCAGTGAGGCTCCAAGTCTCTGTGGTTCGAATTTGAGGCAATAAATTTGTCTTCAACATAACATTGGCCTTCATGAACAGTATGTGACAAAACAGTGCCCACCACCTAAACAGTGCCCACCACCTAAACAGTGCCCACCACCTAAACAGTGCCCACCATATAAACAGTGCCCACCATATAAATAGTGCCCACCATCTAAACAGTGCCCACCACCTAAAACAGTGCCCACCACCTAAACAGTGCCCACCACCTAAACAATGCCCACCACCTAAACAATGCCCACCACCTAAACAATGCCCACCACCTAAACAGTGTCCACCACCTAAACAGTGCCCACCACCTAAACAGTGCCCACCACCTAAACAATGCCCACCACCTAAACAATGCCCACCACCTAAACAGTGCCCACCATATAAACAGTGCCCACCACCTAAACAGTGCCCACCACCTAAACATTGCCCACCACCTAAACAGTGCCCACCATATAAATAGTGCCCACCACCTAAAACAGTGCCCACCACCTAAAACAGTGCCCACCACCTAAAACAGTGCCCACCATATAAACAGTGCCCACCACCTAAACAGTGCCCACCACCTAAAACAGTGCCCACCACCTAAAACAGTGCCCACCACCTAAAACAGTGCCCACCATCTAAACAGTGCCCACCACCTAAAACAGTGCCCACCACCTAAAACAGTGCCCACCACCTAAAACAGTGCCCACCATATAAACAGTGCCCACCATATAAACAGTGCCCACCACCTAAACAGTTCCCACCATATAAACAGTGCCCACCACCTAAAACAGTGCCCACCACCTAAAACAGTGCCCACCACCTAAAACAGTGCCCACCATATAAACAGTGCCCACCACCTAAACAGTGGCCACCACCTAAACAGTGCCCACCATCTAAACAGTGCCCACCATATAAACAGTGCCCACCATATAAATAGTGCCCACCACCTAAACAGTGCCCACCACCTAAACAGTGCCCACCGCCTAAACAGTTCCCACCATATAAACAGTGCCCACCATATAAACAATGCCCACCACCTAAACAGTGCCCACCATATAAACAGCTCCCACCATCTAAACAGTGCCCACCATATAAACAGTGCCCACCATATAAACAATGCCCACCACCTAAACAGTTCCCACCATATAAACAGTGCCCACCATATAAACAATGCCCACCACCTAAACAGTGCCCACCATATAAACAGTTCCCACCATCTAAACAGTGCCCAACATATAAACAGTGCCCACCACCTAAACAGTGCCCACCACCTAAACAGTGCCCACCACCTAAACAGTTCCCACCACCTAAACAGTGCCCACCATATAAACAGTTCCCACCATCTAAACAGTGCCCACCATATAAACAGTGCCCACCATATAAACAGTGCCCACCAACTAAACAGTGCCCACCACCTAAAACAGTGCCCACCACCTAAAACAGTGCCCACCACCTAAAACAGTGCCCACCGCCTAAACAGTACCCACCACCTAAACAGTGCCCACCATATAAACAGTGCCCACCACCTAAACAGTGCCCACCATATAAACAGTGCCCACCATATAAATAGTGCCCACCACCTAAACAGTGCCCACCACCTAAACAGTGCCCACCGCCTAAACAGTGCCCACCATATAAACAGTGCCCACCATATAAACAGTGCCCACCACCTAAACAGTGCCCACCACCTAAACAGTTCCCACCATATAAACAGTGCCCACCACCTAAACAGTGCCCACCACCTAAACAGTGCCCACCGCCTAAACAGTGCCCACCATCTAAACAGTGCCCACCATATAAACAGTGCCCACCACCTAAACAGTGCCCACCATATAAACAGTGCCCACCATCTAAACAGTGCCCACCACCTAAACAGTTCCCACCATCTAAACAGTGCCCACCATATAAACAGTTCCCACCATATAAACAGTGCCCACCATATAAACAGTGCCCACCATCTAAACAGTGCCCACCACCTAAACAGTTCCCACCATCTAAACAGTGCCCACCATATAAACAGTTCCCACCATATAAACAGTGCCCACCATATAAACAGTTCCCACCATATAAACAGTGCCCACCATATAAACAGTTCCCACCATCTAAACAGTGCCCACCATATAAACAGTGCCCACCACCTAAAACAGTGCCCACCATATAAACAGTGCCCACCACCTAAACAGTGCCCACCATATAAATAGTGCCCACCACCTAAAACAGTGCCCACCACCTAAAACAGTGCCCACCACCTAAAACAGTACCCACCACCTAAACAGTGCCCACCATATAAACAGTGCCCACCACCTAAACAGTGCCCACCATATAAACAGTGCCCACCATATAAATAGTGCCCACCACCTAAACAGTGCCCACCACCTAAACAGTGCCCACCGCCTAAACAGTGCCCACCATATAAACAGTGCCCACCATATAAACAGTGTCCACCATATAAACAGTGCCCACCACCTAAACAGTGGCCACCACCTAAAACAGTGCCCACCACCTAAAACAGTGCCCACCATATAAACAGTGCCCACCACCTAAAACAGTGCCCACCACCTAAAACAGTGCCCACCGCCTAAAACAGTGCCCACCACCTAAAACAGTGCCCACCATATAAACAGTGCCCACCACCTAAACAGTGCCCACCACCTAAACAGTGCCCACCACCTAAACAGTGCCCACCACCTAAACAGTGCCCACCACCTAAACAGTGCCCACCACCTAAACAGTGCCCACCATATAAATAGTGCCCACCACCTAAAACAGTGCCCACCACCTAAAACAGTGCCCACCGCCTAAACAGTACCCACCACCTAAACAGTGCCCACCATATAAACAGTGCCCACCATCTAAACAGTGCCCACCATATAAACAGTTCCCACCACCTAAACAGTGCCCACCATATAAACAGTTCCCACCACCTAAACAGTGCCCACCATATAAACAGTGCCCACCATATAAATAGTGCCCACCACCTAAAACAGTGCCCACCATATAAACAGTTCCCACCACCTAAACAGTGCCCACCATATAAACAGTGCCCACCATATAAATAGTGCCCACCACCTAAAACAGTGCCCACCATATAAACAGTTCCCACCACCTAAACAGTGCCCACCATATAAACAGTGCCCACCATATAAATAGTGCCCACCACCTAAACAGTGCCCACCACCTAAACAGTGCCCACCGCCTAAACAGTGCCCACCACCTAAACAGTGCCCACCACCTAAACAGTGCCCACCATATAAACAGTGCCCACCATATAAATAGTGCCCACCACCTAAACAGTGCCCACCACCTAAACAGTGCCCACCATATAAACAGTGCCCACCATATAAATAGTGCCCACCACCTAAACAGTGCCCACCACCTAAACAGTGCCCACCATATAAACAGTGCCCACCATATAAACAGTGCCCACCGCCTAAACAGTGCCCATCGCCTAAACAGTGCCCACCACCTAAACAGTGCCCACCATATAAATAGTGCCCACCATATAAATAGTGCCCACCACCTAAACAGTGCCCACCACCTAAACAGTGCCCACCGCCTAAACAGTGCCCACCATATAAACAGTGCCCACCATATAAACAGTGTCCACCATATAAACAGTGCCCACCACCTAAACAGTGCCCACCACCTAACAGTTCCCACCATATAAACAGTGCCCACCATATAAACAGTGCCCACCATATAAACAGTGCCCACCACCTAAACAGTGCCCACCACCTAAACAGTGCCATAATAAAAGCACTGACCTCCCTGAAAGAGCCATCAAGTGTGAGTAGTGTCCACACCATCTTGACCGGGATGGGCACTATGGGCAGGAGAGCGATGAACAAGCCAGCAGCATCGGCCCATGGGGGAAAGCCAGAAAACGTGGAGGAGATTCCTTGAAAGCTAACCAGGCCAGACGTCCATAGCACCTGCCAATAACGATGTCTTGGTGAGGTGTACATCAGACTCAGAATCACCTATCTGTGGTTGTGACATGTACATCACACATCACCATTGTGTGGTTGTGACATGTAGATCACACAACATCATTGTGTGGTTGTGACATGTACATCACACAACACCATTGTGTGGTTGTGACATGTACTTCACACAACACCATTGTGTGGTTGTGACATGTACATCACACAACACCATTGTGTGGTTGTGACATGTACTTCACACAACACCATTGTGTGGTTGTGACATGTAGATCACACAACACCATTGTGTGGTTGTGACATGTACATCACACAACACCATTGTGTGGTTGTGACATGTACATCACACAGCACCATAGTGTGGTTGTGACATGTAGATCACACAACACCATTGTGTGGTTGTGAAATGTACATCACACAACATCATTGTGTGGTTGTGACATGTACATCACACAACATCATTGTGTGGTTGTAACATGTACATCACACAACACCATTGTGTGGTTGTGACATGTACATCACACTTACTACACCTTTATGTATTTCCGTTAAAATAATAATAGCTGACAGTTACTTGTTTCTCTAAGATATTTTTTTTCTATAAAAGTTTCAAATATGTTCTTGTTTCAAACTGATGAATGTTGTTAAAAGTCGCATTGAAAGTAAATACACATAGAATTGGTAAAGTACCAATTTGAACCTTACGGTCAATGTTGACCTCGGCATAAGAAGGGACAGTGTGGTCAGTATTGTGGTCTGCAGTATGCCCAGCCGCCTTTACTTTCCCTAACGTGAGTCAGGTAACCTTCAGAACAAGATGGACTTGGCATTTAAAATCTTGACCGGGCTCGGTACTCTAGGCTCTAGGATTAGCAGTCGAACACTACTAAAAGAGCCTGCTATCCGTTTATTCATAATATAGTTCTTTCTATAATCGAAGTCATGCCATTTTTGTCATGTCAACTTAATCATGCTATCTAAATCATGCTATAAATAAACACATATAAACACAGACGTACCATTACGAAGAATGGTGTAAAAAATTTCCATGCGAATTTCCAAACAATCGAAGGTCTGAATCCTATCATACTTTGTATATCATCATACAGACGATCAGTACCTGTGTGGACATCACATGAAGCTAGATATCCCGCCATTTTAAAGTTTGTGTATCATGATGTTTGTATATTCTGACATTAAAAGTTTGTATATCATGATGTTTGTATATTCTGACATTAAAAGTTTGTATATCATGATGTTTGCACATTCAGACATTAAAAGTTTGTATATCATGATGTTTGTATATTTAGAAATTGAAAGTTTGTATATCATGATGTTTGTACATTCAGACATTAAACGTTTGTATATCATGATGTTTGTATATTTAGAAATTGAAAGTTTGTGTATCATGATGTTTGCACATTCAGACATTAAAAGTTTGTATATCATGATGTTTGCACATTCAGACATTAAAAGTTTGTATATCATGATGTTTGTATATTTAGAAATTGAAAGTTTGTATATCATGATGTTTGTACATTCAGACATTAAAAGTTTCTATATCATGATGTTTGTATATTTAGAAATTGAAAATTTGTATATCATGATGTTTGTACATTTAGACAATAAAAGTGTGTATATCTTGATGTTTGTATATTTAGAAATTGAAAGTCTGTATATCAAGATGTTTGTACATTCAGACATTCAATGAACATTGTAGTGCCTTAGACAAGCAACTATACCATAAATCCAGGCTAGAACTAAAACTTCTATCAAGACAATCAACATGACAGAGAAGCTGGCTATGTACCAGTCTATCAGGTTTAGAATGTAGGACCCTCCCTGAAACAACACGTGAATTAAAGGTTACATTTTACTTAAAGGAAAAACTTGGATGTAAGAGTTGGATGTAACATTTAGATTTAACCATTTGAGTGTAACAGTTGGATCTAAGAGAAGGATCTAAGTGTTGGATGTAAAAGTAAGGTTGATGTTAAGGTTTACCTGTGATGTGAGAGTTGGATGTAGGTGTGAAGGTTTTACCTGTGATGTGAGAGTTGGATGTAGGTGTGAAGGTTTACCTGTGATGTGAGAGTTGGATGTAGGTGTGAAGGTTTTACCTGTGATGTGAGACTTGGATGCGGGTGTGAAGGTTTACCTGTGATGTGAGAGTTGGATGTAGGTGTGAAGGTTTTACCTGTGATGTGAGACTTGGATGCGGGTGTGAAGGTTTACCTGTGATGTGAGAGTTGGATGTAGGTGTGAAGGTTTTACCTGTGATGTGAGAGTTGGATGCAGGTGTGAAGGTTTACCTGTGATGTGAGAGTTGGATGTAGGTGTGAAGGTTTTACCTGTGATGTGAGACTTGGATGCGGGTGTGAAGGTTTACCTGTGATGTGAGAGTTGGATGCAGGTGTGAAGGTTTACCTGTGATGTGAGAGTTGGATGCAGGTGTGAAGGTTTTACCTGTGATGTGAGAGTTGGATGCGGGTGTGAAGGTTTTACCTGTGATGTGAGAGTTGGATGTAGGTGTGAAGGTTTTACCTGTGATGTGAGACTTGGATGTAGGTGTGAAGGTTTTACCTGTGATGTGAGAGTTCTTTTACCTGTGATGTGAGAGTTCTTTTACCTGTGATGTGAAAGTTGGATGTAGGTTTTACCTGTGATGTGAGAGTTGGATGTAGGTTTTACCTGTGATGTGAAAGTTGGATGTAGGTTTTACCTGTGATGTGAGAGTTGGATGTAGGTTTTACCTGTGATGTGAGAGGTATACCCAGGAGAAAACTCAGGAAACACACCAGAAATGTCAGTTGAGTTCTTCTGTGCATCAGCTGAGATGGGAAACAATCCGCCAAAGCTGTTGTCACGCCCTGGACATGCATGAACTGTCCAGATATTTAGTCAAATTATAACTTGAACATGCAAGAACTCAACAGACATTAATTATGGACATCACACAGTTATCGCCACTAGGAACAAAAACTACACAGCTAGCAACACAATGAACAAACATCACACAGCTAGCGCCACTAGGAACAAACATCACACAGCCAGTGCCACTAGGATTAAACATCACACAGCTAGCAACACTAGGAACAAACATCACACAGCTAATGCCACTAGAAACAAACATCACACAGCTAGCAACACAAGGAACAAACATCACACAGCTAGCAACACAAGGAACAAACATCACACAGCTAGCAACACAAGGAACAAACATCACACAGCTAGCAACACAAGGAACAAACATCACACAGCTAGCAACACAAGGAACAAACATCACACAGCTAGCAACACAAGGAACAAACATCACACAGCTAGCAACACAAGGAACAAACATCACACAGCTAGCAACACAAGGAACAAACATCACACAGCTAGCAACACAAGGAACAAACATCACACAGCTAGCAACACAAGGAACAAACATCACACAGCTAGCAACACAAGGAACAAACATCACACAGCTAGCAACACAAGGAACAAACATCACACAGCTAGCAACACAAGGAACAAACATCACACAGCTAGCAACACAAGGAACAAACATCACACAGCTAGCAACACAAGGAACAAACATCACACAGCTAGCAACACAAGGAACAAACATCACACAGCTAGCAACACAAGGAACAAACATCACACAGCTAGCAACACAAGGAACAAACATCACACAGCTAGCAACACAAGGAACAAACATCACACAGCTAGCAACACAAGGAACAAACATCACACAGCTAGCAACACAAGGAACAAACATCACACAGCTAGCAACACTAGGAACAAACATCATACAGCTAGCAACACAAGGAACAAACATCACACATTTTACCTGACTGTCCAGCCCCACACAAAACAACATGAGAAAGAAAAGCACGGACCATAACTGTGGTACGGGTAAAGTGGACAACGCCGCTGGGTAAGCGATAAACACCAATCCTGGTCCTGAAAGTTGAGACATCACGCCAGAGTAGTTAGTACCTGATGGAGATGGTAAAGCCCACCCAACCCCATCTACTGTAACTGATAGAGATGGTAAAGCCCACCCATCCAGATCTCTTGTAACTGATGGAGATGGTAAAGCCCACCCATCCCCATCTACTGTAACTGATGGAGATGGTAAAGCCCACCCTTCCCCATCTACTGTAACTGATGGAGATGGTAAAGCCCACCCATCCCCATCTACTGTAACTGATGGAGATGGTAAAGCCCACCCTTCCCCATCTAGTGTAACTGATGGAGATGGTAAAGCCCACCCATCCCCATCTACTGTAACTGATGGAGATGGTAAAGCCCACCCATCCCGATCTACTATAACTGATAGAGATGGTAAAGCCCACCCAACCCCATCTACTGTAACTGATGGAGATGGTAAAGCCCACCCATCCCCATCTACTGTAACTGATGGAGATGGTAAAGCCCACCCATCCAGATCTACTGTAAGACCCACCTTCATCGACCACCGTGTCGACCGTTTGACCCGAGATGTGAGCCATGTACCCAAGGAAGGAGAAGATGATGAACCCAGCGAAGACACTGGTAGCACAGTCCAAGACGGGCAGCAGAAGTGCATCCCTGTACACAACACATGTAGCAGTGTACAAGTACACAAGTATACACAAGTATACGCTTAGCAAAGTACAAATGGAATATTCTTTTCATCGGTTTATTACCATGTAAAGAACATTGCCAAAAATACTCCATTCAGTACACAACATAAAAAAAAGATTAATAACTAAAACGCAACTATCAGCAGCAAAGGTTTTTATACCTGTAGCAGTTGTTATTAAATTTATTGTAGCTGGCCAGTGTTGATATCAAACCGAAACCCATTCCGATAGAGAAGAAGACTTGAGTGGCCGCACTTCTCCACACCTAGAAGGAGAGGAACAATCCGGCTAGATCTGGCACAATCATGCTAGATCCGGCACAATCATGCTAGACACGACACCACCAAGCTAGACACGACACAATCATGCTAGACACGACACAATCAGGCTAGACACGACACAATCATGCTAGACACGACACCACCAATCTAACACAACACAATCATGCTAGACACGGCACAATCATGCTAGACACGACACCACCAAGCTAACACGACACCACCAAGCTAACACAACACAATCATGCTAGACACGACACAATCATGCTAGACACGACACAATCATGCTAGACACAACACAATCATGCTAGACACGACACAATCAGGCTAGACACGACACAATCATGCTAGACACGACACCACCAAGCTAACACAACACAATCATGCTAGACACGACACAATCATGCTAGACACGACACCACCAATCTAACACAATACAATCATGCTAGACACGACACAATCATGCTAGACACGACACAATTATGCTAGACACGACACAATCATGCTAGACACGACACCACCAAGCTAACACAACACAATCAAGCTAACACGACACAATCATGCTAGACACGGCACAATCATGCTAGACACGACACAATCATGCTAGACACGACACAATCATGCTAGACACGGCACAATCATGCTAGACACGACACAATCATGCTAGACACGACACAATCATGCTAGACACGACACAATCATGCTAGACACGACACAATCATGCTAGACACGACACCACCAAGGTAACACGACACAATCATGCTAGACACGGCACAATCATGCTAGACACGGCACAATCATGCTAGACACGACACCACCAAGCTAACACGACACCACCAAGCTAACACGACACAATCATGCTAGACACGGCACAATCATGCTAGACACGGCACAATCATGTTAGACACGACACAATCAGGCTAGACACGACACAATCATGCTAGACACGACACCACCAAGCTAACACGACACCACCAAGGTAACACGACACAATCATGCTAGACACGACACAATCATGCTAGACACGACACAATCATGCTAGACACGACACAATCATGCTAGACACGACACCACCAAGGTAACACGACACAATCATGCTAGACACGACACCACCAAGGTAACACGACACAATCATGCTAGACGCGACACCACCAAGCTAACACCACCCAATCAGGCTAGATCTGAGACGCCACCTCAAAGTCAGCAAGTCTGGTCCAGTCAGGTATCATGTAGTAGTACAGGCCTAGGCTGGACCCAGGCAGCAGACAGCCGCGGATAAGGAGACAGGTAAGTATGACGTAAGGAGCGGTAGCCGCTACGTAAACAACCTGGGGGATATGACGTCACATGAGCAGATTTATTTAAATCTGAGTAATGCAATCTAAACAATAATTGGTCAAACGAACGCTTTGTTAAAATAACGATTAAACTACACAATCTTTAGAATCTTACCTTGCCCATGCTCTGGATGCCCTCTATCATACACAATCTTTAGAATCTTACCTTGCCCATGCTCTGGATGCCCTCTATCATACACAATCTTTAGAATCTTACCTTGCCCATGCTCTGGATGCCCTCTATCATACACAATCTTTAGAATCTTACCTTGCCCATGCTCTGGATGCCCTCTATCATACACAATCTTTAGAATCTTACCTTGCCCATGCTCTGGATGCCCTCTATCATACACAATCTTTAGAATCTTACCTTGCCCATGCTCTGGATGCCCTCTATCATACACAATCTTTAGAATCTTACCTTGCCCATGCTCTGGATGCCCTCTATCATACACAATCTTTAGAATCTTACCTTGCCCATGCTCTGGATGCCCTCTATCATACACAATCTTTAGAATCTTACCTTGCCCATGCTCTGGATGCCCTCTATCATACACAATCTTTAGAATCTTACCTTGCCCATGCTCTGGATGCCCTCTATCATACACAATCTTTAGAATCTTACCTTGCCCATGCTCTGGATGCCCTTGACCAGACAAAGAAACACCAGGACCCATGAGCTGGCCAAACACAGCAGTAGCTGCCAGCGGACATCTCCCATTTCATCCAGCCCAGAGCTCACATCCAATACCTCTTCACTGGTAGTATCATGTTATCATTTCATTTGGCAGTAGGTTTATCATGTTATCATTTCATTTATAACTGGCAGTAGGTTTATCATGTTATCATTTCATTTGGCAGTAGGTTTATCATGTTATCATTTCATTTATAACTGGCAGTAGGTTTATCATGTTATCATTTCATTTGGCAGTAGGTTTATCATGTTATCATTTCATTTGGCAGTAGGTTTATCATGTTAGCATTTCATTTGGCAGTAGGTTTATCATGTTATCATTTCATTTATAACTGGCAGTAGGTTTATAATGTTATCATTTCATTTATAACTGGCAGAAGGTTTATAATGTTATCATTTCATTTGGCAGTAGGTTTATGCTGTTATCATTTCATTTGTCAGTAGGTTTATAATGTTATTATTTCATTTGACAGTATGTTTATCATGTTATCATTTCATTTATAACTGGCAGTAGGTTTATCATGTTATCATTTCATTTATAACTGGCAGTAGGTTTATAATGTTATTATTTCATTTGGCAGTAGGTTTATCATGTTATCATTTCATTTATAACTGGCAGTAGGTTTATCATGTTATCATTTCATTTATAACTGGCAGTAGGTTTATCATGTTAGCATTTGATTTGGCAGTAGGTTTATCATGTTATCATTTCATTTGGCAGTAGGTTTATCATGTTAGCATTTCATTTATAACTGGCAGTAGGTTTATCATGTTATCATTTCATTTATAACTGACAGTAGGTTTATCATGTTAGCATTTCATTTGGCAGTAGGTTTATCATGTTATCATTTCATTTGGCAGTAGGTTTATCATGTTATCATTTCATTTGTAACTGGCAGTAGGTTTATCATGTTCGCATTTCATTTATAACTGGCAGTAGGTTTATCATGTTATCATTTCATTTGGCAGTAGGTTTATCATGTTATCATTTCATTTGGCAGTAGGTTTATCATGTTAGCATTTCATTTGGCAGTAGGTTTATCATGTTATCATTTCATTTGGCAGTAGGTTTATCATGTTAGCATTTCATTTATAACTGGCAGTAGGTTTATCATGTTAGCATTTCATTTATAACTGGCAGTAGGTTTATCATGTTATCATTTCATTTGGCAGTAGGTTTATCATGTTATCATTTCATTTATAACTGCCAGTAGGTTTATCATGTTAGCATTTCATTTATAACTGGCAGTAGGTTTATCATGTTAGCATTTCATTTGGCAGTAGGTTTATCATGTTAGCATTTCATTTATAACTGCCAGTAGGTTTATCATGTTAGCATTTCATTTATAACTGGCAGTAGGTTTATCATGTTAGCATTTCATTTATAACTGGCAGTAGGTTTATCATGTTAGCATTTCATTTATAACTGGCAGTAGGTTTATCATGTTATCATTTCATTTATAACTGGCAGTAGGTTTATCATGTAACATTTCATTTAGAAACTGGTATTCATACGTACATATATCTACACAGAACGATGTTTTTACAAAATTTCATTTCGAAAGTGGCATGCCTACGTGCATTAATTAAGACGAGCCGACCCGCTATTTAGTTGTTTTATTTTCTACTTTTCAGTAATCCATAATTTTTTAATTCGACAGTACTCCCCCCTCCTTTCCCCAATCCCTACCCCCCCCCCCCCAGGTGAAAGTAAACTCCTCTTAGTTACCTCCCCTAAGTTTAAAATCGTTTCTAACTAAATTATCTGCCCCTAATAGTAGCCAGACCCTTCACCCCCCCCCCCCCTTGCTAAAGGAAATATAACTCACAAACAAAAGATTTTTAACTGCAAGAAAGACAGATAACTCACTAACAACAAGCTTTAAACAAAGGAACGATAACTCACAACCAAAACTGTTCCTCTCGAGACGAATATGTAGCGTTTTTCATTGTAGATAACGTAAGATTGGCGACATTAGTGACACTGGTCTCATTGGTAAATTCGTTGTAGCTGTTGGCGATGGAAATTTGCAGTTGAGAAATGGAGGGCAATATAAACGAAAACTAGAGGCAATAAATCAATGTATTTATTTGTGTAGTAAAACCTCCAGACTTTTTTCTCCGGGGGGGGGGGCACTTAATATTTTCGGGGGGGGGGGGGGGGAGGCGTACAAATTTTCCGAGGGGGTGGTGGACACTGGTAAAAGTATATGTTTTCTATATAAATTTCCATTTTGTTCGGGGGGGGGAGGGGCGGTAGATTTTCTTCGGGGGGGGGGGGGGGGGCTGCCAAAAGTACAGGTGTCACAAGTTGTGTTACCTGTAACTGTCACCATACAGGTGTCACAAGTTGTGTTACCTGTAACTGTCAAAATACAGGTATCAAAAGTTTGTTACCTGTAACTGTCAAAATACAGGTATCAAAAGTTTGTTACCTGTAACTGCTATTCCCACACAGCTGGTATTGATGAGGCAAGCATTGGCTCCAGGGCAGGACAGAACTGAAGGAGAGAGCAGCGTAGTAAAGCGTCCAGGCCATTATCATGGTGTAGTAGATGGACACAACGAAGGTCAGGGTCATCATGCCGAAACCGATACCTGACGAGAACAGGTTTTACTTGCGCTGTCACTGTAGTCATGACTAAATACATTATTGCTGTAGTCTTGACTAAATGAATTATTGCTGTAGTCATGACTAAATACATTATTGTTGTAGTCATGACTAAATGAATTATTGCTATAGTCATGACTAAATACATTATGAACGTATCCAGAACTAACAGCATTTATTTCTGTAGCCACGATTTTAAACTTCTCTTACAGATATAAATACTTTGAATGTAATGGGTAGCTTAACTTACATAAATACTTTGAATGTAATGGGTAGCTAACCTTACAGATATAAATACTTTGAATGTAATGGGTAGCTAACCTTACATAAATACTTTGAATGTAATGGGTAGCTAACCTTACATAATACTTTGAATGTAATGGGTAGCTAACCTTACAGATATAAATACTTTGAATGTAATGGGTAGCTAACCTTACATAAATACTTTGAATGTAATGGGTAGCTAACCTTACATAAATACTTTGAATGTAATGGGTAGCTAACCTAACATAAATACTTTGAATGTAATGGGTAGCTAACCTTACATAAATACTTTGAATGTAATGGGTAGCTAACCTTACATAACTACTTTGAATGTAATGGGTAGCTAACCTTACATAAATACTTTGAATGTAATGGGTAGCTAACCTTACATAAATACTTTGAATGTAATGGGTAGCTAGCCTTACATAAATACTTTGAATGTAATGGGTAGCTAGCCTTACATAAATACTTAGAATGTAATGGGTAGCTAACCTTACATAAATACTTTGAATGTAATGGGTAGCTAACCTTACATAAATACTTTGAATGTAATGGGTAGCTAACCTTACATAAATACTTTGAATGTAATGGGTAGCTAACCTTACAGATATAAATACTTTGAATGTAATGGGTAGCTAACCTTACATAAATACTTTGAATGTAATGGGTAGCTAACCTTACTTAAATACTTTGAATGTAATGGGTAGCTAACCTTTAAATAAATACTGTGAATGTAATGGGTAGCTAACCTTTAAATAAATACTTTGAATGTAATGGGTAGCTAACCTTACATAAATACTTTGAATGTAATGGGTAGCTAACCTTACATAAATACTTTGAATGTAATGGGTAGCTAACCTTACATATATAAATACTTTGAATGTAATGGGTAGCTAACCTTTAAATAAATACTGTGAATGTAATGGGTAGCTAACCTTTAAACAAAGGGCAGATGACCCAGACCTTCCCAGGCCCTAGACTCGAGTACTGGCAGTAGAGCATCTCCAGGAAGAGAAGCGGACAGCCACACACGATCATCGACACAAAGAAGGGAATCAAAAATGCTCCTAGGGAGGTTAAACAAGTGACTAAATCAAATGTATTCTATTTGTGGGTGGCGTGGGTTAAGATTAACACAATCACATGTATTTTATTTATGGGTGGCGTGGGTTAAGATTAACACAATCACATGTATTTTATTTATGGTTGGCGTGGGTTAAGGTTGACCAAATCAAGTGTATTTTATTTGTATTTGTGGGCTAATACTGAGCTACACTTACCGCCACCATTCCGGTAACAAACGTACGGAAACCTCCAGATATTGCCCAGTCCCACCATAGAACCAATGGCTGACAAGAGAAACTCCAGCCACGATCCCCAGGATCCTCTAGTCTCTGCCATTTGGAACCGTTGTTGGTGCTGTTGATGTTGGTTGTTTCTTCCAAAGGCAGTTGGTGTTTGTTGTATCTTCAAAAGGCTGTTTGTGTTTGTTGTATCTTCCAAAGGCTGTTGGTGTTTGTTGTATCTTCCAAAGGCTGTTGGTGTTTGTTGTATCTTCAAAAGGCTGTTGGTGTTTGTTGTATCTTTCAAAGGCTGTTGGTGTTGTATCTTTCTAAGGCTGTTGATATTTTGCTTGTATCTTTCTATGTATCTTTCTAAGGCTGTTTGTTATGCTAATGATTTTTGTTCAGTTTATTTCTTTGAAACCAGGTATTGTTTAGAGTTTCACTCAACAGTTGATGCCTCTCCGTCAAGTTACATGTAACGACTACTGACCTGTATATAGCTTGCTTGCTACCAATGCTTTGTGTAAGTCACTCTAGTGTGTGCTTATTAAAAAAATCCATTGTTCTACGAAAAAACGAAATTATATTGTAAAACAGCTTTAAACTGTTTTAATTCAAATTATTTTTACAAAAACCCCTCAGTTCATTGAAAAATAAGTGTAAACCGGTAAAAAAATGAACTTCCAAAAGAAAATGTTAAACAATTCTTATATTATAACTGAAATAGGCCTCAGTGTCTTGGAGAAATCCAGTTTATTTTCTTATTTAACCTAATTAACTAATCAATTTCAGGGCCTCGTTCTGTCACGTCGAGCTTTAAAATAATTAATTAGCTGTGCCAGAAACGTGCCTTCATTAATTTGCTACAACACAGCATAAAGCCAGGCTTGATCTAGTCGACTAGAAGAAAAATTCACACATCACTCTCTCCACCCCCCCCCCCCCCTAAAAGATGTGAATAGGGCCGCAGTAGGGCAGCAATCTTACACTCTTTGTACGGCAGCGTCAATGTCCCCGTCATGTTTTGATGTCAATAACACCTTTATTCTGTGATGTCAGTAACACCTTTATTCTGTGATTTCAGGGACACCTTTATGCTGTTATGTCAGTAACACCTTTATTCTGTGATTTTAGGGACACCTTTATTCTGTGATTTCAGCGACACCTTTATGCTGTTATGTCAGTGACACCTTTATTCTGTGATTTCAGGGACACCTTTATTCTGTGATTTCAGGGACACCTTTATGCTTTGATGTCAGTGACACCTTTATTCTGTGATTTCAGGGACACCTTTATGCTTTGATGTCAGTGACACCTTTATGCTTTGATGTCAGTGACACCTTTATGCTTTGATGTCAGTGACACCTTTATTCTGTGATGTCAGTGACACCTTTATGCTTTGATGTCAGTGACACCTTTATGCTTTGATGTCAGTGACACCTTTATTCTGTGATGTCAGTAACACCTCTATGCTGTAATGTATTCAACTCAACAAACTATAGCCACTTCCGACATGGTGGTCGAATCTGTACACATGACATTTGACAAAAAACAATTCTAAGTAAAAACATGAACTTTCTTGTTGTTTTTCACTCTTGTATTCATGCACCTCTTTTTCAGGAATTGAAGCTAAACTTTCATTTTTGTATTGCTGTACAATTTCAAATTGGATTACAACAAACCATTGACCTCAATATGAGGAAAATATTTAAACATTTAAAGCCATTATTTTTTTATATAGCTTACAAATTGTGTATTCTTCAAATAAAATGCATCATTCTAAAACTAAGTATATTAAAATTTTACTCTATGGTGACATGCTGTACATTTTGGTACTCATATCATAATTTGCGTTATGCTTGAACAAGGGAGATAATATTGGGTATACCATGTCAGGACAGCCACATCATTTTCCATACACGGGATAATATATTTTGGACAAAAACACTGAGCTATGTCAGAAGGGGATAGAGAAAGTCCAGCGGAAACTTTTAAAAAACTTGCCTTTCTGAAATGACAAATTGAGTTGTCAAAATTTATATTCACCATTGGCTAAACAGAAATTATATAAACACCTCAAGCATTCATCCGTGATATTGTCTAGGCTAACATCTCAAACATTCATCCATGATGTTGCCAGTGTCTAGACCAACATCTCAATACTAACCAAGGATCTTGTCTAGACCAACATCTCAATACTAACCAAGGATCTTGTCTAGACCAACATCTCAAACATTCATCCATGTTGTCTAGGCTAACACCTCAAACATTCACCCATGCTGTTGCCAGTGTCTAGACCACATCTCAAACATTCAAAAAGGGTTTTGTAGTTGGTATCCAGATGAAAGCAACAGAGCCAGAACTTAGCAAGCATTGAATTTGTTAAATAGCCAAATCTTCTGTATTTAAAAACCAACAAATTTAATCTTTAGTTATTATGCACATATGTTTTTTCTTTTGAACTTAAAGTTAATAAATACAATCTGGCTGATTTATATTAAAATATTTTAAAATGTAAATTTAAAAAAAAAGCATGTAAAATAAATTGTTGCATGTTTTATTTTTGAATAAGCAATGATTGTAATTCTTTTACAGCAAAGTCTATATCATCTTTTGTTGTTTCCCTTCCAACAGAAATGCGCAGAGCTCTGAAAGCAGCAAACTCAGTTGCTCCTGTAGCAAGCAGAATATGGGATGGCCTGAAATAATGAAAGACATCATTTTAGTTTCCACTACTAAGATGTCATTTATAAATGTTCTAACACTAATATGGTGAAGGGGACGTGGGGTTGATTCAAACATTTATGATGGTGAGATAAGAGAAGAGGTTCTGACATTTTAAATAAAATACTTAAAAAAAACTTTTTAAAAAACCACGTTTTTCTTGTGGACTAAAAAGTAGAAAATAAATTTTTCTTTTGTGCTTCGTCGAGCTGTGCAGATTCTTGTGATGACTGACAAAAAACGTGGGTACGTTCACCATCAAATTTCCCGACCCATCTGCCCGACCCACGTTTTTTGTCAGTCATTACAAGAACCTGCACAGCTCGAGGAAGCACAAAAGAAAAATTTATTTTCTACTTTTTAGTCCACAAGAAAAACGTGTTTTTTTAAAAAGTTTTTTTAAGTATTTTATTTTCTCCTTTTTAGTCCGTTGCTACACATGAAAAACGTGGTTTTTAAAAAAGTTTTTTATATAGTTTATTTTCTACTTTATCTAATGACTTGATTAAGTATGACTTGACTAAGTGTTTATAAATACACAGACTAAAAATCTTGAGCGACCAGGATTCGAACCTGGGTTGTCGCGGCCACAACGCGAAGTACTAATAACTATACGATCACGGCCAGCGCGCTCACATCGATTGGGGCCGAAGTAACTGTGTCAATAGGCCTCCAGTCTTGTCGGTATCTTTAGAAATCATGTCCTCAATTTTATGGTCCTTGGGGCGTAATTAAGTTAAGCTAATTACGGTCTCTAATTGCTAGTTTTTATGATTGCATCTGAAATTGTTAGGCGAAAGTAGCCTGCATGCCAAATTTCAGATCTCTAGAGCAATCAGAAGTGGGCTAATTTTCGATGTCAATTTTAACAACAAACAAACAAACGCGAAGCTGAGTTAATAAAAACGTATTAAAAATGTAGCAAAAGTCTAGCTCAATTTATATTTAGAAAGTAATTAATGTTCCAAAGAAGAATAATTGCAACATATGGAAGAGGGGATGAGGATGTTACTTTAAGTGTGTCTGACATGTTTTTGATGATGAAGGTGGGAAGTGTCAAACAATTTTAAAAAGATGATTAGAAAACAAAGTATATTGCCCAGTTAGGGTTTTGTGATTACAACATTAATTATCCTTCTGGTACCAAATAAATGAAACTGACAAGAGGCAACACTCAATTTAAAACAGACCTGTCTTGTGCATGACAAGCAGCTCCCACACTAGCCTGTATACTGGTTAGGCTAGACAGAATCTCATGACCTGGCAAAATTGATACAATATCTCATGATCCATCAAAACTCATAGACTGATGTATGTTGATCCAATACTATGGTTAGTGCTGTGAGCTTATACTAAATCTAATTTATATTTTCTTGATTTTTTAATCAAGAATTGATGTACTGTAAAGTAAAATTGATGAATCATTGATATTAATAAAGTAAATTGGTGGATCAATGAGTGGAGTAAAGTAAACTTAATAAATCAAATAGTGGTGTGAAGTATAATTGATGAATCAATGATTTATGTAAAGTAAAATTGAGGAATCAATGATTTATGTGAAGTAAAATTGATGATTTAAGTAAAATTGATGAATCAGTGATTGATGTAAAGTAAAATCTGACCAAAGCTGATTTTGTTTACTGAATTCAAAAGAAATATCATTTTACAAATCTATTGTATTTTTTTAAGATATTAATAAAATAATTTTGTTTTTTATATTCTTTAAAAATATACCTTTCATCATATCAGGACCGACAAAAGACACATTACATGTATTTGGTAGTCGATCACTTTTGTTGGTTTTCCCATTGAAAATAACATGCTCTCCAAAGATTTCCTGAAAAATTTTATTTTTATTTAAAACGTGCAATTATTAGATTTATTTTATCGACTTAAGAGCTGCACCAACTGACAAAAAAATTATGACAGCTGTCTCTTCATCTTTCCCAACTTCTAATATATAAAAGCCCATGTGCGCACTTCTCTATCTCTCTCTCTTTGTCCGCATGTCTCGATGCTATGCGATCACTATCTTAAGTTAAGCGATATTTGGAGAACTTAAAGATATGGACTTATGTTGAAAATAATATGTTGGATGTTTTAAATGTATAAACTAAATTTTATTTAAAGAAAGAACATAAAAATAAAGCAATATTCGAATATAGAAACACATTTTTAATTGTGCAACCGGTAATTGTTTATGGTTGTGACAAGAACTCAATAAACAACGACATCACATGCCACATTTTTAAACTACAAAAAGAATAAAATACTATTGGCATCATCTTCCAATTTTAGAATAAATGAACTATTTCCTTCAAATTTGATTTAGATCTAGATCTAGATTCTATAAATCTACTTATCAAAATGTAAGCTATGAAATGTATAGGATTTTCTCGGTCAAACAAATACAAATTACTTTAAAAAAACCAACATAATGACCATTGAATAGCCGGGTTTTTAAAGGAATCGTTTAAGTCTCTTAATCAATGTGTGCATTTAATATGGTGTTGTGTTGACTAATGATGTATCTAATTTGGTTTTAATTTTTCTAATAGGTATTGGTAGCCTATGTTATTTTAAATGTGTCGGATTTTTAGATATTTAGTTATTTTTTTGCTTTGTCACCAATATCATTCAACATGTAGTAAAGCACATAGCGTTTTGACCAATAACTATTTTATAAACTATTTTTTCCAAATAAGTCAGTAAAAATTTATAGGCCTATAATTCAAGTGAAACGAGTAGGCTACCCATGGCTAGTATTACAGTCATGCCTACCTATTTGATTGCTTTGAACTTTGAGGAAAAGTCATTTTTTAAAAATAGAAATTTTAAGCATTGATGAGGGATACAAGCATGGTTGCAATTTGACCAAACCAAAAAGTTCAAACAAAACAGTGTTCTTAAATAGAATATATGAATGTAGCTAATCAATTTTCCTTCTAACTTATTTTGTCACAATAAATGTTTTTCACCATTTCTTCCTCATTTTAATCATGAAAATTCCTCTATATTTCTTTCTTTGTGTTTTGACTTCTTCACAGTGGATCAGGTAAACGAGATTTCATTTGGGCAGTTGTGTTGATCTGACAGGTGTAGTAGATAGAATCTTAAATTTCAAACTTGACATTAGCCTCTAATTCTTACTTTTAGTCTCTGTTCCAAGTAATCCCTTACATCAAGCATATGGGACTGGTAGTGCTGTAGGTTCTTATAGACAAGTTCTGCAGCCTGAGGTACACAGAAAATATTATCATAAGAAAACAGGACTAAGAATAAGTAAAATGCTACCCATGATTGTTTACATAAAAAAGTGCAAATAAATCATAGGATTTCTTAGTAATGTTAAGCTAAATCTTAACACAGATAGTTCAATTTGTATTGCTCTTTTCAATTACTTTTGATTTTAAATTTTTTATTTCATCTATTTAAACCACTATTTCCACATGAAGTAGATAAATGGATTGAATAAGAGCATGTAAAAAATATACACCTACCTTTCCTAACCCTGCTATCATGGGTGTATTTTCTGTACTATGAAATTTAAAAAAAAAAAAAAGCATTAATTGAACAACAACAACATAGGTCTATGTGTTAAACAGGTCTAGAGCACTAAGTGAGCCGCATGGCGGCTCTTTTGATCTCAAGATGCGGCTCTCCAATTCTGTGCACAAATAATCATAATTAAATTATTTTATTTTCAAAACTCATAAAAACAACAACTTTAAACTGGATAGATGGAGTAGAGAGTATACGGACAGCTGACAGTCCCACAGCTGTGTTGTAGTCAGCCCCATGGTGACTGTTCCATGCTTGCCACTGCCAAAGTGCCAACTTCGAATATTATTAAATGTGGGATGTTTGTCTATTCAGAATGCATTTCTCTATCTGTCAGTATGCATTATATTTACCATGAGTGACATAGTTTTTTTAAGTTATTCACTTCTAAAGTGGGTTGGGATAGTCCCATAGCTATAGTAATATTATTAGATAATTAGTTTTGTTATTCCAGCAGAGCTACCTAAAATACTATAATGTTTTGTGCGAAATGTGTATATTTTTATATGAATAAATGTTCTTTCATATTTAAAGCGACTTCTTATAAATCGAAATTCAAATGTATTTTTAACTAATCATACTCAAATACCATAATATTGAAATAAAAGTGTTAGTGACTCTTTAAAAACTGGGACATTTTGTAAATTGTAGCTGTTGGCTCTTCTGTCTCAAAATGTTGTCAATCACTGGTCAATGTCCATTACCCATTATATTTGGCAACCCTAATAATAAAACTTAACACAATTAACTTTCCAAAAAAAATTATTCACTAACCCAGGCCTGAAGTTCCTTTCTTGTCCTCCACCAAAAAACATAGGATACAATGGTGTGGTTTCAGATGGATTCTTTACATATATAGCGCCAATCCTTGGACCATAAAACTAGAGAAATAAATGATATTTATCAAACTAGACAAAAATAAATATTAGCCAAACTCTAAATTTAATATTTGGTGAGAACAAAGAATTATATCTTCTATCAGTATTCTGGTTTATTTTATGGCCAACAAAGCAATTTTCTTACATCAAAATGTTGACTTACTTTGTGACCAACTATTGTCAGGTAATCAACACCAAGTTCTTTAACATTGACAGGAATTTTTCCAATGGCTTGTGCAGCATCTGTGTGGATAAAAATCTTCTCAGTTTCACCTTTCTGTCTCTTCAGGGACTTAACTTTTTGACTCACTGCTGAAATAGGCTTAAGATTAAGCATGTAGTATTAATTTTTTGTGCTGAAACAATACTCCAAATAACAAAATCAAAATTTTAGTATTTTCTGTATAACAAAATCTTGAGATTACAAGACATAAATAGAAAATGTTTAAGATATTAGTCAGTATAGTCAGGATTATCTCAAGATTACTAGAGAAAATGTTTAAAACAGTCTGTGTACCTGGATAACACCTGTTTCATTGTTAGCAAGCATAATAGTAATGAGTACAGTTGTAGGACGAATAGCTGCTAGCACATCATCAACATGGACAGCTCCAGTAGAGTGGCGTACAGGGACTTCTGTCACATCTGTTATATAAAGTTTACACATTCATGTCATAGATAAAGTTCACACGTTATATAAAATGTACATGTCACATGGGAAATAAAATTCAAATACCTGTTATTAGGGTGAAGGATAGAAATCTGTTTAGGGTAACTGATATGGACACGGTTATGAAAAGGGTTAGGGATATGGTTAAAGATAGGATTAGGGTAGGGAAAATATAGTGTATAAGGGATGAGTTTAGGTATAGGGATTAATTTAGATAGAGGATTAGGTTGGTCAATGATCTTAATGGAATAAGCCAGTTTTCCAGTTTTGTCTAGCAAGAGTACCTACAAATGCAATGTTAGACCATTTTAGAAAATGCCTCTTCATTTTATAAAATTATTTGTTTCTTACTAAAACAAAATTTTGCATGGGGTAATATATCTAAATATCTATGGCAGAAGGGCTATAAATGGATAATGTCCTAGGCCCTAGGTACACACATCACGTTATAATTCACACATTTTTAATACAAAATTCACACATTTGTTTATGTAAGTTTAACACATCTGTTTTATAAAATTCACATATCTGGGTAATAAACTTCAACCATATTCTAAAAATAATAGCACTCATATCTATAATCAGCAGATTTTATTGTTCATACTAAATGTATTCCTATCTTTTTCTCTATACCTGCCAACCCTTCAGCTTTGTAATGGTCCAAGACAAGTTTGATAGAATCATGTTCTATATTGGAGGTTATAAAGTGAGGTCGATTAAGGCACACATTGTTATCTCCTGTTTGTTGATCTTTCAGTGATAACTGCTTTTGAAACTGTTGTTTAGCAATATGTAAAATCCAATTGTTCCCCTATAAACAAAATATTCAAAACCTAAATTACTGTTATAACATATGTGTAAATACAAGCCCCTAAATATACTGAAATATGTATAGCCCAACAGATCGGCAAAGTGTACTGCAAATGGTAAAGTTAATAGTTAATATTATGATAAAATGTTTGTCATTCCTTAAAAGAAAATATAATATAGATTTTTACTAAATGTTTGCCCAAATATAATAATTAGCTAAACAAGTATGTCATTAGCAGTGACAAGATTAATTTTGTTACCTCTGTTCCTCCAGATGTAAAAATAATATCTGAAATAATAGAAGTTAACACTGTAAAAATGACCTTGTAATAAGCATGCCAGTTTATGTAACTAGAATATGATTTTAAAATTTAAAAATAAAGTTAGAATAATAAAAATATTTGGTAAAAAAATTATTTAACATTAAAACCAATGTTGGATATCCTAAGAAAAATTCCAAAGTCCACCTGGAGGATTGGCTCCAATCATGTTAGCAACATGTGTTCGTGCTGTAGTTATTGTGTTTTTGGCACTTACACCTAAGAATGGAATTATTTACTTTCTGAAACATCAATAAAATTGTTCTTCCATGCTATAATTATCAACAAATACTGTTCATTATCACCATCGAATGAAAATTTAAATTCTTATAAGCAATATTTACTGATAAAATGAGAATTATGTGGTTAAGTTTTCATTTCTGAACATACCTGCTATATGTGAACTAGATGGATTTCCCCATGACTGTGTCAGCGATTCAGAAATAGCCTGAACAACTTCTGATGCTAAAGGTGTTGTTGCATTGTAGTCTAAATAAACACCTTCCATTTATCTTTTATAATTTTTTATTATCTAGTATAATAAAAATAATTATAATTCATCTTATAGAACAGATAAGCAGCATCTAGTGCAAATTAATTACAGGTAACCCTCAACATATGCCAATTCCATTGAAAACAACTTAACCATTGTATTTTCAAATCCAACTATTTTGGTATTGATGTTGACTGGTTGCTTAATTTTGGTTTCGGTTAAAATTTTACTGTGGAAAGAGTTTTTGTCTCAATTTTCTACTGTTGCCTCTAAATTTTAACTTTAACAATATATTTTCAAGGCCATTCTTCATTCAAAACCTCAGGCTTTGGTTGCAAAACAAACTTAACACATTTTATAACTATGGTTAGGTTTGTTTTATTTTAGTGAATTTTAATTGGCACAGTGATTGATAATGCCTAAACAAAATGGTTGACCTTGGTCCAGATTTATTATGTAAAGAAGTTTTTGGCATTCTCAAAGCAAAACTATAGTGTTTAACATTATAGGCCTAATGAATATGAAACTTGTTAAACTTTTTAAAAATATGAATTGATTGTTGAGCAGACTTGAGTCCAAAATAGAATAATAGACAAACAGTTCTGAGTTGTATTTAAGCAATAATTATTAATTAAGACATGTGATGCAAGTCCCTTAGTTCGCCCTAGAGGCAACAACACCATCCTAGCTGCCACCTGCTTTTAACCCCTAACAAAGTTTGTAATCACTTTGTTGGTAACATGGATTAAGGTTCTTTAATCTTAGCCAAGCTGAGATTGCATAATATGTTAACTATCACTCTTGTGGACTAGCAGAGAAAAGATCAAAGACATGCCAATTTTGATCTATAGGCAATACCACTTCACTTCCCTTTTTAAGATGGCTCCATAAAAAACAATTTTGTAACCTTTTTGTCCTGTTAAAAATCATTCAGGAAACTTAGCTGTGTAATAAGGCCATTGGATGATTGAAAATGCATGTGTTAGGTTGTAAGTAAGTAGTACTTGAATCCAGTGGCGTAGCGAGGTCGGGTGTCACCCGGTGCGGCACTTAATGGTGTCACCCCCCCCCCCCCAGAGGCATAGAGACCCTTCCCAGGGACAAACTTTCAAATTTTCGATTTGCACCCCCCCCTCAAGTTTTCGATTTGCACCCCCCCCCCCCTCAAACTTTCGATTTGCACCCCCCCCCCCTCGAGTTTTTCTCTATATATTTTGCTATTTTTTGCCTTGGTGTCACCCCCCTAAATGGTGTCACCCGGTGCGGTCCGCAACCCCGCCCCCCCTCGCTACGCCCCTGCTTGAATCTCAACTACTGAACTAGCTTTATTTTTTATGCTACTATGCCAGAAATTAGGGTTAGGCATAGCGTAGTAGGGTAGGACTGGTTGGTGTTAGGCCGGGATATGGTTAGTCAACATATTGACATTAAAAAATAACTTGAACTAACAAAATAAGCCAAGTACTTAGATCTAGTACTACTTTACTAATACTAATAAACATGCTAATTATAGACTTAAGGTCTATAGGCCTATATATTACATTACAATTTTTACATAATCTAAAAATGACTAAAAATAATCTACATATATTATAATTCTCTTCATCGGCTTTGTGGACACCACAAAACAAGCTGACTATCTAACCCTCCTCCTGCCCTCTCCCTCACTTTCCACTCCTCAAGGCATGCTCAACAGACCCGATATCACCCCCACCACCTACCAGTCTGGTGAGTTGTGGGCAGAGTTTCTTCCAGGCATCTCTTCAGGAGGGCTTTGCCCCCCCCCCCCCCCAAATTTTTACCGCCCCCCCCCCCCCGAACGAAATGAAATTTATATAATTTATATAGAAAATATATACTTTTATACTTTTAACAGTGTCCGCCCCCCCCCCCCCCCCCGAAGAAAGTCTACCGCCCCCCCCCCCCTGAAAATTTCAAGTGCCCCCCCCCCCCCCCCCCCCCCCCCCCCCGGAGAAAAAAGTCTGGAAGAAACACTGGCTGTGGGTCATGCTGACTGCTTACAATCGTAGAGCCAGGTTGAATCAGAGGCAGCTATTACTATTAGGGGCAGATAATTTAGTTTTTGAAACTAAGGGGAGGTAACAAGTTCTTCTTGATCTTTTCAATTCTTTTCATTGACGTCTGTAAGTAAACTGTCGTCAGACATGGATGGCTACTTTAAAACGTTCACGGGGGGGGGGGGGGGGGGGAGGAGGGTAGTGTCAAATTCACAAATCATGAATTTCTGAAAAGTATACAATAAAACAACTATGTAGCGTGTCGTTTCACAATGTCAGGTTAGGCCTAGTTAGAGTCTAGATCTAGATCTAAGACAAACTAATTTCTGTTACGCAGTTTAGAGCAGTTTCAGATTTACCCTCCCCCAACCCTAGATCGGACTAGATCCTAATCCCTGTACCGATTTCTTAGCCATTTAGGTAAAAAAAAAACTGTGAGAGCAGCCTAGTAGATCTAGTAATATAATATTCAATGTGTTTTTCTTCATTATACAAACCTGTAAGTTAAAGATCTTCTGAATCTAAATTTAACGAAATCACTTCAACATATTTGTTCGCAAAAGTTTGTCAAGTAGATCTATCTAGATCTAAGTAATACTAAGTATTTTTAAAGTTTGTTTTAACAATAGTAATGCGCACAGCGCGCAATACGGCATTATTATATTTTTTAACCGCTAGAACTGACTTCAAAACAATATTTCGAGGACGATGTTCAGGTATCAATCAATACATGTACATACAACAGTGATACGTGAATTAAGAAGTGAATACAACAAACAATGACACGGCAACTAGTCTAGATCTAGAATCTAGATATAAAATTTAGATTCCTTACAAAATGTATTTTGTAGGTCGGAGGCGCGGCAGAAACACATTTTATAGATCTATGCCTAAAACAGCTATTCATTGCATTTAGGCCCCTATTAATTTATAAAATTTTGAAACTTTCCACAAATAAAAAATAGTAAAAATACAATACATTTGATTGTCAGATGAGATTGTCAATTTGACAGAATTGTCATTAGTAGATCTAGATCTAGATCTATCTACAATTGTTATAAAGAGTGAGTTGTTGTTGACTCAATCGAGTAGTATGTCGGCCATAATATTAACAGCTGTAAAATCTGTATTGAGGAGAGAATATGTGATTATGAAGGGATTTAAGTGCTATGCAACATCTGTGTTTATCTCAGTTCGACATTACAATTGTGAAGTTACTAGTATACGCAATGGCCTTGTAGGTATGGTTGGAAGAACTCCACTTGTTCGTCTTAATAAAATTAGTGATGAAACAGGTTGTAATATATTAGCAAAAGCTGAAATGTGCAATGGAGGGGGATCTGTTAAAGATAGGGCTGCCTATTATTTGATTCAAGATGCAATCAAAAGAGGAAATTTGAAGCCTGGTGGTACAATCGTTGAAGGAACTGCTGGCAACACTGGAATTGGCTTAGCACACTTGTGTCTTGCCATGGGATTTAAATGTGTAATTTTCATGCCTAATAATCAATCACAGGAAAAAATAGACATTTTGAAAACTCTTGGTGCAGTTGTTACAACTGTACCAGTGTGCCCATGGGATGATCCAAACAATTACAATCATCAGGCACGGAGATTTGCTGAAAGTTTAGACAATGCTGTTTGGACTAACCAGTTTGACAATAGGGCAAACAGACAAGCTCATATTGAAACAACAGGTCCAGAAATATGGAATGAAACTGGTGGCAAAATAGATGCTGTTACCTTTGGTACAGGAACAGGGGGTACACTGTCTGGTGTTGGAACTTACTTGAAAGAAAAGAATAGTAAAATCAGGGTGATACTTGCTGATCCACAAGGTAGTGTCCTTTATAATTATTTCAAACATGGAAAAATAGAAAGAACACCTGGTGATTCTATCACTGAAGGAATAGGCCAGGGTAGAATAACAGAAAATTTAAAAGATGCACCGATAGATGATGCCCGGGCTGTTATGGATGTTGATGTAATAAATATGACATTTCGCCTGTTACATGAAGAAGGGTTTTTTGTTGGAGCTTCAACTGGACTTAACGTTTCTTCTGCTTTTGAAGTTGCTAAGGAGATGGGACCTGGACATACTATTGTTACATGCTTATGCGATACAGGACAGCGGTATTATGCCAAATTGTTCAATAAAGAGATCCTTAAATCAAGAGGATTATATGAAACACTTCCTGATGTGTATAAAAAATATTTACATTAAGTTAAGCATACATTTTTTTTTTCATTTGTGCTTTTCAATTGTGCCTTTCAAAACTTTTAATACTAATATATTTTAATATGCAAGTGCAACTTCAAACAGACATGTTAATTATAATTAATATTATAATAATTATATCAAAAATGTATTTAGAAAAGACTGTTATAGACCTACATGTAGAGATAATTATCAAATATATTTAGTGCTAACCACACTATCTTTTCATATGCCAGAAATAAAAACAGGTGAACTCTACTTCACCTGTCCCTTGGTTGGAAAGGGTATTTTACTTATTTACAGGGAAAAAAAACTTACCCATATTTAATACAGGGCATAAAGTTTAAAGTTGATTGGAATAAATAAAAGTAAAAGGCAATGTTTTATAATCTTAATCATAAAAAGATAAGAATTGTGGCCTATTTATAAATAGATAATCTACTTCAACAGCCCAATTGCTATACTATAATCTCAAGTAGGCTTAATACCTAATGCTTGTGATTAAATACTCCCATGAACACATTTCCAATTATTGCTCACTAACACTGTAGCAAGCAGTCTTTTTACTCAGGTGTCACTCTAGCCCCATAAGAAGTCTCAATACAAATTTTTGTCAACTTGAAATGTGATGTCTGGCCAAGTGGAGAGTATGAGATCTATACTTAAGTTGTGGGTTAGGAACTTGTATGGTCTTTGCAAATGGTTTAATTTTCTCTCCCCCCCCCCCCCCCAAGTACATCCCAGTGGGAAATCTGGCCACTGCTCATAATGTCTTGCTCTTAAAGCCTAGACCATATACCAATAGTAAAGCTAATATACAAATACTAAAATATGTCATGATTTTACATTGAATTGGAAGCAAGGTTTTTTTTCCCAAGTGTAAACAGATATATATTGTAATATTTATCCCATGTTGCTTTTAATATATAATTTATCCTTCAATGTAACTGTTGAAATATTTGATTAAAATGTGCATTCTAACACACCTTGTTGTCTACCTGTGAGTAAATGTGAGTAGTTTATAATTTTATAATTACATAGTCAAAGTTAAGAGAATGGATGGCTACAACTACAAGGCTTTACAATCTGATTTGTTTTCTATATTGATTGTGTAAAAAAAATGCCCTTTAGTGGCTGGTAAAAACCGCCTACTAACATTTTTGGCGCTTTTTTGTCAACGTAAATCTACAACTTGACTAGATTGCAATACATTTTGTATGGATTTGCATTGTTAAAAGCTTAAGAGAAAATAAATCGGATTATATAATTCGGTTATCTGACTAATACAGTCAGAGCAGGTGGGGTTCCATTTTCAAACCTGACGGTGCATGGGGCGAGTGAAGTAGAGTTCACTTGTTTCTGTGACCTCGGCGTAGGTGTATAAGAGGTTAGTGTGATCAGCACTGTGCACTGTCAAATGACACTGTTATTATGACCCGGGAAAAACAACCCAGTCATAATAATAGCCCTGACATATTGGCTCCTGACAAATGAACTCATAACTAATTGGCTCCAGACTGTTGAGGGTCATTTGGAATTGGAGTTTAGGTTAGAGTAGGGTGGAATAGTCTAGAACCTAGGGCCCTCACAAAATGGTGAATTGTTTTTTCAAAACTAATACTTTTCAAATAAATTGAATGCACTTTTAAACATGTCTTAAAGAAACAAAAATACCACATATTGACAGATAAAAAATTTAAAAAGACTTAAACTTTATTCACATATAAATTTTATTCATGTAGTTAAAAAAAATTTGGAAAAATACAAAATCCATATATATATCTATTTATATATATCTATATATATATCTATATAAATATCTCTCTCTCTCTCTCTCTCTCTCTCTCTCTCTCTATATATATATATATATATATATATATATATATATATATATATATATATATATATATATATATATTGGGGGTACCGAAATAGAAAGGACGCCCCTGATGCAGTTAGACCAATTATACCATTTATTCAAGTAGTAATCCTGATCAGCAGCCCCCAGAGTGGTAAATCTCTTTTCAGAGGTTAAAGTGGACTTGATAGTATAAATGACCTTTATGGGCACCCCTATTACTGTATTAGGCAACAGTGCGTGAGTTAATGTAGAACAATAATCACTGCAGTAGATCCACCAGTCTATCAAGGGGAAAAATACTTCTGGTCCGTGTTTTGTCCACTAAACAAACCTTTCCAACTGGGGAAGGGGGGGGGGGGGGGCGTTTTCACAGACAGGAATAATTATATAGAAATGTAAGGGTGGGGGCGCAAAAATGATAGTCCGACACTGACACCAGAATGGTCGCGACGCCTCCTGTGGCATACTGACCAGATTTGGCGTTTCTTACTCCGTGACACCACTGTGCCGTTTTGCACTGGCAACAAAATGCCCAACAGCAAAGGTCTTTTTTTTCAGTTCGCAAATTATTGTAATGTATGTAAATCAGAAGAGGTTTTGCGCATTTAAATACTGGGTTTGATGTATGTGCCAACAAAAAAAAAACACATTATATTTTTAGAAGTTGAAGGTGGGTTTTAACGTTTTTACAATAGTATTAAAAATGATTTCACATGGTTCCCCCTAGGCCCCGTCTTCCCATCTATAACAAATCAATGAACATAAATGATGTGGAAATTTTTAAAAAATTATGTCTAAAGATAATTCTACGTGGAAGACAGGGGTACAGACAAACAATAGAATTACAAGGGGTGGGGGTACCTGGGTATTAGATAATCAGATCATACATCGTGTTGCCTCTCTCAACCCTGGATGGTTTAGTCAAAAAGAATGCTAAGCAATAGGTAGATGCAGAAGTTGTCGAAAGCGAACTTAAGTTAGCAATCTATCGCCCCAGCTATCAAGCCTCATCTGCCCGCTGGTTCAAACTTTACGGGTAAGCACCAGAGTTTCTTCCAGGCATCTCTTCGGGGGGGCAAAGCCCCCCCCCCCCCCCCCCCCCCCCCCCCCGAAAAATTTTTACCGCCCCCCGAACGAAATGAAATTTATATAATTTATATAGAAAATATATACTTTTAACAGTGTCCGCCCCCCCGAAGAAAGTTTACCGCCCCCCCGAAGATTTCAAGTGCCCCCCGGAGAAAAAAGTCTGGAAGAAACACTGGTAAGCACAGGATATACCTCCTAGTTAAAGGTAACCTATAGAATACGCGACAATTTTTAAAAGTATGTTATACTTCATGTGTGGGGCAGGACTGCTCCTGCCAATACGTTTTTCCAATACAAGACTTCTAATGGATCTTACTATGGGGTAAGAGGTTTTTAGCTAATTCCACCTACATTTTTGGGTAAAATACAAGCAGTTAGATACAGAGTTTCCTTATTATTTGCATTTTGTGATGGTATTTTCAATATGCAGTATCCGCAAGACTAGGTCCACCTGTATTACAGTCACTAGCTGGGTTTCTTTCAGACATTTTATTGGGAGGGGGGATACGGTGGACGCTGGAAAGTCGGGGACCTTGACAACGCTTCATCCGCCAAAGCATCAAGTGTACGGTTGATAAGTCAAAAATGTAAAAGTATTATTTTAAGCATGACCTACAATGACTATGCTTTATTTAAAGGTCATTGTTTAATGGCGTTAATTAGATAGCAAAAGTAGATGGGTTTTTTCCCCCACTTCTTTCATAGCCCGCGTAGGCTACTAATTTAAAAGGTTCAACTAATTTCATAAAAAATAATTTTAGATACCGGGGTAGCTGGGTTTTTTTCCTTAAAATCCGTGCAGCTGTCATTAAAGCTGGTGCTATATATTTTGTTTGCAAGGTAAAGAACTTTTGTTTACTTTAAGTTTAACTAGTCCGTGTGGACGACCCCACATAACGAGCCCTCCCCTCCCTTTTTAATCGTGTTTTTGGACGCATTGTGATTGTCCCATGATGTTTTTTATTTTCCTAAACTTTAGTTAGGCCTATAGCAGTAGCGAGGGGCGGGGGGGGGACATATGTCCCCGGGCGCCGAGCTTAGGGGCGCCAAAATGGGTTGGAAAAATAAATTGAAAGGTTGAGGGGGGGGGGTGCAAATTGAAAGTTTGAGGGGGGGGTGCAAATCGAAATCTCGAGGGGGGGGGTGCAAATCGAAAGTTTGAGGGGGGTGGGGTGCAAATCGAAATCTCGAGGGGGGTGCAAATCGAAAAGTTTGTCCCCGGGCGCCGGGAAGGGTCGCTACGCCTCTGGCCTATAGAAACGTATTAATAATATGCTGTATAGCCTACAGGCATATATATATATATATATATATATATATATATATATATATATATATATATGACTATATTCTATATAGATATATGATGGTATTTATGTACATATAAACGGCCTATAATATAGTTTTCTAATTAGACATGGGCTTACTTTTTTTGTAAAATTTCAAATATCCATATCGTGTTTATGTTGACATTGTTTACCAAGGTGTGTCCGACAGTTGTGTGACAGATTAGACGTATTAATGGTAATTTTGTGCTCTAAAAATGGCTCCTTGATGGATGACCGTGTACGCCTGGGTAGTAGATGTAAAATACTTTCCAACTTGAGCTCACATCCATGCTCAACGGACTACGGCATGTTTCTGTCTTCACCTTATTGGAAGTTCATATAGTTATCACCGGTACGTCGTGTTAATATTATAACGGGGAAAATTTATCCGGCGCTAGACTTGTGTTAATGATAGTGTGTACAATCTATTGAGAAACATTTTTATAACCCAATAACAATGGTGAGATTTCTTATCGTATACAGTTTTATTTTTTATCTGATGATTTTGACTACTGTAGCCATTCCATACGACATGTTGGCGAACCTTATGGAAATCTTAAATTCCTCAAGAAACGATAGATCACCTTCTGTAAACGGACAAGATGCTCAGATATCTCAGTATTCTGATACGCCTAGGCAATCACGTTTGACTGGAGAAATATTTCACCCCGGAGAAACTATGAGGTCCCCATCGTACCAACCCGGAGAAACTGTTAGGTCTCCACTTTACCCACCTGGATCGTCCATTACGACGTCAGTCCACGTGACTAAAACCGTCAACAACCAGCTGCACCGACCTATCTATGGAGGCTACCAGGTACCAGAGGTCGGCTGGGAGCAAACTGGGTCTCTGTGGGAAACACCCAGTGTTCGTGAGTGGAGTAACCCGCACGCTGGCTTCATCAGAGAATGGGTTCACCCCCTTCGATCAACAGCTGCCCGGGTTCGACAAAGTATCAACTCATTGGACGATCTGTACTCACGACAGTTGCTAATACACCCCGCCTACAGGCGTTCGGACGATTCGTTTAGCGAATACATTCGACAAGCGACCTACGATTGGTTAAGAACGTTAAAAAACGTCCATTTTAGAACTCCTGTCACGACAGACATTCCTCATACAACAACATCTCTTACCAGAATGTCTACAACGTTAAGGCAGACCACCACTATAATGATAGATCGGAATACAACAACAACAGCTTCAGTCAATACAACGGTAGCAGACGACACAGCATCAGAAACTGGCCCCGAGACGACGACAGCTGCTATCAACATGAGTTCTAGTAACAACACAGAGGAGAACACTACGTCATACATCAACTCTACACACAACACAACTCTTCCTCAAAATACAGCACAAACCACTGTACCAACAACACCAACTTCCACAAGGTCTTCTAATACCACCAGACCAACTTTAACATCAACTACACCAAATTCTACAACAAAACTAACTACAAAGGCGACTACACCAAAATCAACTACCACATTAACTACATCAATATCTACTACTAAACCATCAATTACATCTACAACAACCAGACCTACAACTGCGTCAAGTACAGCAACAACTACATCTTCATCATCAACAATACCTACAACAACATCAGCTGCATCTACATCAACAACAACGTCTACAACAACAACTACATCAACTATATCAACACGAACAACAAGGAGAACAACGAGAAGGACAACTACTCCCGCACTAAGAACCACTCAAGTCATTATCGATCCTTTTATTGACCAGGGTGTGGAAGGCAGTTTTCTTCCTGATCAGCCAAACTTAGGAACCCGCTGGGGGCAACATATTGAACATACAGCAGACAATATTATCTGATTGCTTCAATATCTCATGATAAAAACTAAAACAGGAAAAAGCTACCAAGTGATTGGTTTGACAAATGTTGATATTATAAAATATTAGATATATTTTCAATTAAATCTTTGATATTTCATTTACAAATCCACGTTTAAACTTCATTTAAAATGACGCGACTTTGCTGTGCTTTTTATCTTTTAATTTAAAATGTTCTATCAGAAGTAAAGCCTTTGAATTTATGTTTTACCCTGTTGAATAACGAGTAAAGGGAAGCATTTTAATCGTATGAACAACATAGTTTTAGTACCGTTTCTGTTAGGTGGACGAAATGTTAATATGTTATTCATAAGCCCTAGATGTAGGGTTCAGTCAGCTGTTGAAGTAGTAGGCCTACTTCACTATATTTCCGATTTCTCACATTTTGATAATTTCACATCACTTTCTCATAAATCAGCTTATTCTAAAAACTTTTCGTCTCTGTTTTCTGTAGTGGCTTTGCCATAAACGTTCCTAGCATTTCTATCGCATAGTCCGATTCTCATGTAAGTGACACCCCAATCCTCCTTGTTCATTGTTATTAAAGAGCATACATAAAACCAAGTAAGTTTACTAGAGCTTACTTTACTAGCGCGTTATTTATGGTATATTACTCATAAAAATATTAAAACAAAATCCATAACTACTGAATATACTACAATGTGGTCGGTAGCGCACGACTGCTTATGTTGCGACAAAACTGAACACTTTATCGCTAAGTTTCTATCTGCCAAATCTTAGAGCTTAATCTAGAGTTTGTTAAGAAAAATAAATATTTTAAACATTAAGCGTTTGATTCATGTTAGTTTTTATACATAAAAAAACAGATCCAGATTGCAGAGCAGTAAACAATAAATTTTGTGTATAAACCAAAAGTTTTCCTAGTATTATTTTCTGTAGTTGAACACGGCATAATATAATAAGGTGTAAAGCCACTGCAGGCTCACAATCTCTGTTTCCTTCATCACCCCCTGGGGTAGCCTATTTAGTTTATAAATATAGGTCTACGTACCGTAATTTAATTACCCCATGGGCTGGGGTTATAAAAAAAATAACATGAGCATTACATTTCAAATGGACACTTCTTGTATGCAGGTTTAATGGTGTGTGTGGTGTGTGGCATACACGTGTGTCGTCTTAAATGCAACATATGGACGCCCTCCCCCCCCCCAGTCCTAAAAAGGTAACCTTTTCAGACACACCCCTCTCAGCACCCTCCCACCCCCACACACTCTGTGTAAATAAAGTACCCTTTCGAACCTAACGTTTATCAGTTACGTTTTTGTTACGCTTAAGCTCACAATTATTTAAATTTGCTCAATGTGACAGATGTTTAGAGACTTTTTTCTCCTGTTCATTTTCACTTACTTCTGGCACATAGAGTGTCCAAAAGTGTTCACAAATATTGTAAATAAATATTACAGTACCTGTATTTTAAAGCATTTCTTTTTCATCGAGACACTGCTAATTTGCAAATTCTTTGAGTAAAAAAAGGATACCGTAATTTAAATACAACAGTTTGTTAACACTTACATTAATTTTACAAATAGAATAGATCAACGCACACCGTTGAGTTATACAGCCTAGTTTTTTTTCTTTTTAAAATATTATTGAACTTTAAAAATAGCGTATAAATCTACGAGGAATATAATAAACTGTTTTTAAACTATATTTATGCTTAACAGAACATCTTGGCCCAACCGCTACTGACGACATAAAATCATACCAATGTTTACATAATAAACACTCGTAGACACATTTTCCCAAGTGTTAGACAGCTTTCTAATGAAAAGACAATTTTTAAAGAGATAATTGCATCGCTATTCAGACTGAGACAGGTGTTGTTGTTTTCCACTTGTTGAATCCAATGTTGTAAAGTTGTTATTTCCCTTGGATTCTGCTGAAACAAACGTGTGTACTTTATGTTGGCTTATACCATTAATAATGTAAACTGATGTGACGGTAATGTATTTACGTGGAATTATGCGCTTTTTAAAGAAAAATGTGAAATTGTACTTACATTAAACATTAACAAAAACAGTCTTTTTTTTTAAATGCAGTATTAGTATATTGAGTAATTACACACCTTTTTAACAATGTGCTATGTATATGGAGGACGATATTGGTACACATTGTTGTTGACAAACCTTCCCCACATACATATATGTATACACAAACAAAGCACTCTTATTCCTACCCTATATACGCCAAAAGAATTCCACAAGCAATACAAACAACAGGTATGAGAATTATAGTTACATTTGTAAAAAATTAAAGTCCTTTGGGAACCATCTATTTCACTCATTTTATATTTTTGTATCGAATATAAGCAGTTGAAAAGCCGTTTAGAATTATTTTATCAATTCAAATATTTTCAAAAACTGCCCTCAACTTCTCCTTGAACTTGAAGAACCGGCAACACAAATTAGAACAATAATTTTCCGTGACAAAAATACACAATAGTGAGCTATGGTGTATAGATTGTAGGCCTATTTATATTAAACGAGCCGACCCGCGGCGTATCATACGCCGCTATTTAGTTGTTTTATTTTCTACTTTTCAGTAATTCATAATTTGTAAATTCGACAGTACCAATGCTGCCACTGAATATATTTGCTTTAAAACACTATCAGTAGCTCGTTAAGGACGGTAACCCCCCCCCCCCTCCTTCCCCCTACCCCTACCCCCCCCCCCCCCCCCACACCCGTGAAAGCAGCCTCCTCGTAGTTACCTCCCCTAAGTTTAAAATCGTTTCAAACTAAATTATCTGCCCCTAATAGTCGTCACTAAACCCGGCTCTACGATTGTAAATATTTAGCGTGAACCACAGCTCACCAGACCATGAAGGGGTGGGGGTGGTAGGGAGCACGCTTACAGCTTGGTATTTTCTAGGGTCTCCAAGAAGAGAATTATATATATAGTCATAGACTAGCCGTCCCGGCCAGGCCCTGCTCTGGCTTCTGTGAAAAACCTTTCTGTTAAAGACCATTACCTGTGTTTAGTAATCATCATAAACCCGGCCAAACCACAACCAACCAAAACCAAAACAACAAAACGCAAACATAACGCTAACACAATTACAAATACAAACGAAAACAAAAACCTAACAACAAACCCAACCACAACCACAAACACCAATACAAACACAAAGAAAAAACAAACAAAAAAGCAAACGAAAACACAAACCTAACAACAAACCCAACCACAACCACAAACACCAATACAAACACAAAGAAAAAACAAACAAAAAAGCAAACGAAAACAAAAACCTAACAACAAACCCAACCACAACCACAAACACCAATATGAACACAAAGAAAAAAACAAACGAAAAAGCAAACAAAAACAAACCAAATCTAAACGCAAAACCAACCACAAACACAAACTCAAAGAAAAAAACAAAAACGAAAAAAGCAAACGAAAACAAACCAAATCCAAACGCAAACCAACCACAAACACAAATACAAACACAAAGAAAAAACACAAGCGAAAACGAAAAAAGAAAGAACAAAAACGAACCAAATCAAAACGCAACCACTAACGCAACCCAAACTAAACACAAAGAAAACACTAACGCGAACATAAACGCAAAGTGCTCACAGTCTAGCCCGGGGCGGAATCGCATGTTTCAGCTTAATAAACGACTATAGTACCCCAACTTGTGCATTACACCAACACATTTTAAGATAGTTCTACGGGTTCGCTGTATAATAATTACAATGTATCTAATGCTAACTCTGCCATTGTTATCAACTATTTGATGTAAATATAGGTTATATAGATTGTATGTATGGTTATTAACCTGAGTTCGAGCCCCCGGTCAGATGACCCTTGTCGATTTCACTTATCTTATAGCATCTAATGATCCAAAAGGGTATTATAAACTTTAAAACCATCAATCAACAATACTCAAGATTAAATTATATCCTAAAGATCGTGCATGAAGGAAAAAAATATTCTTAACACGAATCGCTCGCTTATATGACTCGATAAGGCGAAATAGCTGAGTTTATCACTGGCGAAAAATCTCAGGACAAATCTTTCAGTTCAGGAGTAAATGTCTCAATTAAAAAAATGTATTAGAATGTATATCCGAGAACAAAACATTCAACTCCGGAATAGCATAGAGATGAGGGAATTAAAAGTAAAATGAGTAAAATATGAAGTACTTTGATGAGGTGTAGAAATTTTTTTTAGAGAACTCGTTTGAAAATTATGATGTTTATTACAAATTGAAGAAACAAATCATCACGTTTGTGAAATCTGAGCTTAATTATAGTATGTTTTATTTTAATTTGAATATAAACATTAAAAGCTCTTATTGAATTAGTGTATTGAACAGACAATTTAAAGAATACAAAGAAAAAAAGCTACTGAAGGATAAATTATTAACATATATACAAATTAAAACACAGTCAATGGTGCTCTTTAGTTTAGGTACAACAAAAACTGCCTGCTCCTCCGTTTCGGATTCGAATAAGGTATTCATCATCCTCCACTCACTCAAACAGCAACCACAACCACACATTGAACCAATAACCACAATCATACACGCTTCCAACCAGTAAACACCCCCTAAACCCATTCAAGCAGTAACCACAACCCTACACTTATTCAATCAGTAGCTACCATCATACACTCATTCAATCAGTAGCTACCAACATACACTCATTCAATCAGTAGCTACCATCATACACCCATTCAACTAGTAACCACCATCACAAACCCATTCAACTAGTTACCACCACCATGCACCCATTCAACTAGTAACCACCACCATGCACTCATTCAACTAGTAACAACCATCATACACTCTTTCAACCAGTAGCTACCATCATACACTCATTCAACCAGTAGCTACCCCCATACACTCAACCAGTAGCTACCACCCTATAGCCCATCATTCAACCAATGAATCTTACTGACTGACATCACCTCTTACTCTACCAAACACCACTTCCCACTCTACCAAAACACCACCCCCCACTCTACCAAACACCACTTCACACTCTACCACACACCACCTCTTACTCTACCAAACACCACCTCCCACTCTACCAAACACCACCTCCCACTACCAAAACACCACCTCCCACTACCAAAACACCACCCCCCACTCTACCAAACACCACCTCCCACTACCAAAACACCACCCCCCACTCTACCAAACACCACCTCACACTCTACCAAACACCACCTCACACTCTACCAAACACCACCTCACACTCTACCAAACACCACCTCCCACTACCAAAACACCACCTCCCACTACCAAAACACCACCCCCCACTCTACCAAACACCACCTCCCACTACCAAAACACCACCCCCACTCTACCAAAACACCACTTCACACTCTACCAAACACCACCTCACACTCTACCAAACACCACCTCACACTCTACCAAAACACCACCTCCCACTACCAAAACACCACCCCCCTCTCTACCAAACACCACCTCACACTCTACCAAACACCACCACCCACTCTACCAAACCACCTCCCACTCTACCAAACACCACCTCCCACTACCAAAACACCAGCTCACACTCTACCACACACCACCTCCTACTCTACCACACACCACCTCCCACTACCAAACACCACCTCACACTCTACCAAACACCACCACCCACTCTACCAAACCACCTCCCACTCTACCACACACCACCTCCCACTACCAAAACACCAGCTCACAATCTACCAAACACCACCTCCTACTCTACCACACACCACCTCACACTCTACCACACACCACCTCCCACTCTACCAAAACACAACCTCCTAATCTACCAAACACCACCTCCTACTCTACCACACACCACCTCACACTCTACCCAAACACCACCTTCTACTCTACCAAACACCACCTCCTACTCTACCACACACCACCTCACACTCTACCCAAACACCAGCTCCCACTCTACCACCTCCTACTCTACCATACACCACCTCACACCACCTCACACTCTACCACACACCACCTCACACTATACCACACACCACCTCACACTCTACCACACACCACCTCACACTCTACCACACACCACCTCACACTCTACCCAAACACCAGCTCCCACTCTACCACCTCCTACTCTACCATACACCACCACACACCACCTCACACTCTACCACACACCACCTCACACTATACCACACACCACCTCACACTCTACCACACACCACCTCACACTCTACCAAACACCACCTCACACTCTACCACACACCACCTCACACTCTACCACACACCACCTCACACTCTCCCAAACACTAGCAGTAGTAGCTTTGACAAAATGAGGCCAGAGTACAAAATATTTGGCATGGCTTTTTATCTAAAAGTTTAAACCAGGCCGACCTGTTTCAACGTAAAGGTCATGTTCACAATAAGGCATTAGCATATGGTAGAACAACTGTTCAGCTATCTAGTCTTTAGATAACGTGCTTGTGACATCTCGTGGTCCATTATGTGAGACAATTGGTTGTTAGAATTGGTTCAAAAGCGAGAGATGAAGTTGGTGAAAAGGGGGGGGGGGGGGAGAGGAGGGATGACGGTTTGGTGAGTGGGGGGGGGGGGGGTGAAGGTTTGTAGGGTGGGGGTTTGAAGGTTGGTAAAGTGGGGAGGGGGGGGTGAATGTTGGTAGAGTGTGGGAATGAAGGTTTGTTTTCTGTCCGCCCATTTTATAACATTTTATTAAACTTGCTTCCTCTGTCTATTTGCCTATCTATCTTTCTTTCGCCATGGATAGAAATTGCCTAGCGAAATTTCGATCACTTCTAACGACCGATTCGTTTCAAACTTAGAACGTGGGTTAATACATGATGACAATGCAATCTGACATCAAATCTGACTTAATTTATTTGAAAAACACTTTTTAATTTACAAACTTACATTTTCATGCAGAATTATTCACCTTGGTTACTGACATAACATAAAAAAAACATATAGGGCCTATACGTGTGAATAGTAAACCTGCATTTACACAACTCATAATTCACACAGGTAAAAGCTATTTACTCAAGTCCTACACTCTACTTGCACTGCTTAGGTAATCTCTGAATCACACGTGTAAATGTTATCATCTCTAGTTCTGATTCTACTAATCAAACACGGTTTAAATCCTTCTATGAATACTCATCAGTACCCATAACAATCTAGCTGGACACTCAAGCGGTAGGAAGATTTCCAGCCACTGGAATAAAACATTGGGCCACTGGTACCAGCATCGGGCCACACTGATAATGGCCACTGAAGAGCATATCTACACGGCAAGACGTTTGGCCACTGGTACAACATTGGCCACATGTATAAAAACATTGGTCACATATGTAAATATCTGGAACGAAGCACATATGTACAGGAACAAAACAACGCCTGGGCCAATAAGCCAGCCTTCGCACAGTACGCATTGTTTCTTCTCTATTCCATTTCCAGTGATGTTAGTAAAGCCGAATTTCAGATTTTCTTCTAAATATTTATGATTTTTTTTTATAGCTAGGGTTTAGTCTACCAGTTGGCGAACCCCCCCCCCCCCCCCCCCCCCCCTCCATAAAGCCCTTTGCGACCCACAGTTTGGGAACCCAATCTAATCTAGATCTAGATGGTTGCAGTCTGCTATCTCACTTGTGTCATTTTAGCATAGGTTCCCTCGCAAAGCGCATGCGCCGAACTTACAGCTCTAAGGTGATTTAATTACAACTACTTCCTGTTGACATTGGCAACAGCAGCTACACTAATACTAATTTAATATCATGGTTCTACAAGAAAAAGCATAAACAAGCAAGGAAGAATATTAAACGACATGGTTGCCATCACTCGTCCTAAGTATTTTACACCGAAAGAAGTTTCAGTACACAACACAACCGATGATTTGTGGGTGTCGTTTCTGGGTAATGTTTACAATTTGACACCGCTATGTGAGAAGTACAAAGGTAAATAGTAAATAAAATAAATATAAAAAGTTAATTCTAAATTCATTCATATCATATAATCAGTAATAAATCATTATAAATAATAGCCAAGGACTGTAGGCTGTAATGAAATGTAGTTAGTAATTTTAGGTTCAATTGTCAGTAAAGTGAGTGCTATTCAACTAAACACAGGTTCATTTTTATTTATTTTGGTCAATAGTCAATTATAACATTAAGAACAAACTAACCTATCACGCTTGCTAATATTAAAGAATTAAAGAAATTCAAGGACATTGTTATGAGTTGTTATGATATAATTCAATTGTTACCAATGATGTATTTTTATACGGCGATTACACTTACGACTTACGACATGTATATAACTATACATTTCTAGAACACAAAGCCCGCCAAAAGTTATTTTATCTAGAACAATTTTGTCCACAGAACATGTATACTTTAGCGTTTACACTTACAGAACATGTTATAGAACATTTTATTAGACAAGCATGACCTTTGACATGGAGCGTCTGCTCTATAGGCCTAGGCAATTAAAATAAAGAGTAATCAGAGTAAAAAAAACAACACGTAGATAGTAGGCATACAGCTTTATTTTTTTAAAAAGGAAAATGGTGTAGCCACTGTGCTTGTGATTCAACAATGAATTATTTAAACATTACAGAACATGCAAGATTTTATAAATTTTATTCGAGTGCCAGCAAATGGAGCTAGACAGTTTTTATAAATATATTGCTGTGTATAATAGCACGGGTCGTAGACATTACCCACATGTTATTACCCCTCCCTCCCATCCCGCAGTACAATCACCCCTTCCCACCCCAACCTCATGGTAGTCTTTTCCCCCAGCTTCTTTGCATGTCTATATCCTTCAGAAACAGCTTCGGATGAACAGGGCTGAATATTTGTTTGCTGAAAGGCTCGATTTCTTCGAAAACTTGCATCTGCCAAGTTCATTAAAAGTATTGAGATCGCGTTACAACTATACCGAGTCTATTATTAAGAAAAAAGTAGTTCTAGTTTTTAGAGTAGGGCCTATGTGACCCTCATCCCCCTCCCCCCTTCGTTTCTTTATGTTAATTATGTCCCATTCTAAACCTTAATAATTAGCCTATGACTTTTTTATCTGCCTGTTTTTATAGTCAGTTGATTATGTGTGATCTCACGAGCACGGTACATTCTGGTGGGCCTAAAGATTTATTCATGTCAGACGGAAACTGAAAAATATGTTGATACACTTAAAACAAAATATTGGTTAAGGAAAAATTGAAGATACATTTGGTAAAATTATATATTTTTTTTATTAATTATTATTTTCGTTATTAATACCTAAACTGGTTTTTCGACGCATGTGCACTCAACTGAAAATTCGGAACATGTACTATGTTTTCGCTCAGCAAGCGAAGACAAAAACTTGACCCAGAACATAAAAAGGGGCATGGTTTTGTGCCCTGCGACTCAGAAGATGTTCCATATACTCGTAACATGTTTAGTATACACTTTAGTAGGTCAAGTATAGTATACATGTTGTAAGTGTAAACTATTTTTTTGTGTGGCTGATATTCCTTCAGGGCACAGCATGATATTCATGAAAATTAAACAGCGGTCAAAATAAAAATTTAAACCGCCACCAAACAACATGTGGATGACCACATTCTCAAGCGTTGATGAAGACAAAGTGGCTATACCTATGATGGAATGACTGAAGTGTCAGAAAGTGCAAAATGACGCTGGCGGCTTATATTATAGAAAGTTCTACACACCAGAGTAGAGTGATGAAATATTTTATAAGGGTTTAGTCAGCACATCATCAAATGGCACATCTGTATTTTTAGATGTGTGTCTGGATTCTAAAACTGAGTTATTTAAATGTAAACAGCCTGTGCTATGACTATAATGGATCTAGGTGCTATGGCTTTAATGGATCTTATATATGGGGGCACAGGTCCTGCTCAGACTGCCCTGGGCATGCTGTATCAACACCTTGGGTGTACATAGTAATAGTGAGGTAGAACACAGCTTGGTGACTGCCCAGGTGTCAGGGGCATTGTGGGGTGCTCTTGGGAGCCACCAGCTACACTACCTCAGAGGCACCAACATCTTACCCTGGTTCGGTTTAGTCATCAAATGTAGTGATCCACTGTGTCCCTGGCATAGGGTACCTATTAAAAATGAATGTAGGCACCATAGTGCTCACAGTGGAACCTGGGATGCTCTAGGTCAGGGGTCTCCAAACTACGGCCCGCGGGCCGGATGCGGCCCGCAATGTCCTGTCATCCGGCCCGCGGAGATCTTTTTGTCCACAGAAAAACCGTTTGTTGGTGATGGCTGAGGAACTTTGCCCAGAAAATCGAAGACATGCCTAGAAGAAACTGGCCCCCGAAATGAAATTTGATAGTCAATGCGGCCCTCGGACTGAAAAGTTTGGAGACCCCTGCTCTAGGTCACCAAATTGTTGTGGCACCAGCAGATGTGTCTGGTTCAAATTAGTTATCAGTTACAATAGCCCCCATATATATATATCTATAATATAAGCGGGCTGAGTGTGTGTCAGTCCTTGGGCTGAGTGTGTGTCAGTCCTTCCTTCCTTCTGTCATCGCTATGGCTTTTGGAACCATAAAAGTAAACATCGCACCATACTGTGCTTTTCAGTGCACCGCTGTGTCTTATTATAATTAATAGAGTAGGGTTTGTTTATATAACGACATAGAGCTATTTTATAATTACCACTGTGTTTACTCTTTTGCATAACTTAAAGAAAATATTAAATACACGCACATTGCTAAAACATATAAAAAGGATCAATGTCAAATATCATTTTCGTTTATAATCCTAGAAAAAGTGGATACATTTTAATAACATAATAACAGTACGGTAGAAAAATCAAATTAATTTAACTCTTTTCTAATTTTGACAAAGGAGGTAATTTAAAAATACATTAAACTCACGCTAATAAAAAATGTGAATGCAAATATACGTTAGTCATAGAAGGAATTAGTGTTGCAATAATATAATTAGCAAAATGTGAATGCAAATTATTCGGATGTGTAAGAGGAAATTATTGTTAGAAAATTATAATTAGCATGGATTGATAAAAGGCAATCTTTTATTTATTTTATTCACTGAAGGTAGGCCATACTGTTTATTACTTATAATTTTTAATCAACTATTCAGCACTATTATAGACGCGTCATCACGTTCATTAGGTGCGCAATCGTTTTAGTCATGAAACTCTATTGTAAATTTTTAAAATTTAAAGTACTGGAAAAAAATGCGTGAATGGATAAAGTGAAATATTGTATATATTATAGATACTGCCTATTATTTATACTCTTTTCTAATTATTATTCTATCTTTCGGGTTTTATAGGAGAGGCGTAGCGAGGGGGGGGGCATATGTCCCCGGGTGCCGACCTTAGGGGGCGCCAAAGTGGGTTGGAAAAAAATGCGAGGGGGGGGTGGTGGAAATCGAAAGTTTTAGGGCGGGGGGGGGGGGGGAAGGGGTGCAAATCGAAAGTTTGAGGGGGGTGCAAATCACCGGAAAGGGCGCGATTTGGCGCTACGGGCTAGACTGAGCAATATGCCTTTATGATTGCATTTAAATTGTGTTTATGTTATGAGTGTTGTGTTTGTTTTTACGTTTTTTTTTTTGTTTTTTTTTTGCGTTCGTTTGCGTTGTGTTTAGTTTTGTTCTGTTCCCAAGTTGGTACATTTAAAAAAGATTTACCGTGGCGGAGCACGGGATGCAGCTAGTATATATATATATATATATATATACTTATATATGAAATTTCATCAACCTAGCTGTAACGGTACTCAAGTTATCGTGTTTGCACACAGACACACACAGACATACGGACAAGATTGCAAAATTATGTTTTTACGTATCAGTGAGGTGTAAAACGTCGAGATTTGTAAAAATCTCACTTTTTTTTTTTGCACGATTACAAGACTTTCTCTATACTTCGTATATACGAGAAAGTAAAAAGAAGAAACATTTGTTTAAAGTCTTTTGTGTTTTACATTTTCAGGAGATGTTTTGCTAAAACCTATTATACAGTCAGCTGGAAAAGACATTACTCACTGGTTTGATAGCAAAACAAAAGATGTATGTAGTATTATATGTACAAAATTTGCTTTTTTTATTATTAATAACCACAATGGCTTGTTTTTGGTTCATAACTTCTGTCTGGTTGAGTCGGTAAAGCTCATGGTTGCTAAACTGAAAAGTCTTGAGTTCAAACCCTCGTTAGCTGGGGACAGCCACTCTTCTAGAAGTGACAACTCCTCCAAAATAAAAAACTGCTGCCTTGTAGTTTTTTTTTTGGTTGGACAAAGGCTATGGAAGCAAATCCAAAAAGAAAAGCATACTGAAATCTGAGTCAATGACCTTAATGGCATATAACCAGTTGACACATATACTTAACTGTACTGGATCCCTTTCACCACTAAAATTAAGAATGAAGAAGAAGAAGACCCACATTGAAATCAGTGATTTGATTTTCAAAGACAATGAAATAATATTTTTTCTCTAATTAGATACTAAATTAATTATTATTTAAAAAAGGGGAGATAACGGGATTAAGTAGGATTAGCAAACAATCAATAGAGTGAGCTGCTGTTAATGTATGTTTTCATTTCAGAGAAATGTTTAAAGAAAAACTTGAAATATCATAAATTGTTTTAGGGAATTGCCGGGGTCAATATCCCACTCCCACTTTTTTGGGCTTGTAAAAATGTGCTTTTTAAATATAGATGTAAATATTCTGATGTAAAATTCAACATGTTGACGTCCACAATGACCCAACCCCCCCCCCCCCCCCCCCCCCCCATGTGGATACCATAAATGGATGACCCCTAAGCCTAAACCACAAACAAGCACAAAAATTTGATATTTTTTTTTATGTACACATTTTCAGATAAATTATAATTTTTGTGAAGAAAAATTTTGTTTTTTGCACGTTAATTAATACATTAAGTTGCAAAACGAACATGGCACCAAATCGTGAAGGATTAAGGTAGCTGGTGTATTCCCTCTGTAGTACAATAACAAAAACTGCCCTAACCATATTTATTTAAAGTTATATTCAAAGAACCTAAAATACATAAGCTAAACTAACACCATAAACAGAAATGAGTAAACAATGTAGTTTTAGTAGGCAGTTAAATTATTTTCTTCTTCTTCTTCGTTTTTAATTTTTAGTGTTGGAAGGGAGAGAGCCATATCTGCCAGAGGGTTTGAACTCGAGACTTTTAAATTTTTTTGAATGTATAGACTACGATACATGATTTTCAATTTAGAAACTTATCAAGTTTTAATTATTTAGTTTTTCTTTATCCAGATTTTAGTTTCAGAGGGATAAAAACTAAAATAGTAAATGCAAACTATCTTTAAAGACAGCTTTATGGTTACAGCATATACAAAATACAATGGCATCAAATGAGGTCGCCATTACAAATATTTGAAAAATGAAAACTAATTGAAATTTCACTGAAGTTGGCCAGAAAGTGCGTGCAAAAACTCCTGGTGTTATAATGCACTTGAGTGGCAAAAACGAACCTGATCCATTCAGATGTTTGAATTTTGATTTTTATGTATATAGATATACTGATCTAGATTGATTCATTCTGTGGATATATTTTTGTATCCTTAAGAGTTTAATTGAACCAATACTGTATTGATGACCCAAATTTTACTGCTAACCACACATTATTTATATAAAAAAATTAGCTGATCTGCAGTTTATTCCAGTACCTTTTTATTATTTGCTTCAACTAAACAACACTTAATATAGACACAATTTTTTAAATTAAAAAGCTGATAATCTTTTATTTTCTCAGTTCTTGTAATACATTAGCTTTTATGCCTTAACCTGATATTTTTAAACCATCTTTTTTTCATCAATCTAGTGATACCTCATTAAGTTGTAGACTTATTGTATGTTTATGCTGTTCTATTTTGCAGATCCGAACACACGTTGATCCACAAACAAACTGTATTATTCCCTACTGTCCGAATGGAAGGTTTGTACACATACCACCAACATGTCCAGACTCAAACTGGGCCAATGACTTTGGTCGTCCATGGTGGAAAGATGATGCTTACCTAGTTGGAATCCTGTCACAGAAAACACGTCTTATAAAAATTACCAACACATTAACTTCCAAGTCCCAAGTTATTGAGGTAGAAATCTTGATTAAACATTTTTCAGTTTTTGTCATGTTGCTCATAATTGTGCTGTAAGTGATCCCCATTTCCACTTGATATAATCAAAGCCCTGTTACTTTTTTAAGTGCTGCAGCATCATTAGTGGATAATCCCAGGTCTTTAGGGTCAGTCTAGAAATTTATATATTTTGAAACACTGAATCATTGGACAGTAAAACTAGTTGACCATTTATAAATTGAATGAAACATTATGGGAAGCATAGATAATAATTAATAAGTTGAACTAAACAGTGTGGATATCAAATGGAGAAACAAAATTGTTAAATTTTCTTCTGACCTGTATACAAAAACAATGAAAGCTGATGGAACATACTTTTAAAAATAGCCTAAACTGCAGGATTAGTAATGTGAAAGCTGTGTCTGGGCTAAATAGTACATTTAATTTTATTTTATTTTTGCAAAGTTTAAAAAGCATTTTAAAATTTCATTAAGGTGTGCTCTGAAGAAGTGATGACAGAAATTCAAGAGCGTTACATGAAGTTTAATGCACATGCTGGGAGTTACACTTGGAAATATGAAGGAAAAAATCTGGATATGAGCAAAACACTTACAGAGAATGGAATTGATGATGAAGATGAAGAATTTTATGAATTAAGTATGAACGATGATACATACCTTCAAGCCATTCAGTTATACTTCAATGATGATCTAACAGAAGCATAGTAGATCTATTTTTTGATGTAGGTTATGATGGGTGTACAGTTTAGAATTTTTAATGTACAGCTGATTAAGGTTATAAGCAAGTTATTTATAATGCTCACCAAGGGCTTATTTATTCTCTGCCAAAATGTGGAAAGTTATTAAATTGACATAAAACATTATTATAACAGCTAAAAACAAAAAAAATTAATGATACATATATAAATGAATATTGTTTATTGGATAATATAGTTTGAGTTTGCATTTTTTCTCAAAAAGTGCTTTTTAAAAAAAGTATTTAGTTTTTTAAGTAATAAAAAACTGTGTACATGTTTTAAGATAATTAAGCATTAAAACTTTGCCAAAATTTTAACTTGATTATGTGTAATTGAAATTTGTGATACAAATTAGTGTATTTTAAATTTGGGTTCTAAAAAAGGGCAATTGGATTTTTTTTTAATGGTTTATCATTGAATTAATTAGTTTCTTACTGACTTTGGTAAATTATACATGTGTGCTGTTTTAAAATACTATAAAAAAGGAAAATTTAAAATGACTTTAATTTTAACTAATATTAGATTCAGCTGGTAGTAGGGGTAAGTGACCACATGTATTTCTCAGGTCCACTCAGTGTTAATATTTGCTTCTGGTTTATATTTAAATTATGGACAGCATATGGACTTCACTCAAAGTTTTACCTTCCCAATTGAGCAATTCACTATTGACTAGATCAACTAATGCAAATGAAATTCCCAACAAACAGAATGTACATCTAAAATCACTATACAAGTAACACAAAATGCACAGCTCAGGGAAAATAATTTATTTTTTTGCCAAATCCAAAAGTGCATACAATTTTCTATCACACAAAACTGTTTTAAGTTTACTGTTAAAACATTTTTACTATAATTTACTAGTATTTGACATACATATAATAGTCACTCATTTTAAATCAAAATGCCAATTTTTGCAATTTGAAACTTATTGTATGAGCATGAAAAGGGCACACATTCTTGAAAGTTGCTCACGTTTTTGTTTCATAAGGTTTTAAAAAATTATTCCTAAAGAATTCACATGTATTTTTCCTCACATCTAACAACACCAAGAAATATTTTCCATTCATTTGATTTTAGTTTAAAAAATGAGGTTTAGACATACTTGTTTATGTTAGAGCAAGAACAATAAGTGGCTCTCAAAGTTATAATACACTTGGCAAACAAAATTTACATCCTCAGATTGACTGGGCTTTACAAAACCATTATAGAAGAATTATTGTATAGAAGAAATAATTAAAATGAAGAAGTTTTCCTATTGACTCAGACAATAAAATATTTTCATGCCTTAAATTTTAATGAATGACACTTTTAGAATATGTAAAATATCTCTAATACAAGATGACTCTTTAAAATGCACATAAAAAAAAAAAAGAAATGTATTTATGAAATTTTTAAAGACAAATTATATTCTTTAAAACTCAGAGAAAACATTTGTTGATATCAAACAGGAAAGAAACATAATAATACCATTTTAAGTTTCAGTTTGTTTCCTATTGTTTAATTTAAAAAACTAAATTTATTTACTAATTTTAAAACTATTTCTCTTTATTTAAGGATTGAATAAATTCTTCTAGTTTGTCTTGGATCTGTCTCACTTTTTCTGTAAAAGAGCATGTATTAGAGGTGAACAACTACTGCTATACTGCTAGAAGAAACTGTGAAACTATGAAATGGGGATGGAATTTCACTAACATGTCATGACTATTAAAAATAGTTTGAGTTTTGTTGTTGATCTGTGAAATATTCTACACACTAAGGTTAGGCAAAACAAAATGAGGCTCTGTATTGGACCAACAAAATGTCTTTATGTTGCCTGTGAGGCATTAATATAAACATTTCAATGTTGCTAAGAACATTACTTTTGATCTAAAAAAAATGTTTGGCACTTACTGAGTTCCTCTGCTAACAGTACTCTTCTTCCTGTGAGCAAGTGCTGCAAAAGGTCCTTATCATCTCCAATTTCATCTAGGACATCTTTGATAATTCTTTCCAGACGTCTAGCTGTAACAAATGGTGATTTCCCTTAATATTTTTAACTAAATTCATTACATGAAATAAAGAACTCTTAAGCTAATATGTAGGCCTGTAACATTAGAATCTGTTTCAATAAAACATAAAAAGTAACTAACCCTCATTATTAACAACTTGTTGACGTAAAGCATTGCTTGTCACTTGCAACATCCTCTGTAGTCTCCAGAACAAAACAACTGCATTGCAATTAAGCTGTTGCAAATGCAAAGAAAAACTAAATTACTGTGTCTTTCCTTTAAATCCTACAAATTCTATACAAAGATAGCAGCACAATATATAATAGTGTAAAAAGGGAGTTTTCTGATAACATACCTCTTGATCTTGAAAACCTTTCTGATAATGAAAAAAGCACTTCTTACAGTCAACAGCTTGCTGAACAGCTCTCTTATAGAAATGTTTGCGATAAACATAATACCACGTTTCTCTAATCTGCGTTGGTGAAAAATACAGTAAAAGTTGAAGTAAAAATAAGTTCTTTTATATTTGATTTGAATGCTAAAAATCAATCAGCACCAAAATAATTTAAAGTTTCATAAAATTTCCTACCATTTCACCATCAACCTCGCAGTTTTGGTTAAATAAATTTCTTCTCACTGTCGTCAATTCATCAGCTGCTAAGTGTGCTTTGTGTTCCTTAATTGATACAAAAAATACATCTTTCTAAGCTAAATTTTAATATAGTATAAAAAACATTATTTACACTCAATGATTGAGATAGAAAACAGCAATGCCACTGATTAAGCTAATGAATTTATCATTATAAAATATAAAACCTAAAGTCTTACAGGTTCTACAGCCAACATTTTCTCTAATTCTCCTTTGACTGCCAGAAACTTAATGTGATCTTCAGTTCGCCTAGACCATTTGACCCACTGTTTTAATAGCCCTGGACCAGTCATATACTCTAGCTCCTTTTCAGCTGAAATATTTGAGTTGAGTGATATTAGTATAAAACAAAATTAAAATATGAAATAAAAAGTAATATGAAAAGTGGGACCTACTAATATTGAGCTTTTCTCTCATTGTTTCTTCCATAAACTTGGCAGCTTTATCCCACTGCTCCTTGTCATGAACTGATCGATCTTCCAGAGTATTTAACTGGATGACACGCTGAAAAATACAAATGTGTAATAAGCAAGTTTTCAACAACCTTCAAAATAGTTTTTGATGACCTGAATTAAACCTATACTAGTAAAACTGACCAGACTATCTTCAGCTTTGCCTTCCCAGTTGTGCTTAGTTTTAGTCATCTGAACAACAGCAGCTTTAAGAGGGTCAAACACTTCATCATAATCTTTATTCTTTTTACTCTGCTCTAACAGGTTGGTAAACTGCTCATGTAGAGTGTCCCAACCAATCTATCAAGTTACATATATGAAAATAAATTAGATGAAAAACTAAATGCTAAAACTGAGGACTTCAAACAACTTTGAATGAAGTTAAAATATATTAGCACTGCATAAAATGTCATACTTTAGGTTTTAATGAATTGAATGTCATTATGACATTTTATCAAATTGGGAGGGAACAAATATTTAACAAGAGAAATATAAGATTGACTACTATACTAAACAACAATAAGTCACAATGCAAAATTATCCAGACCTGATACATTTCCTCTTAATATTTAACACTTTTGTAACAGTTTCAAGAAAAATGCATAAACAAAAACTGCACGATCAGAAAAATATGCGAATATTAACTAATTAATACTAAGACGCTTTAACTCTGTCATCATTCATGGAAAATGTATTTTTTATTATGCTACAATGTGGTCATTCTTTACTAATGTCCATGAATACTTCATTAGAAAATAAAAATTCCTTGCGCACAGTTTAATGCACAGTTTTCTGGTTACCTTTGGAAACTTACTTAGACAGTATTGTAAGTTGTTTGATCAAATGATTGCCACTAAGTTTTCATTAACAATACAAACCTCAACACATTTTTTAGGCAACTGTACATCTGCCCACTGCCTTAACTTTATGTCCACAGCAGTATTAAATGTTCTGATAAAGAAAGTTAATTATTTTTTAGTTTAACATTTCTTGCACCATTGTATTTAAATCAGAGTAAAAACTTGAATAGATAAATACTTTTAAGTAACACAATTATCACTGCTTATATCAATAGTATCATTTCTTTTATTTTATTATGGATCAGAGCAAAATGAAGTGAATTATGGTGGGTGTCAATGTTTTTAGAAATGTTGCTCTAAGTTTATGTAGCTGGCCAATTAAAAATTGTATAATGTCAACAAAACAAAAGATGAGTAAATAACAGCTGACCAGAGCATACATACATGAAAATTGTCTAGATAATTGGTAGTTATACGAGTAATGACATAGGGATTATCTTCTTATATCTAAACAAAACTAAAGGTGGGTAACAAAACCAATTATAAGTTGAAATACTTTTTAGTGTCAGTTTCAAACAGTGCTATATTAATGATCAAATATTAATATTTTTTTAGTCAATGCAATAAAAGCTAAATAGATATTATGACAAACAAAAATGTACAAAACCCTGTGTCCTTAGATTGTGCAGCAGGAAGAAAAACATTTTCGATGATAAATGATCCTGCTTTATCCCATAATTTCTTATAAAAAGCTTCTTCCCTAAAAAGCACAAAACAAATCGGATTACTTCATTCTAAATTTTGAATAACAGAAATGAATCTTATAGGTGGTTGTTACACAAGTTGATGTAATTAAATTTAAATTATAACAGTATGACTCAATATAATATATATTTTAAGCATTTGATCAAGTTAACAGTAAATTTTTAAAAAGATGAACAAAAAGCTTGCCATTCTTTTGGAGTGACTTGACTTAGATTTATTATTTCATCTAAAATTTCCCCTTTACACTTCTCAAAAAGTTCATCCTGAAAAAGTATTTTTTAAAAAGACTTTAAAAACCTGTAAATCGCAGGTAATTTTCGAATTAATAATTGAATGAAAGAAACAATTAAAATATATCAACCTCCATAAAAAATACTAATGAGAAAAAGGCATTTAATTTTTACTTACTCTATCAAGTTCTCTGATTCTAGGATATGTGTTTTTCCACTCTGTTTCTAAATTAAATCTGGTGGCTTGAATAAACCATTGAAAGTTAAAACTGATTTCAAAGATAAGAGATTACTGTTTTCATCATTATACAAAATTTATGGGATGAAGTGAAAAATGTTGAATTGCTGTTTAACTGAGCCAGAAGGGAAAAGAAATGGCAAAAGTTTGGGTGATATTGAGTGATGGGTTTAGGATTAGGAGTAGTGTGATACCTAGAGTAAGGTTAAGATAATATGAAATGTCCATTTTTGTCTCCATAAGTAGGTAAAAGAGCAATGCAACATTAGACTACAATGCAGATTATGAACTTTTAAAAAGGCTGCACATTTTACACAATTAATTATTTAATGAGCTCTAACCTTTAAAAGCATCAGCTTGTTGTTCCACTGTTTCTTTAACCATTTTCCAAAATGTTTCGGCAACAGCCATGCTCAAATTTTGAGTGGTCATTTGAGTTGGTTTTAGAACTCCATCTCTGTTCCGAACATTAAAATTTTACTTGGCAGTAATATCAATTTTTAACACAAATGACATTTAATTAACCAATTAACTTACTTAAAAAGTTTAGAGTTCCTGAAAAACTGTTCTTCATACTGTTTGATGGCACCAATGCTATCATTGTTGTTTCCTGAAATTCCAGAGACAAATGGACAATAAGTGTTGATTGAAATTAGAGTTAAAAGCAATAGAAACAATAGTACAACCCAAAGTACCCAAGATTTGAACTAGCCAACAAATACGCTAGAAATATTATTAGGAAATAATGCTAAGACTAATGTACAACTAGCCAATCTAGATTCCTTACAAATAAGGAAGAATAACTTATTAATGCTTGTGGTGTTTTATGTTTTATGGTCTATCCACACCAATCCAACAATAAATTGTCTTGATATTTTGTAATGACATACTAACACTTTGAAGGCAGTTTCACTGATTTAATTATTCTGTACGCTTGCTGTTCGAATTAAAGTCTTGTAGGGCTAGCCCAATATTGATTTAAAATTCAACTGCTTATATAACTTTGAAACAGTAATTTGAAAAAATTATACGACAGTACCTTTTCCTGTAACAACAGCAAAGTATCCAAGAGCTTTCATTGGAAATAAACGACCATCAAGAATGCTTTTTATCTTCATTTCAGGAATAAACAAGGTAATACATCAGTATTAAACTTTAAAAATTAAGCTAATTAAAATTATTCATAAAGGAATACCACAATAATGTTTGAATGTAATTTAAAAATTAAATTAAGAACCCACCCTTTCTGGATCATAAAGAGAAGTTTCAGCTAGATCAACTTTGGTTAACACAAATATTGTACGCTTGCCAGTTGGGTCCATAGAGCTAACTAAGTCTGTCACATTACTGCGTTCTGCATCCAATGAACCATCTTCAATGTATACAAAATGTTTGAGATTTTATTACAACTTTTCCTCTTTTCTCTTTTAATATATAAAACTGACAATTAAATAACTGCTATTGATGTAAGTAATCAGTGATTTATTTTTCACTATCAAGATTTTGAAACAAACCTTGTATGCACAGAATGATAGAGTTAGGGTTTTCCATGTATTGCCTGCACATAACCTTTATAGAATCTCTTGTATCAGGAGACATCTCAGTGGTTACAGTCTGTGAATAAATAAAGTCATATATGAGACTGCTGTTGACTAGTTTACTTTTAATTGAGGATAAACAAATATGGCTAGAGAAACTTACTGAGATAATGCCAGGTAAATCAACTAACACCATTCTTTGCAGCCCAGGACCTTTGACAGTCATTGAAATACACTGTGGGACATACAATTTGAGTCTATATTATTTATAACACACAACTTCAGGGGGGGGGACCAAAAAATAAAATTGACTTTTGTGGACGGTGGACTGGGGGGGGGGGGGGGGGAGAAAGGAGGGGTTTCAATGTGGACATCCACATGAGGAATTAAACCACACGATTCATACATTTGATAATTTTAAAAGTAAATTTTAAAAATGGATATAAAATGTAGTTGATACATTAAATCGGCAGTTTTCGTGGTAAATGTATCACCTAACAACAAAAGCGATTTTTTTTACAAGCGGGAGGGTATGAGGCAGTGACGGCAGCAATTTTCAAAAACAATACATTTTAAACATTTCAATCAATTGTAACTAAATTATAGTAGGCCTACATTATTATTTTGTGACAAAGCCTAAGATGGTGAAGATCTAGTCCTTTTTTTCAAGTAAAAAAACTCAAAATAACCACGTTACAATTATATACTTAAAGGACAGCGTGTGTAAATGTGCTCGTCAGGTTGTAGGGCTAACGATCAGTTTTTTTTTAATCTGTATATTCATTTCATTGAAATGACTATGATCACTCATTATTTAAAAATTGGCCTACCTTACTGCTAACTGTTTGTCCTGACTGAACACTAGCTTTCATTCTTAACTCCACCTCTTTTCTCAAAGCAGATAACTGAGATGGTAAAGGTTAAAGGATTTGTAATGAAAATCAGCCAAACCAGATAGTTATTTAAAAAATTAGTTTGTAATATGCCTATTTATACCCACATCTGACTCTTTGGTAAGGTCAAATTCCCTAGCGCTGTCTCTAAATTGGGCAACATGATAGGGTCCTTCAGATAGCGTCACTTTAACTGGAGATCGTGTCATCATTTGTCCAGAGCCCCTGAGAGTTTTAAGTATTCAAAACATGAACAACTTCATACAATTACCAATATAAAATAAAGGCAGATTTCTTTTAAATATAGAAACCTAAATAATAAAAATCTTAATAAATAATGATATCAAATAAGAACATTTGATAAAAATTTAGTAAAAGAAGAGTAATTACAGAAGAAATATATTTTTTTCAGATTAGTCTAAATTTCTGATTACAGTGATATAGTTCAAAATAAAACAAACAACCCATCAAGAATGGTGTTTAATTAATGATGTAGACAGCAATGAGTGAAAATCTAGTAGACTTTGAATCTTTCTATGAAGCAAGGTTCAACAGCTTGTCTACTTCTAACCTAATGTAAATTCTAGTTGGTTACATTTCTAGCTCTCCTACAACATTTGTTACCATCTCTAATGACTGTTCTCTATAGTTTCTTAATTTAGACATTTTTAAAACATTACCGTGGGAAAATTCTGGCTTGGGCAATCATTTCCAAAACACTAGTTTTTCCGGAGCTTTGATCGCCAACTACAACAACCTATATTGTCAATTAGAAATGAATGAGAATAAAGGCCTTAAATACTACAAGAATATTGAATTAATAAGTCTTAGTAAACACAAACTCTATCCCTAAATTTGTTTGGTTATAAAACAGAACATTTGTTTATGATATGGGGACAAAATAGAACAGAAAACTACTAATAAAATAGTGCATACCCTCGGCAAATTATCCTGTGTGTTGTAGCTAGAATCAAACTGGTTTAACTCATCCAAAACCTCTGAATACATATCTATTAAAGATTTCTGTTGGCATATTAAAAATATAATTAGTAACTTCTAAATTAATCAGCAGCTGAAAAATATAGTTTTTTTTTCACTTAAAAAATGAAAATGATTTTTTATATAATTTTTACAAAAGCAAATAGTATATACCTTCATTGCTCTTGGTTTTGCACCTGACTTTTGCTCTTTTAAAAGTAGTTGTTTTCTCAATTCTCTGTTATCTTTCTCCAGCCGTTCTATTTCTTTTTGATACCTAAGCTGAATAAACAAATTAAAAAAATGTCACCAAAAAATGTGGAAAATAATTTTAAAAAAAAGAGGCAATCATGACAGCACACTGACTTACCATGATACCACTATATCCTTTCTATAATTTTATTTAGTTCTTCAAATTAAAAAAAAATATGATTGTAATCTTGCTTAAAACAATGTTGCACTCAGAATGTGTTCATTATATTTGTTTTTTCCCTAATGATAATTTATTTGTTACAACCTAAGTGCAGTTGTATTATACACAAAACTAAGAGAAACTATACAACCAAGACCTAAAATTTTTCATAAAAATAAAGTTCAAGTGTTATAAAATCTACCTGAATGTCCATGACTTCCTCCTGTATTTTTTGTCTTGTCACCTGAAACATAAACAGTAAAACAAAATGTGTTTTGTTAGTTCATGTTTACAAGAATATCATTTACAAATGTAATAACCCAAAATCATTACACTGTATAACCATTAAAGATTTGCAGATGCTATGAGGAAAAATTGGATGGAGTAGCATTGACTGAGTCAAATTTATTAAAGAATAGATTCATTGATTATAAGATACCAATGCTATTTGTAATAAATGTAACAAAAATAGATAACTGCAAAAAAAAATTATTTTAAATTGGAACATCAAAAAATGAAAAAAAAAAACAGTAACAAATAATTACATACTTAAACCTAGTTGTATTAGCTAGTTTTGTAAGCATGTTGATAACATTATGAAGTTTTTAAACATCGATATCACCTACACATGTAGTATTTTCTTGCTGAGTTAAAACACACATAAGTTTAAAATTTGGATTGTTGCATAAGAATGTTTTATTTCAGCTGTGTTGGTAGACATGATGCTTTTTAAACAAAAATAATTTGCATGTTGAGAAAATGTAATGCTTAGCAATTAATCTATAATTACCAGTAAGTTAGAGTACACTATGATTAAGTTCAAAATATATAGCCTACTTGATATTTATCAGATAAAAGGTATATTTAAAATATACATTTTAAATATACCTTTTATCTATAAATATAGATAAAAGGTATAATTAAATGTATAAAATATAAATACAGAAACTTTTTTGAAAATTTTCAAGTTTTAACTATAAAAAGAAGTGGTAAAACAACTTCAAAAATGTTAAAAGGCACACATTTAAACTCGTGTTAACTGTGAGTTACCCTTGGATCTTCTTCATAGCAATAATTTTCCTCACACTCCTCATTGTATGGATCCATATTGTCAAATGAAGGGCTGGGTGTTTTCTTTAACTTGCCCAGTTTATTTGTTTCCATATTTTTTTCAGAATATTTAGGAAAATCCCCATACACATCCTATTATTCAACATATTCAAACAAATGAAAAGTTTCTCAAAACAAGTGCCAGTCAATTTAGTACCAACAACTCTTTCTTTGTAATACTATAATAATAATAATCTTGTTTTTAATAAATATAGTTCACTAAAAGTTTAAGACATCATTTTTCTTGCAATTTATTGTTATATTAACTACAAACAAATAACTTAATACCTTAAGTGGTTCTGTATAAATAGATTCAATATTATCCTGTAGATCAATTGTTAAATGAATCATGCCAATTTAAAGATTTTAAAAATTAATTGTAAACACACAAAAAGTATGGAAATAAATATTTCATTTAAAAAAAATTAACTGGCTACAGGCAATATATAATATACTTTCAGCTTGTTAAAATGGAAACTAAGTAAGATTGCACAGTGCAAAACAAAAATGATAACAAGAAAGTCAATTATCTAAGCTAATAAGCCATTTTAAGGCTTGATATAAATAAGCCATATGCATTTTTTTCTAAGCAATACCAAACACTTAGATAACAGTGTTGGGGTATATACCAGGGGTCGGCAACCTGCGGCTCGCAAGCCGCATGTGCCTCTTTTGATGTCAAGATGCAGCTCTTCAGCTCCATGCCCACATATTAATAATTATTTTATTTTTATAACTCATAAAAATATTAGCCTTCAACACTCGATAAAGAACGATATGATAATAAATATAAACAATAAACAATAAACACTCACTATTCTATTAGAATATTTAATTACTCCCTATTTCTATGTACTTCCTATTAAATTGTCCATCCCGAATTGAAACATTCAATTCATGGTGGTTATTACGTAGAAATTAAATGAGATAAATGTAAAACTGCAAAGAAAGGAAAACCCAGCCTATGCATTGCTTGAAGAAGTGGATTGTTTCGTAAAAAAATTATTTGCTTTCGTTGAAGACACTGAGAGCGATATACTTAATATGGAAAAGTCTGATGAAACCAATGCTACTATTGACATGAATTTACTTCAGCATTACTATAAACAACATGGATGATGGATTCCTGGGAGATCAGAGCAATTCAAAAAATGCAAGTACTCTGACGTTTACAGTAGATCATCTTAACAGAAAAAACAAATTAGATCAATATTAAGCTTTTAGAATGGATTCTGGTTCGCTTCAAATGAAATCGCAGGATTTGAAAACCAAACATTTGTGGAGTAATAACTTGACAGAGCTCAAGGGCAAATTAAAATAGTTGGAGGTCCAGTAAAACATGCACGTTTTGCTGCATAACTGGACAGCTCTAAAAGAAATACTGTGAGTTGAGGCACTATTATGTGACGAACGGTACAGTCTTCCAGAATATACACCTAATCCTAATCAAATAAAAAAATTGAAATAAAAATGTCAGTGGCTCTTTAAAAACTGGAAAATTTTGTAAATTGGAACTTTGTTGCCAACCCCTGGTATATACTAATTTATTTCATAATTGAAAATGCAGGATAAAAAATTAACTTTTCAATCACAAACCAATTTTACCTTGTACATGTCTGAATCTGTGTAACTTTGTTCTTTATCACATATGTTACAAGATAAAAGCTTTAATAAAAGTAAAACAAAATTATGCAAAAAAAATAAATAAATTAAACTAATGTTTATATTATTTTAAAGTATTTATTAAACTACAAATTGTTCTTCTATACAGAAATTGTATAAAAATGAAAACAGTTTGGTATTTAGTTAAAAATTAACATTCAATTGCATATGGTATTTGAAGATGTAATAATATCCTGTTCTTCATAAGTTGTATATTAAAAAATTAAAAAAACTGAGATTAAGGAAAATAATGTTTTTACATTAAAAATGTGTAGTTTTTGTACAATATATTTTTTTTAATTTATCAGACAGTTGACAGTAAACTTTTTAATTCATATTTTAATTTCACAAATTAAAAAAAAAATGTTACCTCAGGAAATGATTTTTCCTACAAGTAAAAATGAATACTAAAATATATTTATGCATATAGTGTTTAAAAAACAATGAATAAGACAAAACAAGTTAACTTTGGTAGTTAAAATTATGTAGCCCATTGCCTTTAAAACATTGTCATCTGTGATCAATGGGATTAGAACAGTGGTTCTTAACCTGGGTTCCATTCAACCCCAGGAGTTCAATGAGTAAGTCTTGGGGGTTCGGCAGATTGGTGAGTAAGTCTTGGTGTTTGGGCGGAAGGTCCAGAAACACACCCAACTCATATGATTTATGATCAGATTTTGTCAGTGTAGGCAATAGAACTATTAAGAAGAGTTCTGTGAATGCTTATATGAAACTGATAGGGTTCTGTACCTCCAAAAAGGTTAAGACCCACTGGATTAAAACATTATAATCTGGTCCTGTTATTCTCACCCCCCCCCCCCCCCCCCACCAATATAATTACTCCCCTCTTCCTAGAATACTCATTACACTTGTCACTGTCTCAAAGTAAGAAACCTGGCATTCCATAGAAGGCCTCAGATTAGCTGGGAGAGTACAAAATCAATCATGTGCCACACTTTTCCTGTGTTATCCATTGAAAAAGTTAGGAAATGTGTTGGCACATCTTTAACTATATAGAACTACAAACAATTTCCACCTTTTATATGCAGTGCCTAACAGAGTAAAGAAGAGGTCAAGGAATAAAATTTAATATAAGCTTCATTTGATTTAGTCATGATTATAGTAGCCCAACATTTCCATAGTGGTCAATCAACAGCTGGTGCTCCGATAGACATGCCTGTTTCAATATGGTCAGCTATTATAGTAGTCCACAGTATCCATAGTGTATAGCGCTATTTTAAACATATATCACAGTGCTCACAGGTGGGCCCAGGTGCTCCTGGTCACCCAAGTACTGGAGTGCCAGTGGATACACCTGGTGCAGTTCAATCTTTGAATCAAGTATCAAGTAGCACCCCTGACCCTGGGCAGGATGACCAATCAATGGATCCCAGGTGCTAAGATAGCCACCATAGAACTGAGTGTCAAACTGCATCCTACAACTGAGGCTCCACTCCATCAAAAAGTTTTAATGCAGAAACATTCCCAGGTGTATTCGCAACAACTTCCCAAAGTTTTATAGCAATCGGATAAAAGGTGTAGTAATGCATGAAAGACACAGACAGACACAGAAAAGATAAGGAAATAAAAACTATCACAAAGAGAATGACGTCACATGAAACAAATAGGAAAATATCAAAATAAAAAGTTTAAACTCTGTTTAAACACACAAATAATTACGCCATTCATTATAGAATTAAAAATCAAATGTCAAAAAAGAAACAATATTAATGACATCATTGATAACAGAGATGCGAAGTTAAATGTCTATTATTATTAGTCTATTATTAGAAGTGTATGTAGATATACAACAAAATTCTGCAAAAGTAAAATATATAATAAGCATTAAGATTAGGATTGGGATCAAGATTTTTGGTAAAAATGTAGTTTCAGCTAACATTTCTGATTTCAATAAAGTTTATGATCCAATTAGAGCTCGAGTTGAGCTAAATTTCAAGTTTTGGTTTAATTTCTTGATTCAAGTCCGGTTAAATTTATGGGTCCGGATAAAATTCCTGTTACAGTCCTGGTTAAATTTCCTTACAGTGAAATTTTGTATTCCGGCTAAATTCTGGTTCCAGTTAAATTTCCAACTCCGGTTCGGCGATTTAGTTTTAGGATTAGAATTTCCAATAAAGTTTAATTTGCGGTTCAGGTTAAATTTCTGTTTCCAGTTATTTGTCAATTTCTGGTTAAAGCGCCATTTTGATATTTCTGTTTTTATTTAAACTGAGTTTTAAATTTAGTTGGAATTTTGGTTTAGAGAGGAAAAAACCACTATCAACCTAAAGCCTTTTGTATTTCCCCCGCCACAGGCCAATTATATATATATATATATATATATATATATATATATATATATATATATATATATATATATATATATATATATATATATATATATATATATATATATATCTGTGTGTGTGTGTGTGTGTAGGCCTATATATATATATAGGCCTATATATTGTCTCATTTCTTACATCTAACATATCTTTGTAGTAAGAAAGGTTAATATATAATAAATAAAACAATTTTAAAAGTTTATGAGGATAAATGAAATTTTCTGCAACATTTTTTAAAGAACAGTAATTGTTTGAAATTTTCCTTTTTTTTTGTATTTTGTATAGCAAGTGTTAGACAGCAATTTGTCCAATGGCTAGATTAGACAGAAATTTTACAATTTTATTGAAACCGAAAGAAAACAAGAAAGTTTTTCAATTTGAAACATGTTTTTGAATTTTAAATGAATCAAGTCAACTGTTTACCTCAGGGACTGGGACAGTGGATTCCTAAACAACAGAAGTCAGGGTTTTTTTCATTTTGAATAGATTTTTAAAAATTTCAAATTAAAACTGGAGAATGAATCAATCTCATGTAGAATACACTTTTAAAAAACATGTAATATACAAACAAAGACCGTAAAAGGATTTTAGCCTACCTCTTGTGATGAAATTGTAGCTTCCTAAATTTATCAAAAGAAAATACACATCTTTTTGTTTTAACACAAAACAAAGTTTTTGTAAATGTAAAAACCCTAAAAATATCATTACTTCTTGTATCAAGAAACTAGCTTTTTTAAAATCTGCATTTAAATGTGCTGGTAATACAAGATGATAAATGAAAACTAAAATTATTAAATTAAAGCCTACCTCTGGCGATGAAACTATAGCATCCTAAATTTATCAAAAGAAAACATTTTTAACACAAAAATAATGTTTTCATAAAATTAAAAAACATTAAGTATCAGTTTGTTATAAATTCAGCAGTAAAAATCATCAAAACTAATAAATTTTAAGCAATTAACTCTTGTATTGAGATAACAGCTTCCTTTTTAAAAAATGTAGATGCCATTTTAATGTGTGGATTATACATAATAATGAACAAAAGACTAAAGTTATTTACGCATACCTCTGCTGATGAAACTATAGTTTCCTAAGAATATCAAAATAAAACAGGAGTTTTTTTTAGCATGATTAAAATTTTCATGAAAGTAAAGAAATTAAAATTATCAATTAGTTACAAAAACTTCAGAAAAAATATAATAACAGATTTTAAGTCATTTACCTCCTGTATTGGGATGGTTGACTCCTAAAACAAGTAGATGTCATTTTAATGTGTGACATTATTATTATGTGAGATAACTATCTTCTATGCTAGACAGTGATTCTATGTTTGCTTACATTTTAAATAGGGGAAAATTATAATGTTGAAACTGATATTTAGGTATATAGGTAAAAAAAACTTGCATAGACTTTACAACTTACAGAGTTGCATAAGCATCACTGATATTTTAAAATTAATTATTTAAGTATTGAGGAATCCTCATTGTATTAAATTGCTTTAATAGTAATTTAATGACAAATGTCCATCATTTTATATCAAGTTGTATTCACATTAATTGAAAAACCATAATGCTTTACACAATATTGCAATAAAGTGAAAGGATTTTAAGTATTTAATTTAACTGAACAATGGTTAGGTAATACTGCTACACCAGTAACAATTGGTGTTTCTTTTTGTCTATCTATTTTGTCTATGATATTGGTTGGAAGAGCATATGATTGCTAACTCCAAAAGCCCAAGGTTCACACCCAGGCAGATGAGGCTCATTAGCTGGGAACAGCCATCTTAGAAAACTTCAAAATCAAACAACTGCTACCCTGTAGATTGTTCCAAATGTTATGGAAGCAAATCCAGACAGAAAAGCAGGCAGAACTTGGTAAACGGGCCATATTTCACATAATAACCAATAACACTTAAGAGTGTATTAGATTAAGAATAAAGAAGAGGATATCTTGCAAATTATGCTTAAAACTGATCGCAATGCAATAACAATTTGAATAGCACTTGTCAAATAAACACTGCATTTTAAAAAATCTTAACATGAAACAGTAGTTGAACAAAAATTATATTCTGGGATCAAAACATTTTCATAGTAATTTTAAAGCAAATTTAAAGCAACCACATAGACAAATGAATATAAAGTTATTACCTCAGAAATATTATCTTCCTACAAAACAAATAATATATATTACAACATAATTTATTTATTGATTCAATTTGTTTTAATAAAGTGGTTCCCAAACATTTTCGAGTGGCGACCCCTTTTACAAAAAGTAAGTGACCCGCGAACCCCATGGAATTAAAAAGTTGAAATTAATAAGGAAATTTATAAGAACTAAAGTAAGATTTTCTTGTAGACTTTCAAAATGAATTATTCTTGATAACTGTTTAAATACGATGAGTAAAATTTCATGCTATTAACTAGCCTCAACATTTGCAGTTTAGTTTTTGTTAACGCCAAACTCATGTCATTCTCAACATTTAATTTATTTCTATGTTTTGTTTTTAATAGGAAAAGTGTTGAAAATTTATTCTCGCAAAGATATGTAGACACAAAAGGAACTAAAACTCGAAAGGCAATCAATTCCACGTTTGGGTATAAATGGTGCGTACTACACCAAAAATGTGAGCAGTTTTTCATTCTGCAAATTTGAGAAATCAGCTTGTAATTCATCGGTAATGTTGACCACATCAAGGGACGCAGAGAAAGGGCTACGTGTCAGTGCAGTTTCTTCTTCTTTCAGCTCATGGAAAATAATGCCGCGGTTTGTTTTCTAGAGATTTAAGATGCCCAGAAATCTCCTGTTTCAATTTTTTATTTATCTCACAATCAGATTCATCTACCACGCTGCAGAGTTTCTTAAACATGGAAATTTTTTCCAGATTTATTTTTCTTCGCCAATATTGCAGCATTTTCCTAAATGTCCCGAGATTATCATGAAAAGAGATAATATTCATTTATTTCGTATGTTGATGTTCGAATATATCACACCATTTAGTTAAAGTATATCAAAAGGTCTTGTTTCCCTTGCACTTTCAAATCAACTTGATTTCATCTTTCAATTAAAAAAAAACAAGATTCATAATATTTCCTTTTGACAGCCGGCATACTGCAGTGTAGAAAAGCGAAACCTCGTGATCTTTATTTATGTCTTGGCACAGTTCTTTAAAAAGACAAGTGTTTAGGGCTCCAGATTTAATATAATTTACTACTTTTATTAGCAATGGAGTCAGAAGAGTCTTACTGGCGAGGGCATACCGGGCAAAATGGTGAATTATGCAGTGGATTCCCCTTGGTAAGATAACTAAATCTTTTACTGTTTTCTGAAAACCCAATTTTGATTCAAACATAGATGCCGCACCATCCATACAAACCCCACAGCCGTTTTCCCATTTAGACATTCAGTTTCAAAAAACCTATTTTCTCCATAATATCTTCACAAAAAACTCTTCTTTGCTATCATCTGAATGAATATATTTCACAAAGACAAGCAATTGCGAACACAAACTAATGTCTGTTGATTCATCAACTTGAAAAGCCAACAATGGTGAAAGCTTAATTTCATTCAAAATTTGTTTTTTAACATCTATGGACAGGTCTGTTATAAACCGCTGAATAGTATTATTAGACAGAGATATTTGTTGCATCCCCAAGAATTAATTTCACCATCTTCAACATGCAGGGGTTGATGAGATTTTCTCCCATTGCGTTGTTTTTCCTTGGGCAATTTCTATTGCGATTTCATTTGATGCTTGCACTAATGCTGTGTTCCCTTGAAGAAAACTTTGTGTCCTATTAAGTCTCTGACGTTTGTAACTAGCTTCATGACGCCGAAAGATCTCCATATCTTTTTGGTGTGTTCCGAATGACTCGTCTCAAAATGATGTTTAAGTTTTGAAGGTTTCATAGACTCTTGGCTGAGAATAACTTTTCACAGTACTCATTGTTTTTCTCTCTTTTATTTCCTGTGATGTTAGTAAAGCCGAATTTCAGATATTCTTCTAAATATTTGTTGTTTTTTTTTCATTGCTAGGGTTTAGTCTACCAGTTTGCGACTCCCCTATGGGGATCCTATGGGGGTCACGACCCCTAGTTTGGGAACCCATGTTTTAATATTTTAAATAGGTCTATACAAAATATTCAAATCATATAATGTCTAGCAGTATTTAACAGATTGTTACAATAGATTGTGACACGATAATTTTCAATTCATTTTTTTCCTTGTTAATTGATAATTTCCCTTCTTTAAATTTAATAGGAGTACTTCTAATAAATCCATCATAGGTGTATTTTTCCTGTTTACATTAAATATACTACTCCCTATTCTTAATTTATAAAGCCAAAAAATATATCTAATACTTTTGTAGTCTCAATGTTTTACAAAAGTTGTCTTTGGTGTTTGAGCTAAATGCATCTAGTCTTCTTTTAATGCAGTTGTTTTACTACAAATTCAGTTGAATAAACTATTTGTAAATATACAACAATAGTAAGTGTGCAATAAGTAGCTTCAAGCCACATAAATAAATAAATGTGGCTCTAACAAGTGACAATAATTTTTTCATTAATCTACATTGTTACCTGAACCATAATTTTTAAAATTTAGCATCACATTACATACATCAGTTTCTTCAATATTTGTCATATAATAATGAAAACAGATTCACTGTATATTACATAGTTGTTTTAGACCAGAAATGCATCCAACACACTTTTCACTATCTGGACATCAAGAGCAATGTATATGCTTTCCAAATAAAGGTATTTTAAAGCAAAGTAAAATGTGTTCTCCTGTATGGTTTTGAGACATGGATTTGTAACACAAACTTTAAAAATGGATGCCTTCAATGTATATTGGCCTGAGAAAATTATCAACAACAATGGAGGGAAAATAGGCAAATGGGGATGGATTGGACAAGCTTTGCACTAATCAACAAACAGAGCATCACCAGATAGGCATCAGATTGAAACTCACCACACATCTCCCCAAAAAACATAGAAAAGAGTTGTCATGCCAAGAACCAACTTGGAGGAATTTCCCAATACCGAGATCAATGGAGAGGTGTGTTGTGTCCCTATGCCCCACAAGAGTTATGATGGTGAAAATAAGCATTTGAATTTAATATCAACAGAGCACCTCTTATCATAATGAAGTACACAACTTTTTAATTGCATAGGCATTTTTGTTTATTTTTGGATCAAAATACTATTGTAATAATACACCATGAAAAAAAATTAATACATTTTTGGGGACCAGATTTAGTATGCTCTATGCATCATCTCTAATCAATTGCAATAAAGCTGTATCAATGCTACTTACTACTTAATAGCTTAATATGGCTAATCTATCAAATATTAAAGTTTCTTTTACTCTAAAACAAAACTGAAAGTCCTTTTTAATTGCAATTTAGTCTTCATAAATCAGTTTAGACATTAATATGCATTTAAAGCATAGTCATTGCTTATTTGAGATTGCTGTCACTTTTATGCTCTCCTCACATAGAAGTTAGAAATCAGTGATTGTTACTTCAAGGAGGAGAGGGTTAATTTAGTCCTCATAGTCACTTTTACAAACCTTTCAAAATTAATTTGAGATTCCAAAATAAAATAGAAAACAGAGGGAAATGGTAGAGGTGGTAGTTACAAAATGGAAACTGATAAAAAATAATGGTAGATAACTTAAACCTAGACTATCACGAATGAGAAATAACAATAAAGAGACTGGTTTGGGAGATGTAGATTTCCTTTATGAGGATGCAACAGTTTAGTATACTTTTTTCAAATATTTTATTGATAAAAGTATATTACTGAAAAATTCAGCAGAAAAATTTGGTCTCAAAATTATAACTGTGAAATTTGGAAGAGTCACATCCCTTTAACAAATTTTCAAATCTGAATCTTTAAAAAAAAAGAAACAGCTAAATCAATTAAACAGCAAAAGTTTGTGTTCATGCACACAAAAAAAAGATTTCATAGGTATCTGTGTTGGTTTTCCTAACACTCAGGCTCATAGCTCTAAGCTTTTTATTACTTGTATTTTATAAAATAACTCCTAACTCAGAAACGATTGTTGACCCTATAATGAGCTAATATCTCTCTACAATAAAAACACAACAAAAATAAATGCCCTTCTTCTTTTAAAAACTACACTAACAAAAACATGAAAGTTATTATCATGCCACTTCTTAAAAAAAAAAAAAAGACCATCTTTTCATTACAAGAGTTCACCTTTGCAGAGTACATTTAAGTAGTCAGGGTAAGATACCTCTGTATACAAGGCTATATTTTTTACTTTCTCGTATACAATGTATAGAGGAAGTATTGTAATTGTGCAAAAAATCAAAATAGAGATTTTCTCAAATCTCAACGTTTTACACCTCCCTGAGTCTGAAAAACAGCTTTGCAATTTTGTCAGTATGTCTGTGTGTATGTATGTGTGTATGTCTGTGAACACGATAACTTAAGTACCATTAAAGCTAGGTTGATGGAATTTCATATACAAGTATATCAAATTTGGTAGTTCTGTATCAACTTTTCAGAGATTACATATAAGTAAAAGATCTAATTCTCTGCCTTCTGTCAAACTTTGAGTAATTTCCATTGACAGGAAGTAGTAATTTACGCTATTTCCATATCTCAAAAAGACTATATGAATTTATAAAATACTAATATTCTGCACTTTTATAACATACTTTTTGCTGTTCACTTGGTGTGCAATTATTTTTTCTACAAAATTCTATTATATTTTTAAAAGTTAAGTAATTAAAAATGGATTAAAAATCATGTCTATATCCAGAGTTGCCATCACTTGTATTGTTATTTAAGAAAATTTGAGAAAGTTTAGGGGAGATCACTCCCTCTTTATTTAACATATGTGTAAATAATTTATTTAAGAGTAAAAAAAAATATGCCAAAAGCATATTTAAAAAGTATTTAAGAATCACATACCTCCTTGTTTAAGTTTTCAGATGAAGCAGTTGTTCCTAATCTGGCAGATGTAACATTGACAGAGGCAGCATCTGACTCTATAGGATCATAGATATAGCACTTGTAAAGAAATGTAATTGACTATATTTTTGTCTATACTTCTGTACAAGTTAACTGCTAACACACATACACAAAGATATGTAAATATATATATATACTAGATAAATGGCCTGTTGAGGGAGAAATACAACGCACTAGGTTGGTAGTGTCGTCTTTTTCTCTAAACCGAAAAACAAAATCAAAATCACCACCTCAACTTCAAATTTAACTGGAAATGAAAAATGACATGGAAAACTGATTTTTATCCAGAATCGGCATTTTAACCGGATCAGGAAATTTAACTTGAGATAAAACACCTAAAATTACTAACCCTTAGCTTAATCCTTACTATATATATAACTTATATCAATTTTCCAGAATTTTTTTTCACTTCTAAAATAAGACAAATTAGGAGTTACATTTTTTTTCTACTATCAATGACGTCATTATTATTGCGTCTGAAAGATATATATTTAAATATATAATAAATATTAATAGTGATACTTCAACATAAGAGATCTTTTTAGACACAAACGAGCTGTTGAGCGAGCTGAAATTTGCTTTGATATGTGAGCAAAATTTGAGATATGAGTAATCAGATTAGTGGGTTTAACAGTTCATGGAAAAGAATCACTAAAAAAAGTTTCACCTAATAGTGCATTGGAGCTATTTAATGACACTTACCTAAACTCATTTCCAAAACATTAAAAAACGGAAGAAATAACAAACCTCCTTGAACAAGTTTTTTTGAACGGCTTGCATGGAAAAGTGAGGAAAGTGTGGATAAGAAAAGCATAGACCAGCAGAGAAAAGTAGTGACGAAAAATAAGGGAAAGTAAAACATTATATAGTAAGATTTAGGTTCAATTATGTTCTCTGAAGTTTAAGTTCCATTAAGTTTATGGATAAAGTCTATCAGTAAGAGTATAACGAATAAGTGAATAAAAGTGACTGAAAGAGCTTAGCATTTAAAGTGAGTAAGTGAACAAACTGAATCTCCTCCGCCTATCTACTCCAATCTACATTGGGCCTACACCTCCACCAGCATCTTCCAAAAGCTCAAATTGTCTGATTTTAATGGTAAATACACTTTATAAAACCAATTTTTTAAAATTATCCTTTACTGTATTATTTAACAAATATTTCTCATGTATAAATATACCTTTCTTATTTAAAAAAACCCCACTATAATGTATAAAAACATCATATGATGGCATTTTAGGGGTGCTGGAACTGATTAAGGGCATGGGAGGGTGTACTTTACTTCATAAATCCACCAAATCATTGATTTCTCACTTTTACTTGATCTATACAGAATAACCATCGTTGAATCTAAAATGACATTGACCCTAAAAGCATTATTTATTTATAAAAAACCAGGTTCAAAATAGTATGTACAACGTCATTTGTTTATTTTTTTGTTAAAAATAGCCATTTTGCGACCAAGAAAAATACTATTAGGCTTTGCGGAAGCTATTGTTTTTCATATCAATGGAAAGGCCAGGACCTAATTTCTTTCTTTGTTCTAAAATTAAAGGACCAATAAAAATACTTATTTTAATGTGATTCTTTTTCTACGTCATAAAGTTGTTTATTTTACTCAGTCAGATGTTTTCAGTATGCAAATTTTTTACCTTAATTTTTTTTATTGGCATTCAGCGGCGGAATCTAGTTAGCGATTGGTCGTTTCTGTTTGGAAGTGAATATTCATTAGTTTTTGTGAATTGCAAAGTTTGATCCGGTTTAATTTTGTTTCTCTAAGCGTCCGTGAAATACTTATATTATTTTAACATATAATTATTTCAATTAAATATACTATTAACAGTTTAGATTAACTAGTATGAATTACCATAAGCAGTGAGAGGATTATATTTGTTTCTTTTTTGATAATGGGAAGAACCAAATACTCGCTAAAAAATAGACACACAAATCTAACTGAAGCAAGGCATGTCCGAATGAAACTGATTGCAGCTACCTCTACTCACTCTAACAATATTCAGACAAGCACTGATGCAGATGCAATATGCATATTTACTAAGAAACTGCTGCAATATAAGACACTGTTTATACAGACAGAAGAAAGCAATGCTACATCTAGTATTGGTAGTGCTAATTGTAAACCACAGTCATGCAGAATTATTGTTGACTGTGATTTGCTTCTTGATTTTATCAAATAAATTTCCTTGCCCAGAGTGTAACTGAGATATAGTGGCTACTATTGATGAAAAAAAAGTGTAAAGGGTTTGCTTCAAGCATGGTGTGGCAGTTGTAAAAATGTTGTTATCAGTATGTATACAACTGCAAAAGAATTCAGAACAAGGCCATTCACAATAAACAAAGACATTGTCTTAGCATCATTGGCTTTAGACATGGAACCATACAAAATATGCTGCTGTTTCTGCAATAGCAGAATTTAATTTTGGGCCCATGCATTCTATGGCATTGCAGTCAAAAGAAGAAAACCATAGTCAAAGACTAAATGAAGGATGGCAAAAAAGACGCCTTGATGCCTTTAGGTAAAAGCAAAGAGCGCCAGAAAAAATGAAACTAGCTGCTGAACAAGCACAGAAGGAATATATTCAGCAGCACCATACTTATGGCTACGAGTGTGGTCGATTTTAGTGACAAACAACGGCAAATTTTCATTTTTTTCTACAACTTTTTGTTTGTTTATTTGCGTTTTTCTCAGTTTTATGTTTTTTTGCACCATTGTTAAAATAACTTTGTTAATAATTATCAAAACTGAACTAAATTTGCTCCAGTTACTCTCTATATATGTTCAAATAAAACTGATAGAACACTTTTGGAATTTTTTTTTTCTAAAATGATTGAAATAATGAAAAATTGGACGAAATAATATTTTTACAGTGATGTATAGGGAAAAAAATGTTTAAAAAAATTATCTTCATTTTTGAAAATGTAATCTATCAGAAGTCTTAAACACATGTGTCTCCAGACTATATTAAGTTTCCATGAAATTTGTACAAACCATTTTTGAGTTATTTCCATTTAAAAATCGATAAATTCCTAAATGGCAACGGAGGGTTTAATAAAAAAAATTTAAAATATTTTTATGCTTAGCCATTTGAGTTATAATTATTCGCCAAGTATTATATCTTTAGACTCAGAAATAAGGAAGTTGGTACTCATCACCATGCCCATAATGGCATTTCAATTAATTTCAATGGAGAAAATTGTTGTGACAAGCCACAAATTTGATATATGAGCAATGTTTCAGAAAAAATTAAATTATAGGTGCCACTATATATATATATATATATATATATATATATATATATATATATATATATATATATATATATATATATATATATATATATATATATATATATATATATATATATATATATATATATATATATATATATATATATCCTTAAACTGCAGAAATATTTGTAAGATGTAACTGTTATATATCATGTGCTTAATCCCTAAATTTGTTTTACAAAATGTGGAAAATAAATAATACTTTTAATTTTTCAAAAAAATAAGCAGGTGTGGCACTATAAACAGGAGAAGATGCAGATAAAATTAACCTACACCTTAACCATAGGTGTGCAGACTGCAAGAATATCATAACTTTTAACACATTTCTTTAATGTTTGTAATACTTGTTTAGTTATGGATGTTTATCACAATGGAAAGATTGGACTTTCAATGTACAAACTGAAATTAAAGTAGAACAAAAGAAAAAAATAAATCTGACCCCAACTTTATCTTTAACTCTTTTTTTTGCTTAGATCAATACTAACTTGCATAACAATAACAAAGTAACCAAATGTTAAAAGGAGTGTCCTTGTCTGATAAAAATAGTAACAACATAAACAAAATGGATGTTCTTGTAATCTACACACCTTGAGCATGAGCATTTGTGATCATCTTGGTCAAACTGAGTCCTGTCAGAAAAAATATCAAAACAAAAGACACCAAAAGTTATAGATATTTTAAATCAAAATATCACTGAAAAAGAATGATAAAACCTTAAGAATTTTCAATTTAAAAATTTAGAATTTTATTAGATAAAATAAGTGTACAGCAACAAAAAGATTAATTTTTTAAATTTCTGAAATGAATTGTCAATAGAAAGGAACTAAAATAAGTGATATGTACTTAACAATTAAATATAATACATGCAAAAGTAATAATTTAATTAAACAGTAGTTACATAATTACATTTACATGTATTGAATTTAAATATCATATTGCCCTGGACTGCCTTTCAATTTTGTCTTACCAACAGTTAGTTACTTATTGAAACAAACTTTATTTTACACTATACTAGATGCAAGCCTATTTTTCCAACAATATACTTTTAAAGTCAGCAAAAAAGTAAGTGCAATAGTGCCCTATTTAAATCCCATCAATTCTGCTTGGAACATCTTAAACCATCTTATATTCATATATATATATATATATATATATATATATATATATATATATATATATATATATATATATATATATATATATATATATATATATATATATATATATATATATATATATATATATATATATATATATATATATATATATATATATATATATATATATATATATATATATATATATATATATATATATATATATATATATATATATATATATATATATATATATATATATATATATATATATATATATATATATATATAAGTGTGTCAGTCAGTAAGTCAGTCACTGCTATATAATCTAGCAACATAAAAGTAAACAATAATAAATGCTGTACATTTTACTTACATTTCATTGTCTTATTATAAGTAATTGAGTAGGGTCTATTTATGTAAAGACTTAAATTTTTGGTCATCGACAAAGTTTTTACTCTTTTTCATATGTCAACAAAACAACATGAAGAAAATATAAAATACACGCACATTCTTAAACATATTTAAACGGATCAATGTCAAATAATATTTTTGCATATATTCCTAGAAAAATGGATACGTTTTAACAATAGTAGGGTCGAAAAAAATTAATCAATTAATATAATTTTGCCAGGAAGGTATTTTAAGAAGAATTTCAACTCACAATAAATATTGCTATTTAAGTAAAAAAATAAATTAATGTGAATGCAAATTGCATGGATGTCCATGAGAGCATTATTGTTGGAATACACAACCATTTGTTTGATAAAGCCATTGATAAAGCGTTTGCGTTTTCTTTTGTGTTTGGATTTTTTTTTTGCGTTTGCGTTTTGCATAAGCGTTTGTGTTTTCATGTTTATTTTTTTGCGTTTGCATTGTGTTTGTGTTTTCTTTTGTTTTTGTGTTTGTGATGTGCTTTTGTTTGCATTTTCTTTTGTGTTTGTATGCTGCATTAGCATTTGCGTCTTATTCTTCTTCGTTCTTAATTTTAGTGTTGGAAGGGAACCCCCTCCAACACAATTAAGGATACGTGTCAACTGGTTATGCTTTTCTTTTTGGATTTGCTTCCATAGCCTTTGTCCAACCAAGAACAAACTACAAGGCAGCGGTTGTTTGATTTTGGAGTTGTCTCTCCAAGAAGAGTGGCTGTCCCAAGCTAACGAGCATCATCTTCCCGAGGGTTCGAACTCGACACTTTTCGGTTTAGCAAACTTGAGCTTTACAAACTCGACTACGCTGAGTTTTTGTTGTGTTTTGCATTTGTGTTTTCTTTGGTGTTTGTATTTGGTTTTGTTCTGTTCCCAAGTTGGTACATTTAAAAAAGATTCACTGTGGTGGAGCACGAGTATGCAGCTAGTATATATATATTTAAATACCATATGTTACATTTATACGATGACAGTTTATAAAACGACCTTCATTTTTACCATTTAGAATATAGTTTAGGATATACTTACTGTATAAGACTACCCTATTCTAACGCACACTAAAAGATTTTAAAGCATCAGATTGGATTGTACTATGTTAATTTTAATTTGACAGGTTAGTTACTTAGCAGGAAAGCTATCACTTATAAACGAGAGTTTGTTCTTCTTCAAACAGAAAAATGTAAATGGATTTCCCAAACTCACTCTAAAACTGAAAGGAAGGATAAGATACTAAAAAAGCGAGATGGCCTGGTCTGCTCTCCAAGCTGTCAACCAAACCAGAATTGATGATGATGATAATATAAATATGGCTCTATAGTCTAATAGATGATTGCCCTTTGGAAATGCAAGCCCAAACCCAAGGTGGTAAGATAAGTAGAGCTAAATGTTGCCCATGTATCAAAATTCTCCACACAGCTGAAAGACCCAAGGGACAGGATGTTACCAATACAAACCCTGGCAACCAAAAGTAGAATAGTCATACTTAAAAAGAGGAATTAAAAGGCAAAAAGCCAAAAATTAAAAATTAAAAATTATTATATACAAATTTTTAAAAGCCTGACAATATTACTAAATATAAGTATTATGTATAGTTCTAGTATAGTTATATATATTTTTAATATCTAACCTGCATCTAGATTTATATTCTGCTTAATTTTAAATTAAAGTTTAAAAAAAAAAAACCACCCCACTATAATAAAACAATAACTTTAGCTGTTATAACACTATTGGTTTGATTTAACACTTTTTGATGCTACAACTATCTTAAACTATTAAGGATCCTTTGATTAAAGCTTACATGTTTGTGACCTGCTATGTACTAGCTAGTACTAGGCCACATGAACAAATAAAATACTTTAAAAAAACTTTTTAAAAAACCACGTTTTTCTTGTGGACTAAAAAGTAGAAAATAAATTTTTCTTCCGACCCTAGGTGATCAACCAATGACTGCTCGTAGATTTTGTTCATACATTTGATGACAAAAAACGTGGGTACGTTCACCATCAAATTTCCCGACCCATTGCCCGACCCACGTTTTTTGTCATCAAATGTATGAACAAAATCTACGAGCAGTCATTGGTAGATCCCCTAGGGTCGGAAGAAAAATTTATTTTCTACTTTTTAGTCCACAAGAAAAACGTGGTTTTTTAAAAAGTTTTTTTTAAGTATTTTATTTTCTCCTTTTTAGTCCGTTGCTACACATGAAAAACGTGGTTTTTAAAAAGTTTTTTATATAGTTTATTTTCTACTTTATCTAATGACTTGATTAAGTATGACTTGACTAAGTGTTTTTAAATACACGGACTAAAAATCTTGAGCGACCGATACGCTTTAAACAGAGAAGGGGCGTAATTTAATTAAGCCTACATGCCGTGACCAGGATTCGAACCTGGGTTGACACGGCCACAACGCGAAGTACTAACCACTATACGATCACGGCCAGCGCGCTCACATCAATTGGGGCCGAAGTAACTGTGTCAATAGGCCTCCAGTCTTGTCGGTATCTTTAGAAATCATGTCCTCAATTTTATGGTCCTTGGGGCGTTATTTAATTAAGCTAATTTAGGTCTCTAATTGCTAGTTTTTATGATTGCATCTGAAATTGTTAGGCGAAAATAGCCTGCATGCCAAATTTCAGATCTCTAGAGCAATCAGAAGTGGGCTAATTTTCGATGTCAATTTTAACAACAAACATCCAAACAAACAAATAAACGCGAAGCTGAGTTAAGAAAAACGTGTTAAAAAACTAAAGTGGGTCAACATTAGATATTTCAGTTAGTGCCTTGATAATAATATCCTCCTTATTTGAAAAAAACAATTTATCTACTGTATAATTTACTATCACAAATCCTTTGGTAATCATTCCTTGGAATATCTCTAAAATATTGTATTCATTTTTATAGCTCCTGCTATTTTGAAAGCTGACATTTTCCAGATTATCAATAGCCTTAGTATTTAAAATAAACATTGAGGCAGAAAAGAATGCCGAAGGAAAGCAGTCGCGCTTTCTCCGCTCTTTTTTCAATTCATTTTATACATATTCACTTATTCTGATTTAGAGGAACAAGTTTCACCAAAATCGGAATGCTGGAATGAGAAACGACTTTTTTTTTAAATTGCGTTTTAGGCTAGGCAGTTGGCATGTCTACGCATATTTAGATTGGAATCAGCAGTGTTGCAAAAGCTGCCGAAATGAAACCAGTGCTGTTAATCCTTACAATTATAGGAGGAAGATAACAAACAATATACGGAGAGCAAGTGCCAGAAAGGTCTTTATTGAGTTAGCAGCACCCATCATAACCGCAACCTGTGATAATTTTACAGGCTTTGCTAGCATGACAGTTTCCCTTTAAAAGCCTTCAACAATGTCATTTCATCATCTAGTATCACTAGTGCATCAATGACATCTTGAGCTACATGTATAAGGCAGCCCTCCTATGGATCCTATTAAGTATAGACTTAAGTATTGAATATCAGTAGAAGTATAGTCTTTCAGATGATGTGGTCTTGGGCTTCCTCTTTCTTGCCACAAGTAGTCATCCTCCTTAAGAAGTAGCCATTCTCCAAAAGAAGTAGCCATCCTCCATGTTAATTAGTCATCCTTTATAAGGAGTAATCATCCTCCAAAACAAATAATGAAGTTGATATGCTACATTTCTTAAATATTTTATAACTGTTTCTGCACCAATATAAATGCAGGCTTCAATGCACAAAAGATCAAACTTCACAGCACTATGTTTCCTCCTTTGGTGAATGTCTTAGCGCTAACCATCCATTCATTCCACTGTTCTCAAATGTAATCTTAGTACTTAGTTAAGTACACATCCAGTGGCTGTACCAACTATAAAAATCATACATAACCATTGCATCTTTGCTTGCTGTTGGAGTTTAATGAATCATTGCTGATTTAGTATGATTACTCCATACAGATGAAGCCATGACCATTTTTTTCCCCTATGCAGATTTTCCAGTCTGGCTCAGAAGCTTCAGCACAAGTCCATAGGACAACCCACAACTTTTAGAAAGATTTTCCCAGTTAAAAAAAATCAACTTATATGCCGGAAAATATAAAAAGGTGCCTAACCCTACCACCATTAATGTAGAATTTAAATAAAATGGAAAAAAAAACACTACTACACTAAGGAAATTTAATATGAACAATATATTCTAAGAAAAGCAACTATTCAATTTTTGTTTCAAACTGTTTGTACGATAAATAAATGTTACATTTTTAATACTTAATAATAAAATTTAATTAACAGAGACAAAAGTAAATAAATGAAGTTATTTCAAAACTCAGAATAATACAGTGTAGGTGGTTCACGATTATAATATCAATACAATTTTAGATTTATATAAAAATAGTACAATTAAGATTAAAAGATTTTAAAAGTATACCTTCTATTATGGTTGTAGAGAGATCAGCTGGGATAATGGATTTCATTCCCTCCTTAATTTCAAGCAATTTTGGTTTTATATCAGGTAGATCTTGCAACTTCTTTTTTAACCAACCCTTTTTCAAAAAAAGATTGTTTAAAATCAAAGTTATTACATTTGCTGTCTTGTTTTGTTAACTGCATAAAACATAAAATCTTTAGTTACATTGTATCTCAACTACAAACCGTAAAAAATTATTGTTACACTATCTTTCAGGGGGAAATAATTATTAAAAAGTGGAATTCAAAGGGTTTTTCCCATTTAAAATGTACTATTAACTATAAATAACCAATATTATTAGTAACTTATGTTGTGTAAGTGGGACAAAATGCTATAAAATAAGTAGAAACCTAAGAGCACAATTTAAGTTTATAGCAATGATCATATTTAAAAAAAAATTGTAATTACTTTTTCAGGCATCACTTCAAGCATTTGGGTTTTTAAATTTCTGAAGGAAGCTGCAGCTTGTTCTCGCACTTCCCAGTTGCTCCAATCTGGTACTATGTTCTTGATGGTTTCATAATCAGGAATATATTCTTTCATCCATTCTACATCTGGCATGTAGCTTTTAATTTTTTCCATTTGCTTAAAATAAAATAATTAATCAAACTAAATTCAAGTATTTTAAGTTATTGTGAGTTAAATACTTATATTAGCATGTTGCATGCAATTTTAAATTTCCTTTTTGTAATAAAGCTTTAACAAAGTTAATCAGTAGCCGAGAAAATGCTTTTTAAAAAATGCACATTTTTTATTAAATGGTTACTTAGCCAAAGCTCTGTCTTTGCTAGGGTTTGTCCCATTCAAACACATGATGGGCGCTATGGGAGTGGCTTAGACGGCTGCAGTCTTGTAGAAATTATTTTCTTTATGAATTTTGTGTGTTCTTATATTGATTTGCTTATAATGAATATTATTTAGGTATGAAGGATCATTGGATTACCTTTAAAGCAGCAATAGTTTGGTGGAAAGCATAAACAATTTCATATTTAACATGTAATTCTTACCTTATCTTCTGCTATAGTTTACCCAGTGTGTTGACAAAAAAATTAAAAATAATAAGTGCAAACAAACACCAAGTATTCATTGTTTTAATTATATAAGTATCAAAGCAGATTTAGCAAAGCAAAGCGAATTTATTTATATATTTTTTAAATGACCATGAAACTTTGTAAAAAGAACAAAAATGAAGCCTGGTATTTTTTGGAAGACATGAAAAAGTAGGTTAAGCCACAGCCTAACTTATACCTAAACTCTTTTTCTATCGCTGTATATAGTAAATTTTAATGAAATATATTTTTTAAGAAAAGGAAGTTTTTTAAGTAAAATATTGCTGTGATAGCAATAAATTTCATGATAAATTTTTTAAACCATCTAAGAATTTTAACAATTAATCCTAAATTAAAAAGGCATTATTTAAACTCAAACAAAGAAAGAAATAAGTTATTAAGATATACCTGAGTAGCAGCATATCCTCCACCAGCACCACCAAACAACACAAGGTATCGAAGTTTTAACAGCCGACCAAGACCACCAATGACACGAACAAGGCTCGTTATTTCTCTGTAGGTACCATATCTGTATACTCCATCTGCATCTAATAGTGACTTAATGTTCTTTTTGTAGACAATGTTACCTCGATGACTGAAACTGTAAAACTGTCGTACATGAAGTCTTTGAAGTTGCAAGGAGGTAAGAACATTACCATATTTTTGTCCATTTGAATAAGTCACTTTGAAGGATTGTCTCTTACTATAAAATACCACTGCATTAAAACGAGCTTTCCTATAAGTTGATGTAGGCATCAGGAGTACATTTTTACATCTTGCTTGTAATATGTCATTTGCAGGGCTTAAAAAAAAGTAATTATATTTTACTTGTGATTAAAATGTCTAAGAGTATGTTTGATGAGCAGAAAAGTTTATTTTTTAATCCCTTAATGTTGACTGTTACTAAAACTCAACATATTGATTTTGCGCTTAGCATTTGAGCATTGGTACATTTATCCTACTGCTGCCATGCATTGTGTGTTGGGTACATCCAGACGGTCTTATAGGTACCAATGTTCATGGTGTCAAGTTGAAATTTATGACGTCACACTTAACTAATACGCAAATTTTTTGACTTCATGAATTTAGCTAGGTGGTCCATTTTTACAACAAAAAATACTAATAGCTTTATTATTCACTCTTTTATGAGTATAAACAGTATCAATCACATATGAGAATATTTTAAGAAGTTTTCCTCTGATTACGCTTTGTCGCATTTTCGCAACATCCGACAAAAAGACATAAAATTGTACTTTGGTGCCAAGTGGGTATAGCCTAATTGGAAGCCTCACCAAGCTGTCATTTCTTCAAATATGATTATAAATAAGTGAAGGATGTACAATATAGTCTTCGCCTACGTATATAATGTACACTTTCAAACTTTATAGTGCACACAGCAGGTGAAGTATAATTCACCGGTTTCATCGACTTTGGCATATGGAGAGAGAGCAATACTGGATTAATGTGAACATGCTGCTGGGTATAATATAACAAATTAATCCTTGAAATAGCATTTTAAAATATTAAAAGAACAGAAAAACTAAATAATACTAAAGGAAGTGAGGTGGTGGACCACCATCCTGGATAGCACCTAAGAAAGGGCTTCACAGTAACCATCACAATAACACTGAGCATAGATGTACACCTCATGATAAATAAAGTGATACTGAGTACCTACAGATAAGGCTGAGTACCCACTGCAATGATATCAAGTATCAACAGCACCGCACTAAGTACCCACAGCAGTGGCATTAAGTAGTATCCATAGCAGTATCATTCAAGTACCACAGCAATAGTACATTGTACCAAAAGCAGAAACATTGGCTAACAACAACAATAGTGAGTGACCACAGCAGTGGCAGAGTACCCACAGTAGCTGCACTGAATATGGAAGAATATAGAAAAGCAAAATACTGTCATTTAAGTCTGTATTTGTTCACTTGCTTTATTTGTTTAGCAAAAAAGGTCAAATGAGAAATAGTTGGCCTTGAAATAGGAGTTAACGAAAAGGGCATTACCAGGTACAACTAAGGCTATACACAGAGGAAGTCCTTTCATATGTAGTGTGTTACTGTAGAGCAAGGGTCTCCAAACTACGGCCAGCAGGCCGGATACGGCCCGTGAGATCCTCTCATCTGGCCTGCAGAGATCTTTTTGTCCATGAAAAAATTTTTTGTTGGAGGTGGCTGAGTAACTTTGCCCAGAAAATTCAGAACAATTTGAAAATGTAACTTTGGGTGCAAATACCATTGCCCGCTGTGTTGCAGACATTGGTGTAAACATTGTGACCCAAATAGTAAAAAATGCAAGCAAGTTTCGCCATTTTTCAATAGCAATGGATGAGAAGCTGGACAGCTCTTCACCTCAACTGCTTGTGTTCATAAGAGGTGTGGATAAAGACATGAACATAACACAAGAGCTGGCTTCCCTACATATCATGTATTGCACTATTACCGGAGAGTGATATTCAATGATTTAAAAAACATTTGCTGATTATAACTGGGACTGGACTAACCACAGTTAGACTGTTGATGGAGGAAAGTACATGAGTGGCATAAAGAAAGGCTTTATTGGACAAGGAATTAGAAAACATTCTACAACCAATGTTCCTGCACTGTATTATTCACCAGCAAGCTTTGTGTGCTAAATATATGGACTTTAGCAGTGTACTGAATCCTGTGGTGAAGACAGTAAATTTTAATAAGGTCGCATGGGCTAAACCATAGATTATTCAGAGACATGTTGAAAGATACAAACACAGAATCGCAAGATTTACCATATTACACAGCAGTAAGATGGCTAAGTTGTCAGAAAGATCTGAGCAGAGTTTTTATAAGTTAAGAAGGGAAATAGGTTACTTCCTGGAAAGTAAAGTCAAGCTACAGTCATTGATGTCTGATGACGAGTGGTTATAGAAATTGGCCTCTGCTGCAGACATAAATAGTCATTTTAATTTTGTGTGTTTCGGTTGTGTTTATAATAAAATACGCTCAACCAGAGGTGAAGTGAAGCGGGGAATAAAATACGCTAAAATGGAGTTTTACCCTTGTTTACTTATAATTATAACTAGACTACCCATTATCTAGTTAGATAACTGTGGGTTTCGGCGGTCATCCATAAATGACATCACGCCTGTCACTTATAATCACAAAATAATCTGACCCCAGATTCAAAAAGACGTAAATTGAAAAAACAAGTTAATTAAAAAGGTCTAGTGACATTTATGCGCAATTTCCTTATGTTATCTAAAAATAGCTCTGACGTATAATGCTGGGGTGCGTTCTAGCTAGAAGAACGATCGGTTTGTAGGTGTTAATGTAATTTTAAAATTTGTGACCGAACGAGAGGATATTTTTGAAAACTTTCTTCGGCAATATTGTTCTAAATTATGGCAGGAATCGATTGGTACATGTTTCAAGTCGCTAAGTGGTCTGGTTGCCGAGATATGGGCCAAAAACTGAATTTTTTCGAGTTTTTTTGGCTTTTCCTGGAAATACATGAAAGAAACCCGGAATTTTTATGGCCTATGCTCATTCTCGTAACTTGCTTAACATAATTGCTTTTGGAACTAGTCATCGATATTGCTTCGTTGAGGAGGAGATACAACTTAAAGCCCGGACACACATTCATCCATACATTCATTCATTCATCCATCCATTCCCAGAAATGACGAGTTAATAAACGCAATTCTCCAGAATGGAAATTGCGCTAAAAAATTAACATTGACATGATGTGTCTAGAACCGGTGCCACCCACATGAAAGCCAATTACACTATCACTTTAGCTATCTAGGCTCGTGACATAATGACCCTTTTTGTGCTTCATATAAATAGTTTAACTCTGTTTAAGAAACTTGATTTACGCGAATAGGCCCTAGAAAAAAATGCCCTAGATCTAATATCTTTCAAATTAAATTTTATCTTAAACTAGCCAATTCCATAGCTAAACAAACAAAGATTTATATAAAATAATGAAGGTTTCAAATAGTTTAGTATAGAAACTCAATATTATCTAGAACTATATAGAGTTATCTAGATTCTACGACTGATTTGGTTAAGCCGAGTTTTTGCCGTAACTCTAGATCTAGAACCTAGATCTAGCTAGATAGATAAATCACTTATATTCTAGAATTAGATGATCCATGAAGCTAAAAAGCAAAGATTTATATCAAATATTTAAGGACTAAAATAGTTTAATAAAGAAACTCAATAATGTATTCTGATTTTAAAAGGCTTTTTAAATTTAAAACTAATTAATTTTGGTTTGACATAGATTCTACATCTATAAATAACTCCCTTCGACAGCTGATATTTAGATTCTAGATCTAGATGTCTAGAGAAATTTATTGTATACGAAAATAAAAAGAACTGTTAAAAAATTGATAATAGTGATGAAACCTAATAAAAATATCAAACGGACGCATCATTAAAGCTATAGCCGACAGAAAATTAGCTAGATCTATATGCGCTATTGTTTTGAATCTGCAACAATATAGTCGATGGAAGACGCCATTGTTGATGTAAAAAGTAAATAAATCATGTGACAACACTATTCACTATAAGTAAAATCATTGTTCTGAACTTTTATAATTAATGTGGTTAATCTACCAATGAATAAATCAATAAAATAATTAACGTCTTTAAATAAATTTGTGATTAACAGTCTGTCTATAAAACAAAAATTGTTCTCTACATAATGTTTTTTTTAATTACTAGATTCTATTTTACAGCTCTACACATAGTGCAGATTCTCTCCTGTAACCAAATGGCAATGGACAAACAAATAAATAAATTAAATATTCAAACATGTAAACTGTAGGCCTAAACAAACTTGAGTTTTAATAGTATATAGATTATATATTATAATAACTTAATAATAATATTAATAAGTTTACTAACTAGTGATTAGGCTTAGAGTTTAGAGTTGTTTTAGAGTTTAGTTAAATACTATTAAATAGTTAGATCTAGATCTAGAATAGCGTGTTGGGAGATTGCGAGACGCGAAAAGCGAAATGGCGAGGCGGGAAAATGCGAGAAGATAATGCGAGACATACCTGCGGAATTAAGGGTAAATAGTGAGACACTTTTTGCAAAAAAAAAGTTTTTTTTCATGCTTTTTCATCTTTATTTATTTAAATTATTTTTTTTTGTTTTAAAATAAACAAGCATTTAGCCATACCCTTTAACATGAGTGTTGTATGTTGTTATTTTTTATCTAGATTTTATTATATAGATAGATACTAAGAAGATAGATAGATCTATATCTAGATCTATCTAAAAAAAAAAACCTAACATCGTTGCTGTGCTACTGTCATCGCACACACTCGTTAGCGAGAGGAAAATCCCGTCTCAGTCGGCATTAATTTTAAAAATCTAGCCCACTCATGTTTATACAAACGTGAGCTGTGTCATTGTGAATTGGTATAATCTTGTCAGCAGGAGAGATATTCTGCAACATGTATTTATGGATTTTTGTACTTGCAAAAAGTGTAAAAGTATAAACAATTCTAAAAAGTGCAATTTTTTTTTTTTATTAAGTAATTTTAATTACAAACAAAATTTACAAACAAAATCTTCTGAAACAGTCCTAGCACTACTCAAACACACCTCATGACACCATCTTTCACACATAGTAGGCCCTACATCCAACCCAGTTCATTAGACTCCCATTTATACATTTTTCTTTGGCTACTTCTTCCAATCCACATTCACAACATTTCACATTCTCATCACAGTTGACCTCCTCGTTCATCCCACAAACAACACTGGCACCCATGTTCTCATCATCATCATCTGCACGCTCAACATCTGTTTTCCGTTTTTTTATAATTTTTATTTTTTATCATTTCTGTAATTTTGGCAATGTCTTGCTCATTGTGGTCATCAGCCAGATCTATGTCAGCGGGGCGTGGACGTTTACGCCCTGAAGTTTTATCCTGTCCCTTCCTTGCAGCTCTTCTAAGTTGTGTTAGATTTCTTGATTCCTTGTTGCTTACTGTCGATAATCCAACTGCCTGTCTGCGGCCAGACAGGAGCATGTTTCTTTTGGAAAAAGGGTGACCACCCTGGGGTCTGTTGACCCTTTAATAGTGAATACACCAAGTTTAGTATTTAAACTTATCAGTTCATTGTAAATCACGAATTGTGCCCTTTCGGCAACAGTTGAACAAACAGGCAAACAGACCTTCCCTACGGGTGCAGTAACTAAAACTGCTTCTTGTAAATTCTCTCGAATTCTTTCAACTATGTCATCGGGGTTAACTGCAGGCGGAATGACGGTATGCTCCTCCCTATACAGATGAACAAGATCATCCTTGCAGGTAATTTCCTATTAGCCTTGGTCCTCTGTAAGGTTCTGTGACGTAGAACAGTAAGTAGTTCTTACCTCAAGAATAGTTGTATCCAAATGATGTAGGCATTTCCTTGTGCTTATATTTATATGGTAAAAAAAGTTAGAAAAAATCGTAGGCGGCAGCTATAATGCACAATTTCTATGCAACAATAGAAAATATGTTTGCGGCGGCAGCGGATCCGGGCACAGTGATCTTCAAAGACGGTACATCAGGCGGCCTCAGCGTTCCACACAAAAGACAGAAGTTGATCTATCGTCGGCGGTATTTCCATCTGTTTCGAACAAGGTGGTATTCTAAGTCGACACAAAAGATGGGGGGAGTTGACAAATCATCAGTATGTCTAGCAACGGAAAAATAGGAAGTTTTAACAATGTAAACGAAACATCTTTGAAGTCTGGACCAAATACCACTGAAAATCGGGTGCGGTAAATTTTTCGCAGAAATCTTCGCATTTCAACACCACCCAGCGTATCGGGTGGTGGTAAAATGCGAGACAAAAAGTCAAGTGACCGACCGTATTCGCGCCCTTCTCGCTTTTTCCCGCCTCGCCATTTCGCTTTTCGTGTCTCGCAATTTCCCCACACCCTCTAGAACAGATCTAGAAATCTAGATCTAGACCTCCTATGCCCTAAGTTTAAGACAGTAAGAAGTAGGCCTAGGCCTAGGGCTATAGGCCTACAACTACAACATTTTTAAAAAACTCATTTTGTTTGTAGATCTACATTGTTTTTAAAAAAAAAGTTTCCTGTTGCATCACTCATTTCACAAGATAGAGATTCCCATAGCTAGTCATAGTAAAGTGAAGAGTGAAGAGATTGATGATATGAATCAATTATGAAATTAATAGTTAACTACTAGATATCTAGATCTAGTTTATTAACTAGATCTAGAGATCTACTACGAAGAGTGAAGAGATTGATGATGATATGAATCAATTATGAAATAGTTAATTATTATAATTAACTACTAGATTTAACTAGATCTAGATTTCTAGATCTACTACTTGTGTGGTAGTTCTAGATCTAGCTCCTATCTTAAATCTTACCCAAAGCTTCCACGAAGTAAATATGATGTCATTTTATTTGGCCCCTACTATTGTTAACACAGATCAAAATGATGCACACATCAAATAAAAACATTCATTCTGAGCTATTCAAAAACCAACTTGTGGTAGGCCCCATAGATCTAACTGTACATTTACAAAACATTGCCCTATATTCCTCCTCTTAATTTCGTCTTTCGTATTAATTCAGATATAGATGATCTAGATCTACAATTTTAATAGACGTATTAAACATTTTCACTTTTATTTAATTTAGAGTTTAGACCCTAAAACAATGCAGACAAATACTAGTATAGGCTACTCGTCTAAATAGATCTAAATTTAGATTACTTGTTAGATCTAGATCTAGAATTTTATTTTTTTTAAAAACAAAATTGATTTTTTTTTTAAAAACGGGTAACCCCCCCCCCCCCCCGTTGCCCGTATTGCGTAGAAAGGGTGTTGGGGAAATTGCGAGACGCGAAAAGGTGAGGCGGTAATCTGCGAGAAGGGCGCGAAAACTGTCGGTCACGTGACATTTTTGCCTCGCATTTTACCACCACCCGATACTTACGCAGGGTGGTGAAATAGCAATGTAAACAGAAAGTGATATTTCAACGCCAAGGGTAGACAAAGGTACAGAATATAGATCTAGTCCAAGTAAAGACAGAACAGTCAGAACCCAGACGGGATCCGAACCCACCATTCCACACGGCACCAAATCGCCTCGCCCTCCATGGATGTGAAACTATCTGCGAAAATTTTACCGCGACCGATTTACAGTGATATCCGATGCAGACTTCACCAAAGACGTTTCGTTTCCACTGTGGCTAGACATTATGTTGATTTGTCAACTTCACCATCTTTTGTGTCGACTTAAAATACCACCTTGTTCGAACAGAGTTTCTTCCAGGCATTTCTTCGGGGGGAACCCCACCCCCCCACCCCCCCTCCCCGAACGACATGGATTTTATATAATAAACATACACTTATACTAGTGTGCGAACAAAAATTTCAGTTTCGGCCCAGAAAGGCTGACATCAGCCGCTGAGGGCCCTGTACAGTGTAATTTTTTTTAATTAATCAGATAAATTAATTGAGGTTAGTAGATTATTAATCGGGTTGTTTCCTTATGCCCATAAAAAAAAAATCCAAACAATTCTAAAAGCCTTACAGTTCTTGAAATAATGAAAATATTTCCGTAAAACATTAAGTTTCGGAGGGCAAATCAAATCTTTAAATAAAAGCCACACTTCTAAAAATAACTATGTAACGCGAAGAAATCCTTCTTTACAGCTTCGTCACTTTGCGAATGATGCAAACAGCATCTATTTTCAGACGATCGAAACAGAAATTGAGATCGAGCATCTAATAGTACACCATAAGTAACGCTAACAAATTGCATTAGTCACACAGATGATTATAACACGTCAAATATTTTTTTTCTACGTGTTAAAGATAAATCCTATTGATTTTTGTCACTGTATTGATCACACACCTCTTTACTGGTAATTGAAAAAAACAATTTTTACAGACTTTTACCTGTTTCAAAAGCTATGATTCTGGCGGCATGGTACTTTGGTACCTCATTACGCGTTTTCCCAAATGTACTACTTAACAGATCAGTTCGGGGTGGGTTGGGGGGGGGGGGTCAATTTCATTCACCACTGTCCGGTCACTTTAGGTCAATTATCCTACCCAGCGTATACTTAGGTGTGACATTAATGTCGCTCTACAAAATTACAGCCTGTCCCGTTTTAGGTGATGAGGTGGGGGTGGGGGGAAGATAACCAACTCAGAGTGAACATAGCGTCAGTTTTTAGAAGACTGTTCTAAACATACATATACAATTATACATATATACTACTGATTCAGAAATAGATTTAAATTAGTAAAAGTGGTATTATGACAGTAAAAATTTTTTTACAGAGGGGTCCATGGGGGGTTTAACCCCCCCCCCCCCTGCCTACGCCACTGATTGATAGCCAATACGGGGTGGTAACAGGGCAGTCAATCAGACCATACGCAAAAACATGACAATAACCAAAGAAGCATAGATTGAAAGTCAATGCAAAGAAATGGGGGATAACCTGAAAAAGAATAATAGCAGGAAAGGCAAATTACATCTCTACCTAAACTACCGTCAAGTCATCCAAGCAAAATCATGCTAAGGATGATACTCAACAGACTAACGCCACAAGATGAAAAGATCATAGCTGAAGAACAGGCAGGCTTTAGGCAGGGACGCAGCTCAACTGAGCAAAACTTTAATCTTACTTAGGTTCATCATTCCTTTGTGGCCCCTGGGGAGCAAAGGGCTGCAACCACACATCTCCAGCAGACTCAGTTTTGGGCTGCTCCCTTTATCTGTGCCCATGTGAGCCCAGCTTTCGCCTCTTCCTCAACCGTTCTTCTCCATGTCTTTTAATCTTAGGTTACTTTGCGAAAAATACCTACTAGACTATTACACCATTAACATATGTACCACGTCTTCAAGGACTTTAAGAGGGCATTCGACAGAGTATGGCATGATGCAATGTGGGCTACTATACACAAATACAACATCAGCGTAAACCTCATAGAAATTATTTTAAATGTAAATGAGAGAACAACGTTTAAGGTAAGGTAAGGCTGCTTGCTATCTCCCATCCTTTTAAATATCTACCTAGATGGGTGGAATCAGGAACTTCCTACTGTTCCAATTGTCACGTGTGCGATTCAACTAGTAACGGCATTGCGCGTTTAGATACCAATTTAGTATCTATATGAGCTTACATTATGTTTACATTAAAAGAGACGGAATATGTTTCAAAATTGTATGCAAATTAGCGTGCCCGCCGCCGCCGCGCGTTGTCGCTGAGAAAGAAGAAAGTCCGGGCAAATTGCACCCTACTGGGGCGTTGGCGGACGCGACTGATTCAGTTTAGTGAACGATTATAATGCCACATTGTATCCATAGTCTATCGCACTTTTTAAAACGATCGTAGGTGCTATCGCGCTCACAGGATAGCTCTGGGCGCCAAATTGCACACAGCCTGGGCGCCGCCCGTGCGAAATGATTTTTTTTTTACACAAATCTCCCTATGAGTATTCTCAACATCCTGGCGGGGGCCGCCCTTGCGAAACTACCCCCCCCCCCCCTCCAACCAGAAACCTCGTGAGTACTCTCATCAACTCACCAATGTTTTATGGTACTCAGATAAACGGCGTTAAACCTCATCCGACTTTAATTTTCTTTAATATACCATATATAGAAAATTTGAATTTTATTTTTTTTCGCAGAAACCTCACAGGAGCCAGGGGCCGTACGCGGCGCCTCTGAGGTAGTGTAATCAAGAGGCTCCCTGACACATGGGCGGTTACCGAAGTGTGTTCTACCTTATATTTTTGGTGAATGATTAACGTACACTCAAGGTTTTCATGCGGTAGTGTATAGGTAAACCCATGTCCCGATATTTATGATCCAAGCGCAGGCATTGTTTGCATTTAAATAACTCAGTTTTAGAAAACAAGGTCACGCGTCTAAGAATATAGGATTTGTAACGCATTGATGAAACCCTTCTTATATATTTCGTCAGACTTTCTTCTATTCCCGCGGCAACGCGCGGGGACGGGTACACTCGTTTTTTTTTTCAAGACAGGCCTGGAGGCAGAGCTTCTTGAAGAGCTGAAGCCAACAGGGATGTCTTGTGAGACGGCAAAATTAATAGCCGGGGATCGGACTAAATGGAACGAAAAGGTAACGCCCCTATGTTCCATAAGGAGTAAAGAGGACTAAGTCAAGTAAGTCAAGTCAAGATCTACTGATAAGCTGTCGGAGGAAGGTAAAGTCAAAGTAGATTATTCTACATCTAGAATCTAGGTAAAATCAAAATTAATTAGTTAAAAATAAAAACAATTATAAAAACACAATAAATAATTGAGTTTCTTCATTAAACTATTTTAGCCCTTAAATATGTAATAAAAATCTGCTTTTTCAGCTTCACAATTCATCTAATTCGAGAATACAAGGAATTTATCTAGATTCTAGAGCTACGGAAAAATTAGATTTAAGTCAGCCGTAGATTTGAGATCTTGATTCTAGCTCTATCTATATCTAGAGTCTATGCCAATAATGAGTTTCTATACTAAACTATTTATGGACTTAATTATTTTATATAAATCTTTGTTACTTTCTCGTATATACGAAGTATAGAGAAAGTCTTGTAATCGTGCAAAAAAAAAATCGAGATTTTTACAAATCTCGACGTTTTACACCTCACTGATACTGAAAAACATAATTTTACAATCTTGTCCGTATGCCTGTGTCTGTGTGTCTGTGTGTAAACACCATAACTTGAGTACCGTTACAGCTAGGTTGATGAAATTTCATATATAAGTATTTTATCAAAATCGTAGATCCGTATCAACTTTTGAGCGATTTCCGATAACCGGAAGTGGTACTTTTTCTACTTTGAATTTTTCAAAAGCCTATAACTTGAGTACTATTCCGTTGACCGGAAGTACTAATTTACGCTATTTCCGATTTCTCAAAAAACGCATGTAAATTTATAAGGTACTAATAATATTGCGCACTATTATGCACATTTCATTTGGCGTTCACTTGGTGTGCAATTCTTTTTTCTACGAGATTTTATTCTATTTTAAAAACTTTAAGTATTTAAAATGGAGTTCCCATCCCCTGTTGTTTTTATATAAGAATATTCGAGAAAGTTTATTTAGTTATGGAATTGGCTAATTTGAGATATAATTTAATTTGAAATAACAGGGCCTATTCGCGTAACACAAGTTTCTTAGTCTAAGTCAGTGGTTCTCAAACTTTTTCGAGTGGCGACCCCTTTAATAAAAAAAAAAGTAACCCGCACCCCATAGAATTAAAAAGTCGAAATTAGTGAGGAAATTAATAAGCACTAAAATATGATTATCTAGTAGACTTTCAATATTAATTAATCTTGATAACTGTTTTAATTCGATGGGTGATATTTGAATGCATAGGCCTATATATATATATATATATATATATATATATATATATATATATATATATATATATATATATCACTAGCCTCAATATTCGCGGTTGAGTTTTTGTTAACGCCAACCTCATGTCATTTTCAGCATAATTTAATTTATTTCTTTGTTTTGTTTTTAAACGGAGAAGACACAAAAGGAACTAAAACTCGTAATGCAATCGATTTCACTTTTGGGTATGAACGGTGCATACTACACCAAAATTGTTTGAGCAGTTTGTTTTTTCAACACGATACGTGACGCGGAATCATTCCGCAAATTTAAGAATTCATCTTGTAATTCATCGGGAATGCTGGCATCAT